GATGATGTGAGCAATGTGTTTGCAAATGGGGGGGGGGCCCCCCAACCCCCCGCTTTTTTCAGCCGGGCAAGCCTGCTTCAAAGTATACGAATCCCTTCCAAACCCATGATGATGTGAGCGTCGTGTTTGCAAATGGGGGCGCTGCGCCCCCCCCCACTTTTTCTAGCCGGGCAAGCTGGCTTCAAAGCATTCAAATCCCTGCCAAACCCATGATGCGAGCATTGTGTTTTCTAACCCCACCCCTGACAAAATTGGGAAAATATGATTGCATTCCTACGAAAATTCACAACATATAGTGGAAGTTGAATTTTCCGATAAAGAATGAAAATAAAAACGTCTTCTTACGAGAAAGTAGAGCTAGTGTTATGAGAATATGGCAAACATGAACAAAAACACTTGTTGTCTGCGAGTCACAGATAGAGATAATGCATGTGCTCTTATGAAAATATCGAGATTTAGCTTTTCATGTATTCTTTTCTCATGTCTTCCTCGTGAAAAAAAGAAGAAGTCTGAAAATATTGACAAAAAACAAACTATAGAAAAGTAGAGGTTCTCATTATTAACTATAGAGAAATCAGAGGTTTTCTTATCACAACATAGAGGAAATAGAAGTTTTCGTATTAAAGTGTAGCGAAAATGTAGAATGTTTCCATATTAAAATAGAGAGGTCTTGATATCAAACATAGAGGTTTCCTATTAAAATGTTTTCATATCAAAATATGCACAAAACAAAGAGGTTTTCTTGTTGAAGTATAGAGGAAAAAGAGAGGTGTTCATGTTCAAATTCTAAAAATGGCGGTTTTCCTGTTAAAATACAGAGCACAAGTCATGGTTTTCGAATAAAAATAGAACCAGAGGACAAAATACTTCTAATTGCAAGTCACATGTTGAGATAGCGCAGAGCATTAGTTTCTCATGTATTCCCCTCTCATGGCTTCCTCAGTAAATATACGGCAAAACTATGACAGCATAGACACAATAGAGAGAAATAGAGGTTTCCGTTATAAAATTTCGAGAAATAGAGGTTTCGTATTAAAGTATAGAGAAATTAGAAAAATAGAAGTTTTCATAGTACATGTAGAGAAAAGAGAGGTTTTCAGATTCACATCCAGAGAAGAAAGAGGTTTTCCTATTAAGATACAAAGAAAATAGAGGTTTTCATATTAAAATTTAAACAAAACAGCAAGAACGCGCCCCCGCACCTGCAGCAAAAAACAAAACGCGCCCCCGTGCCCCGCACCCACAGCACAACATCATGTCGCAGGTGGAAGGTTTGTTCCCAGGGGAAGTCCCCAGCCTGCTGACAGCATGAGGCTCATGTGTGGTTCCGCTAGTGCTGATACATCCCGTGTGCGGCGCAAATTCTCACGCGGTTTCGGGTGGCCACTTTCTCATACTGCGACACGACGCCCCTGTGGGCAAGAGCAAGGCAGGCTGGCCATTTCTTAGAACATACCTGCACGCCTCCGGGTATCGAGCGGCTGACAGGATGTGCGAGATTTCAGGCGGTAACCTCAGGGACGTGCTCAGCGATAGGTTCAGGGGCGGCAGGTCTGCAAGCCCTTTAGCACCGGCAGCGTGCATCACGGATTCCGCCGCCACTGGCTTGGCGTTAAGGAGTTCAGCCTATCCCATAAGGATTCCTGTGGCTGGGAGGGAGCCCGGGGTCCCTCCGGATGCTCCGAAGGGAGCGACGTAATTTGATGCTGGTTCGCCGTGCGGGTGTCTCGGCCTTTGACTACATCTTGCCGACACCCTGGCTGGTTTGCAGAGCGTAGCGGCCTGGCCGGTATTGTCAGCCGCTGGTTGGCTCAGCTACAGTTGGGTGTTACACTGCCTTTGAGCGCGGAACAACCTTCCTTCTTACACCCCCGATCATTCGTCTCAGTAGCTTACACCAAAGATCACATATGTGTCAGTTTAAGGTCTAAAGTGTGGGACATGCTTGCATGAGGCTCGTGACCATAAGTATGAGTTTGCATGCTGCCTACGTAGAATTACGTGGTTTATAGATTGAATATTTGCTCAGCTGGTCCTCCTTGATGATGATTCGAGTGCTGCGTTCGCCATGGCTTGCTGTCGGCCCTTGCAGCTTATCCACCCTGGTGACACTGCGCACGGTACGACTCCCAAAAGGCACACCGCTTTTACAGCCATGCAGATTTGCTGCGCTGCACGCTGACAGAGGTCAGCTAGGTCAGCTAGGTCCAAATGGCCAGAGCTGGTCGCCACTGCATTGTGGGCTGGCCTTCGTCACAGCAGCTGCCGTTGCATATGGACACCAGCGCCGAAGCTGCACCTGTGTAGCAGCCACCAGCAGCGATGCTGGTGAATCTGTTACTGAGTATTTGCCGGGGGCTCTGATCAGCACCGAACGGTTCTTCACAGTGCCATTGGACCACTCATCTGAAAGCAACAGCCCTACTCTGACAGTGTTTGCTCGGGAGCTCGTTCTGGAAAAACACAAAGGAAAGGACTTGCCAGTGTTGCTCTACTTGCAGGGCGGCCCGGGGTTCCCTGCAGCAAGACCAAGTTCTGCTTCTGGAGGTTGGCTTGGTCGAGCTCTTCAGGACTATCGAGTTCTGCTTCTTGACCAGCGGGGCACAGGTCGTTCAACACCCGTCACCGCTCAGACATTGCAGGGAATGGAATCATCAGAAGCGGCCGAGTACCTGTCGCACTTCCGTGCTGACTCCATCGTCGAGGACTGCGAAGTTATCCGCAAATCAATGGGAGTCAAAAAACTCACTTTGCTTGGGCAATCCTTTGGAGGCTTTTGTGCGTTGACATACCTTTCCAAAGCTCCGGAAAGTCTCCGAGAAGTGTTCCTCACCGGTGGCCTTGCTCCTGTATTCCACGGCCCCGATGAGGTCTACAAGCACCTCTACAAACGGGTCCTTGAAAGAAATCGATTGTACTACATGCGCTACCCAGCTGACGTCAAGCGAGTGAGACGCATCGTGCAGCACTTGGACACCGCCAGTGTCACTCTTCCCGGAGGTGGGCGCCTCACACCTCGGCGCTTCCTGTCCTTGGGCCTTGAGCTTGGCTCTGGCAGTGGCATGGAGCATTTACACTGGCTCGTGGAGTCCGCTTTTGTGGAGAACCACAAGGGTGACTGTGTTCTAGACTACCGCTTTCTGTGCAACGTAGAAGCGATGCAGAGATTTGACACTAATCCGATTTATTGGCTTTTGCATGAGGCGATCTACTGCAGCCCCACCACTGGGGCATCTCAGTGGGCTGCGCACCGTGTACTGAACGAGGACTTTAAAGATAGCTTTGACTACCGACGTGCCCTTGAAGCTTCGGACTCTGAGCCTCTGATGTTCACCGGGGAGATGGTCTACCCCTGGTTTGCAAAGGATTTTGCCACACTTGGGGGCCTAAGTGAGTGCGCGGAAATGCTTGCTTGCCGCAGTGACTGGCCTGCTTTGTATATCACTGAGGTTCTTCGCAATACCAGCGTGCCGGTTGCGGCTGCCATGTACTACGATGACATGTACGTGGAACGGGCATTCTCAGAAGAAGTTGTGCACTTGCTGGGCCAGAAGTGCAAAGTTTGGGTCACCAATGAGTTTCAACATTCTGGCATTCGTGATGATGGTGCTCGCGTTCTAGACACATTAATCAAGATGCTGAGAGGCGAGGTTTCGATTCCAAGCTGACGCTGGGTCACTGTTGATCGCTTTAGCGCTTTCCCGACAAAAACCTCAGCTGGCGCCAATGCGCGCACCCCCAGAGCGCGCCCGGCCATAGCAAAAAACGCCGCAAAGCAAAGCCTGCACCTTAAACCCGAAACCTGCGCCCTAAACCTGAAATCCTAAAAACCAGATCCGAGACAACCGAACGGGCAAGCTCCTGCACGAATCGAGCTGACATTTGCCAATTCGTGAGAAAGTGGAGACTAGAATCCATTGGAATGCCTTAGTCAAGTAAGAACAAAATACTTCCAATCAGTATCCAACGAAACACGGTGTCAGTCATGCCCAGAAATCCCATGTAATGCGCTCGAAGATTGCAGTACGGAAAGAAGCTTGCCATTTTCCGAGCCAAGGAGACATTATGAGGTCTAGCCAGCATGAACAGGGGTTCAAGCGCGATTCAGAAACTAACCGCGATTCAGGAAACCAGGGCTCGGGAAACTTTGGCGGGTGGGGGTGGCGGGGGGTGGGTTTGGGGAGGGGGGGTGGGTGGAGGGAGTAAGATGGGCCATGCTGCAAGCGTGCGTGGTGTGTGCCAATGAGCCACACAAGCAACGACTGTAGTCTAGACGCAACGCGTCCCGCAGAATAGACGCCATGCTTCTGCATGAATACATGTCGTAAGCCCGTAGCATCCGTAGCTGCGCGCGGCAGTGCCCGCGGAAGCCGCGGAGGCCGCGGAGGCCATGGAAGCTGCGCGGAAGCGGACGCGGAGGTCGCGGAAGCTGCATGTAAGACCACACGGAACAATCTGCAAATCTTCTGCACGGCGCTTGCGTGCAATGTACAGAATGTCACGGGGGCTAGCTTTCTGAGGATTCTCTAGCACTGTTGCATGGTTTGTGTGCAAATTGCCAGGCTGACAGTTGTCGGCATATGCCTGGAATCATGGAGTGGTGCTGCCTCCAGATTAAAAGTATTGAAATATTCAAGACCTTTTGGTACTATGGGAGTTTGTGCATAAAACAGTGAAGCGTCAGCGCGCAACAGTGAAGAGCAGCTACCAGGACCCGCAGTAGAATAACCACTAACACCAGAATTCATCATGTTTCCACGAGACAGCGCGGACAAAATCCTCAGATGTTCGTGCGGCGTGCAGTATAGAATCAAATGGGGTTGGGGCGGCTTTTCTGCGCCGGAAACATTCATGTTTTTTACAAGACACAGCCACCACACGAAGCTCATGCATGGGATCCGCCCACGTTGGGCTCGCAGTTTGTGGTTTAAGGGCGTCTGCTGCTGCTCAGTTTGGGCTCGCAGTTCGGGGTGTAGGCGTCTGCTACTGCTTGCTCACGTTGGGCTTGCAGTTAGGGGCAACGGGCGTGTGCTGCTGGGCTCGTAGTTAGGGGCTTTACAGGGTATCTGTTACTCAGTCGGAGGACTGAGATTATGCTTGGCAGATGCTTCATTACGGCAGTAGCCGCCCCTGGAATCTGCAGGCACAAACTGCCCGCTTGGGCTCCCAGTTAGGATTGGTCAGGGCGTCTGCTAGCGCGGGTTTGCAGCAAACATGCTCGGGCTTGGAGGACTTGTGACAGCCGCAATTCTGCTCTGGATAGCAGACGCGTAGAGAAGCCTCTTCGCGAAAACTGGGGCATCCAACCAGCAAAAAGGCACCTAAGACTCTGACCTACATTGCTGCATTAACTGCATTAATGAGAAAGGGAGCTGCGCTCAAAGCAGCGGTTCCAGACTTGGAAGGAGAGAGGCAGAGGTCCACTGACACCCAATGCGGGTCTCCTGCAAGCGAGTTTGACGCTGGATCTTAAAGCTTCGCAGGGGCACGAAGCAAGCTTAAAGAGGTCTGAAGCTGCATCCTAAAGCTTCACAGGCACGAGGCAAGCTTGAGCAGGTCTGACACTGTATCCTGGAGAAGTCTGAAACTGCAAGCGCTTCGCAAGCAAAACTACTAAACGGGGGGAGGCCGCGAGGCCCTTCAGGTTTTAGTGCAGACGGCGCTTCAGGCTGTAATGCAGGCAAAAAAGGCAACGTAAGCACAGAGAGGTCCACTGACACCCAGGGTGCATACGGGCGCTTTGCAGGAATGGGAACCCTTCAGGCTTCAGCGCAGTAACCGGCGGCTACTTGTCGAACTCGTACTCTCTGAGGCTATGCTTCGTGTTGGCTGAGCTGGGTCGGTTGATCGGGAGATGCCAACTGCCTAAGACCAGCCCCCGTTGTGCCCTTCACAAGTCTTGTTCGAAGACGTGCTTGCAAGCAGTTGGACGTCGACATGCTTAGGCGGGGCGCTAAAAGCTTCGCAGGGCTGAAGCGAGCTTTGGGGAACTCGAAGCTGAAGGCAAACCACGGGCGAACAGACCTAAAACCCCCCGAAAACACCCCTAAGATGCAGAGTCGCGAAAGACACAAAGAGATCCACTGACACCCAATGCTTTTAGAACTTTGTATTCCCATGTATATGAGTAAATGTAGGCGCACGTGACCTCTGGGGTGGTAGCCTTTTAGGGTACAAGGTTTCTTTTGTATTTTAGGGTCAACCTTTTACCCTGAAAGGTTACCACCCGAGAGGTCACACCCGGCTTTTTTGTATCATTTTGTAGGCACTGAACCGGTGTCGGTGTCGGTGTGTGTGTGTGTGTGTGTGTTTTTTGCTAATGAATTCGTTTTGCATCCTTTTGCTCCCTTAACTCGTTTGCGCCCAATGACATCTGACTTACTCGGGAGGCGCCCTTGTTTGAGTGAGAGGTAGCAAAACACCATCAACGGATTTTCCCAGTGTCCATCCAAACATCATCAAACTATTTCCGCAACAATAGCTGTCCAGAGTATTTCGTCAAGCTAGAGATAAAGCACGCGTGGCCAGAAGTGTTGTTGCAAAACCGTGTGTGCGGATTGACGATTTGTAATGATGACTGAAACGCTAGCCATCGCTAGCCCACTATTGAATTGTTTCACGGTGACTGCGCGGATGAAGGTCATTGGCATGTCGTTGACATGCTGTCCATTGTTCTTGTGGCAACAGTGTGCTGTTTTTACATGATGCGTTGCCAGTCATCTTTGCATTTGATGCTTTGCTCCGTCCGTGTTCACATCCGCAGGCTCGAGACAGGTTGTTTTGTCGGGAACGTGGCTCTTTGATGTAGGGTTTTCATTCAAAGTTGCACGGGTGCGAATCTTGGCAACGAAAGAAACAGCATCGAACATGGCGATTGGACATGCTGCAGTCTTTGAAGCTTGTCGGTGTGTAGGACTAGGTTACATGAAGAATGTAGACAAATGTTTGTGCACACTGGAAGATTTTTCAGTAAAGGCCTTGGTGGCAGTGCGTCGAGTGGTGCAGAGTCGAGGATGTGTTCCTGCATGATGCTCCAAAGGTCGAGGCATCATCCTTACCAGACCAAGCTCGAAAGGCGGGTAGTCTCTACATCTACATTTTCAGCATGCCAATCTGGGTAGCATCATCGGTGGTCGTTTCGGAAGGCTGCGGCGGCGTTTGGTCGTGATGGTCTTGTCCGAATCAAGAACATTCTGCCGCCTGAAGTGGCAGAGGCTGAATCGAGAGCTGCGTTGCAAATCGATATTTATGTCATTTTGTGGCTGTCCAGGCCTTGTGTTCTCGAGTTCATGCGGAACTCGACCAGAGACGGCATGATGGTGATGCCGCGTATTTCGGGGACGTTTATGGCTATGAGGCTCCTGCTGTGCGCTTCGTCCGTACCGTGTTTGTTTCTTTGGATGACAGGATTGTGGGCAGCGATGGGATCTCAAGCTCCAGCTGTCAAGTGAGGCTTGTTGGTGCATGTGTTAACGTACGTTGCATGGTCCAAAGTGCCCATATTTTTTTTGCAAGACATCGCAGGTGAAAGTTGCGCTTGTGAGCATCTTGGGCTGTTTGCACGAGGTCTGCATGTGCACTTCTGTTTTCCATTCCGCGGTCGACTAGTCTGCGTTTGGCGGAGGTGCTGGAAACGCTGCGCCCTTCCTGGCAGCTGACGGAACTGGCAGTGAAGCTGTCCAGTCCTTGGCTGGGAGGTGAGCACTCACATAGTTGGGCGTTTAACTTGCCAGGCCATGTGCACATTTCCTTCCGATCCCGGACAACCAGCACATTGGCCAAATCGGATGCGTGCACACTTCACGCAGCCCGCATGTCGTTTTTTCCTGCATCCAGGTGCATGCCGATACCTCGCATGTCTATGACCAGCAGGCTCCCATGGCAATGCTTTGCTTTGCGTTTTCTGATGTAAGATTGGATCAGGTCGTGACGATATTTGCCATGCCGGCAAGTTTGCTTTCTGTGTCGACAACGCGGCGCTTTGGCATCCACAGTCAGGTTGCACTGCACGATATCTCATTGGAGCCACATCCTTAAAGTCCTTGACATGGAGCTTGTGGGTTTCTCCTGGCAGCCTTGCTGATGGGTGAAGGCGAGGGCCGACCAAGATGTACCCAAAATCTCATTTGGCGGAAAGCTTACAGCTCGCGTATTGGCGTTGTCTTGTTTGTTGTACGTGTGCGGGGCTTCGCATGAGTTTATTTCGAGGATGGAGAGCTCCATCTCGGAATGAAAGAAGCTCGAAACTTAGCTGAAGCAACGTTGCCTTCAGAGCACGGCTTTTCCGCTGCACGTGATAAGGTTGATGAAGCCAGTGCAGTTCTTTGCACGATGAATGTTGGAGATTGTGTGCGCGGCATAGTGTCCTTGTGTTTGCCGGAAGCTGCTGGTTTCCCATGGTCTTGGGGAGCATGGTAGGTGATGATGGACAGCAGGCTCCTGCACTGCGGAACTGCAAACACCTCAGATTTGCTGGGACCCCAGCTTCTGAGCAGGTGCCAACAAATGTGATGGGACATCATGGTGGAGACAGTTATGTAGAAGTTGAGAGGATAGGGCCCGGAAGCGGAGCAAAAGAATTGGTGTTTGAATCTTGGAGGGGTGGATAAGCAGGTGAGGGTGGATAAGCAGGTGAGGGTAAGCAAGATTGTGTTGCTTGCATACAAGATGGGTAGCGGGTGATCGCACTACCGTGGCCGTGGGCCTCTTTTGCTTCAGGCACAGGTTCCTTTTCTACACATCTTGGATGCAACCGGCGAGGAGGTTCGCAGACAGACCAGCCGACCCAGGTAAGTTGAAGAACCGCTGTGCCACGCAAGTAGGTCGCGTGGATCGACGAATACCATTCTACCGCAGTACGAGGACAGTGTAGGCTGCAAGTCTGTCAGTCATGTGAATCAACGGATGGTTATCTTGAGTCTTGTGCAAGAGAAGTTCGATGCTGTATCAGTGACTGCCCATGATGTGTTGACCGTGAGGAACGCCTCTCCCTGCGAAATTGGCAGGAGTGGACGGCTCCAGGATGCACAGAGTAAAAAACTGAAGCTTCTTTCTGCTTCTGCAAGGAATGCCTCGGAGCGTCACTGGAATCGCGCATGTACCCATGATCTTTGTCCCATCCTGAACCTCTGCGAATCTCTGCTCAAGCTCTGGTCAGACGTGGGACGCCCCAGCTGCAGGCTCATGTTGTGCATTTTGTGCAACATGCGCGAGTAATCGTGTTTTTGGCTTTGGGGTCTAAGGCTTCCATGGAGTGGTCCGTTCTTTGCATTGCTTTTGCTTTCGTTGTTGCTCGTTGCAAGTTCCTTGCTTCCTTGCCTGCCCCACCGAAAACGAGCAAGAAACAAAAACCATTGAAAAGTTCCCCTAGCTGCTCATCAAGGAAAGAAACATCAGAGGGACCAGCAAGTGAGCAAAGCAAACAAGCAAGCAAGGTCCAAGCAAGGTGCAAGCAAGCCCACAGACAAGCAGTAAGCAACGAGGCGTCACACCGAAGCAAACAGGCAAAAGTACCGCATGTCACGCTTGCAGTTGAAACGTTTCTTAGTCCAAGCTTCTTGAATGTTTTCGACTCTGAGTACAGGGCTTGTGGCACACGTTTGTCCGGCTCCTTTTCTGGGATGCTCGGCGTGCTCGAAGAGATTTTGTGTTCATGGGGATTCCCCGTGCAAGAATGGGGCGCACACCCGCGTACAGCATTCTCGCACTATTTCCGCATGCGCATGAACTTACAAAATGTCTAAGTTTTGTTTTATCTCTTGACAACGCAGAATCCCCACCCCACATTTGCAACGGTGCTAGTCCAGGCTGTGCATCTTGCATCTTGATGAAGCTGTGCTGGGTCTCTGACTAAAAACGGTTTAGCATCAGCTTTGTTAACGGGTAATTGGGGGGTCGGGGGAGCGTGGAGGCAAGGGGGGACGCGGCACTGGCCTCGGTACTTTGGAGTAGTGCTAGTCCCCGGTTTTCAACGGCACTTGCACATCGACAAAGCCGGACCATGCCGGACCAGTTGCTTCCTTGCTTGCTTCGTTGCCAGACATATGTCTCAATTTACGTGTATCACACCCAAGAATGCTGGACAATTCTCCAGCGGCTATTTGCCCATGCTTTCCCACAGTCGTAGTGTCTGAATGGTAGAACATGTAAAGTGATTAAGCCGACCGCTGGGAAGCGCTGTACCGTTAAATTCACAGAGCAGAAAGCAAACTCGAAACTGCAACGCCCAAAGCACCACGGACACAGTGGGCCAAACACGCAGGCGTCCAGGGCCGCTTCCCACTTCCCGGCATTGAGGTGCTGATCCCGAGGGTAGCACCTGGCATTCTTATGAGTGACCCATTCCGACCTGTTGTGCAGACTCTGCTCTCGGAGAGAACATGGGTACCGTAGTGGATTTTGAAAACCTGTAGGAAGTGGACTTGCGTCATCCGATGCAGCCTGCATCTGCGGCAGCACAGAAGGCGGGGGGGTCTCATGGCCTCGCCGGTGCCCGGCCATTGCTTTCCTGCGAGATTGCTTGGAGGCAAGCATGCGCGTCCGTCGTGCTGGCGCCGGTGCTTTGCCAGCCTTATCATGTCTTAGCATGTGTCTGCTCTGGTCAAAGCATTGTCATCACTCACAGGGGTCGCCTTGGCCGGGCTGGGTCTACTGGTCTACAACCTAGCAGGCGCAGCCTCATTCCTTCATTCCCAAAGCAAAGATTGCTTGCACCCGGAGTGGTTTGTGTTGACAGGGCCACGGCTATTCGTGGCTCCCCAGCCTGAGATGCTTGGGATACCGCGACACGGCTCCGAGGTTGCTTCCTCATGCAGTTGAGATCCAGTCCAGTCATGGCGAGTTCAAAAGCTCAGTTGCAAGGTGCAGGCCAGAGGTGAGGCCGTGGTTATGTTTGCGAAGCCTGGTCGACGGTTCACAACTTACCGACAATGTGAGGGTTGCACTCTAGCAGCCATTGGCCAACAATGGTCGAAGAAAGGTGCGCTTTCTGCTATGAGGCCGGATGACGCCACAATCGAAGCTTTACCAGCATGCATGTCCAAGGTCAAGCTCGGCGCTCAACATATCTCAACACCCCTCAGCTAGTTGTTCATGCACGATGGTGCCGGACCATGCTGATGCTGCATTCCAGGACTAGGCGAGGTGAGCTGACAGTGGATCAGCAGATGGATCGCAAGGAAAGGACAGCCAAGTGCCTTGTGCCACTTTTGCGACTCTGTGCGGCTTTGTGCCACTTCGTGTGACTTTGAAAGACTTTGTGCGATTTGGAGCTTCTGTTGCAAGAGACTGGCATGCCAGGTGGCTCCGCACCTTGAAGGGTAAGTTCGTGTACAGAGGCCCAAAGCCCTATGATACCGACCAGTTCACCAAGGCAGGGTAGACCGGGGTAGACCAGGGTAGGACTAAGCTCCACTCCAAGCTTGGCTCTAGGCTCTTGCCTCTCATATCTTCCCTTGCGCCAGGTCAGCATTCAGGTACGGTTGGAACCAAGGCAAGCATCCAACACCAAGATCATGAACCAGGCGGCTGTATATGGCAATCTGTGACACTCGGTGACACTCGGTGACATACTGTGCCCCGCAACTCAGATGCACTCTGGGTGCCAGATGCGGTGCTGCAGGTTGTGGAAGAGCTCCGACGGGTCAGTGGTGTTCATCCTGTCGTGCACACCTTGGCAACCCATTGGTTTGGATCTGTTGTGATGAGTGTACTTGGCCTGTCAGTTTCTGTGCTCTTGGATCGTCAAAGGCTACCAAGTTCGAATCCAACAATGCTGAGCTAGGATACCGCGTCGTCTCCCTCACTGTTTGATGGCTCTTCTGGCTCTTCTGCAAGAGTTTACATGCTCGTTGTGCACCAAAATGGGTGCAGTGATGGACTGCATGCCGCTACACAGATGTCCTTGAGTGCTCTTGGCTTCGTGCTTTTTTGCCAGGGAGATGCCTCCGGAGCGAAGGTAAATATTCGCGGCCATTTAATGTCTGCAGCTTACACTTGATGTATCATGAGCCCGGACCACGGCATCCCTCAAACGGCCACAACCCTGAGGCAAGATTTTCTGCAGAGGCTCAACACCATTGTTCTGCCTCGAGTACGAGATTTCGAAGGCCCGATGCAGATCTTGCTGTTCAAACCATCCTATTGCACACTGCTGAACGCTGTTGCGCAGGACTGAATCCCATGGCCTTCAACAAGAAAGCAAACTTCCTGCTAGAACTCCCCAGCCAGGACATGGTGAGGCGAAGGCGAAGGCCCCGTATCTGCACAGGGCAGTTCTCTTCGCAGGAGCCGTTTAACGAGCTCGATGAGCTGCTCGACTCCCGGGAGCGCATGTCCTCAACACAGAGATTCGGTCTCCTTCCTCGGCTCACACAGTCTTGTTTCTCAGAGGTATACTGCTGAGATGACATGAATGGATGAGAGAATCATAGCCACGGGATGAACCTTCAGTCAGAGCTGCCTTCTTCGTGCCTTGCAATTGAACCGGCTTTTTCGCAGGAGGTTGTCCACGGCTTCAACGTCAAAATCATCAACAACTGTTTCACACAGTGCCGCCCCTGTGAACCTTGCATCCTTTTTTGCAGCTTTTTGCAGCTTTTTGCAGCTGTTTGCAGCTTTTTTCAGCTTTTTTCAGCTTTTTGCAGCTTTGACCTGGCCTCCCAGGCCAGATGCTTTGAAGTTGATGAAAGACTTCGGCTTTCCGTTCGGCGACCCCCAGCCGCGTCCGGTGACGCCTCAGTCAATTCATGGTGTCATTTCGCGAGTGTGATATGATTTTCAGTCTCCTGCAGCTTCAGACTTCAGACGTTGAATAGTGGACAGGCGAGGAAGGTCCCAACGGATCCGTACGCGAAATACAAGAACAAGGGCAAGGGCAAGAAGAAGCGATAGGCTGCCGACCGGGAGTCAGTTGAGGGGACTTCGTTCGCTGAGAGTCGAGATGGGTTGAGCCTTTGGCTGAGCCCTGGCAGGCAGCGGACCTCCAATGCCTTGGACGTGAAACTGCATGCTGTTGGTCTGCTCCGTTTTCCAGTGACTTCTGTAGTGCTGTTGTGTGCCGCCGTTGATTGGGTGCATCGGACAAAATGGCATGGTGCATTGCGAGTTTGCATGCAAGTGACTAGCCGGAGTAGCTCACAAATTTGCAGTGTGAGTCCCGGGCGCCTTGTTTACTAAGCAGACAGCTACTACATTGGCTCCCCTTGAGCTCGTGACCCTCATGTCTCGTCATCTTCATCTTGTGAATCAGCTGCTTTTTGGCCGACAGCTGCGTATGGGAGTCTTTCGACCTCACCATCGCTGTTTTCCGCATATCAGCTCTGCATTACAAAGCATTTCGATGGAAACGAGCTCTATCAGAAAGGACGTCACAACTCACACTTAGAAGTCTGCCCAATGGCTTTCGCAGCAAGAACAAACGGAGGCTTGACTGCAATGGGCATTGCGATTGCTACAGTAGCACCATCAGCTTGTAATCTCCCTCCCTTGAGACATGTTGAGACCATCCTATGAAGCCTGCGCTGCCTCCAAGCCGTGAGAAGATGTGTCCTGAAATTCGAAAGTGTCCTGAATCCTGAGGTAGCCCAAGATGGTTCCACCATGAGCGAATCCAGAGGACTTCTGAGATGCTCTCTGACATTTTCGAGGATCGCGAAGCCCAGTCAGCCTAGGAGACCGAGAAGGGTCCTCATGCCGGTTTTTGCTATCCTGGCCCTCTGCTCTGCTTGTACCCCAGCACTGTGAGCGCAGATGTGGGTAGTTCTTACACTGCCACAATGGATATGGCATCCTTTTTGCACTCCTTGTTGCTCATTCCTTTGCATAGCTTTGCGTGGGTGCTCTCGTGCGAGGTGCTGGGGGTGTCCTTTGTTGCACTTGGCAGCTCACCGGCTCCACGAACTCGCAGTGGGCAGGCTCCAGCTTTGGGCTCACCAAGTACGAGTAAATAGCGGGTATGCCGTACGGTATGCCTCACACGAGCACCTCACGACCGACATGCGATTGGCACGCCTCTTTGCAGACGTTAGGCGTCGCAGCGCTGCGTCGCCTGTCGGTCCCAAAGCGAGGAGTCAGAGGAGCTTTTCTGCAAGCCTAAGCCGTTAAGGGCTTTGCTGTGCACTTGCTTGATTGATTTCAGGACGCTCAACCTGCCGACTCTGACCAGCTACGCCAGCAAAGATCTGCAGAGCGCTTGGCACCTACTGGGTGCCGTTGGAATGCTCGTGTCCAATATCTGTGCCCCCCCCCCCCTCCTGCCCAAATAGCAACCCAAACCCCTGTCAACCCCTCCCCAAAGCTAAGCCCTCAAACAACAACCTTACCTCTAGAGAAACCAGTCAGGACATGATTACTTGAGCCACGCGGCTGTGCGTCGCTGCTCCTGAGGCATTTCTGCGCTTAAAGCTGCTGCAGACAAGGCTTGTTTCTGGAGAAGTATGCAGATTTAAAGTACTGTGAGAAAGTAAGGTTAACCCTTGACAGGGGTTGCTGGATCAGTTCTTTGTTTATGGCCCTTTCTGGCAGACTCCGGCTCTGAAGCGGCTAGATTTCTCATGGCTTGTACATAGAACACGCGAGGGCCAGCCCGCCCGTGCCGCCATGCCATGCCGCAGCCGGGACCGAAGCCGGAGCCCGCGTCGGGCGGCACGAGTGCCCGGGGGCTGCTGCGCCTTCGAGGCCAGCAAAAATGCTCACAGGTGGGCCGCCTATGAGTGCCACCTCTCCAAGGGCACATTCATCCGTGAAGCATGTCAGGTGCGCACGCGCGTGATCGCGGGCCATGCGCAGTGCCGCACATTTGTTCTGTGCGCGGAGGGGCAAGTCCCCAAGAATGTTTCCAAGGCTAAGAACAGGGAGGAGCAGGTTTTGGCAGCCTGCACCGTGCGCATGAACCCGTATCGCCGATACTGCAAGATGTGGGGACAAATCATGCACATGAGCGCTCGGGAGGAGCGGAAGGGTTATGGAAGCAAGTTGGTTGTTGCTGTGGAGGAGTTGTTACGCCAAGAGGGCGTTGACATTCTCCTCGCTTACCCCGCACCTACAACAGCAGCTCAAAAATTTTGGGCGAAAATGGGGTATCAGCAGCAGGAGGATAGCTTCCTCCCAGATGAAGAGCTCATCCCGCGGTACGAAGGTGGCCCGCTATGGCCAGAGGAGAACGCAGTCACCGAGGAGCCCCTGGATCGGCTGGAAAAAAGGTTGTTGGTTGGTGGAACCCAGTGGGCACCCCGGGAAGGGGAAATCCGTACAAGACCTGGCGGCGAAGATCGCAAGTTCAGGGAAGTGGTCTGGAATCCCCTCGATCTACGAACAAGGAAGCCCCCCGAGGTTTTTCTGACGGCTCTGCAGCTACAAGCATTGTTGCAGCCGGTCCGTCGGCGGATGCGCGGAAAACGGCCTCCTTTCTGATGGGGACGGCGAGTTGCCCAGCTGGAGCCGTTCGCAGCACGGAGCTGGCGCTGGCAAATTTACATAGCCACTATGACACTGTGAGCCGCCACAACAGCAAACACGGCTCAACCTAACGACCTCGGCAGATGCAGGCTGGGAAAATCAGAGATTTTTCTTGGTTCGTATGGCAGCAGTGACAGCTGCTCTTGGAATCCCATCGGTCATTGGAGTGGCTGTTTTCCGTGCCTATTGTATGTGCAGCTACCAGTGTTGCTAGTGGAACTCTAGCACAGGCACAATATTAAACGTACTGCGTTTAATGTCTTTCGAGCGGCTGCTCTGTGATTTGCTGTGGGATTCTGCAGGCAGTGAGTGTAGAGTCCAATTGGAGTCCCCGTAAGCATCACAAAATCTGCTTGCCAGGGCGACCTTGGTGAGCTTCTGGGTGCCTTGGGGCTTCCGCTGTGGCTCGTAGCGGTGATCGAGGCTGTGAAGATCTGTGAAGCTCTGTGAAGCTCTGTGAAGCCGTCAAGCCTGTGATCTGCGAAGCCTGTGCATGGCCCCGTGATGGCCCCAGAACCAGGTGGTGATAGCAGTCTTGGAAGTTGCTCTGGTGTACTTTGGGGTCAAGCTGCTACCTCCAGAGCTGCAATCCCAGCATGCGTTGCTAACCACGGTGATCCGTCTTCAACTCAGCTCTGCCCAGGTGGTTCGGTTTCTTGCCAGAGGATGTCCGGCCCCTGCCTCAGCATTGAAATCCCCCCATTCCTTCTGTGGATTTCTGCCGGGCGTTTGGAGATCCGATCAACGTGACATGTGCCCTACAATGTCCTACAAAAGACTTCGCCCTCGAGTCAGTCCCGGATCCTGGCAAATCAGCTTTGATTTGATTGCATGCCCTTCTCCCAAACCGTGAAGCTTCGCAAATCCTCGTACAGCCGGATATTCGGAGTTAACCCTCGAGTTGTTACGGAAGTGCGGAATCTTTTGAACTCTTCTGATGGACAAGCCTCGTGGCTCGTGGCGTCACCAAACGTGGCAGGTCTTTCCTACAGCTCGGTGCGAGCACGGCCCAGTGAGGGTCAGCTGGGCCTTTCCTTTCTATGACACTGCTGCCGAAACCTGGAGCTGTTGGTGCTGTCCTGCGGGTCCGTGACGGTCCGTGGAGTGCGAAGGTGCAGAAGTGATAATGAAAGTTTGATAATGCTACTTGTGGTCTGACCTTGACTGCAGTTTTCCATCGTTTGACATTATTGAGCAGAAAATGTGATGAACTGCGAGCAGGCTGCCGCTTGCAGCTTCTGATCTTCGAACTTGTGTCTTTGGATTTTAGCGAATGCTGTTGTCATATTTTGCCGTTTTTTTGCAGGCTGAAGCTTGTCTCATGCATTTCTGAAGCATTGTGGCGCCATTCATGTATTGTGCTTTCACGTCGTTGTGCTCTTTGTTGCGATGCGCAGTGCAGACGTGCCTAGGGTTCACGTCCCGTTTTGTACATAGTGTTTGTGGCAAGCAGTGCTTTTGGCTGTTGACCTGTCATGTCAGTGCACGGATCAGTATGCGCTTTTCAGAAGCTTCCTGGCGCAGCCGATGAATGCCTATACAAGATTTGCACAGCTTGCCTTCTTGATTCCGCGGCCATGCTGTGGATCAGCACTACCTTAGTACTTAGTTTCCTGTGCCCGCCCTCAAAGCAGATTTCAAGGCCTGTCGGCCTCGCTGCTCATGTGAGCCGCGGCATGTGCTGATCACATCTGCTTGATAGGGGTTCGATTTCTACTCGCACTGGGTGTCACACGATATCGTTGTAAGCACCCATGTACCTCTCTGTATATCTGAGTCCAAGACCTTTGAGAGACCAGTTGGAATGTGGTCGGCATCCCTGACAGTCCACTCTGTTTTCAGGCGATGATGCACAGACGGCGACCAGGCTCCCGCATTGGGGCTTCTTTTGCATTGCATCCTCAGATCAGGTCTTCAGTGTCGCATCTGACTGGATCTTTCTCAGGTCTGGGCTTGGCTGTCTTGTCGCTCATGTACATGGGAGGCGCCAGCAGGTGCTAATGGAACTGACCTGGAGCCGCCGTGTGTGGCCAGGGCTCCTGTCGACACCTTTTGTGAACGTGTCCTCGCCGGCCTCCAGTGCTGTGGCCCGACGTGCCGCGGAGCCTTGCTTGAAGCCTTGGGCAGCCTGGGCAGCCTGTGGTCTGAGATGCCAGCTTTGCCAGTAGAATGTGGGGGCGGATGCAGGACAAAAGGCCGCCGCCACGCGACTTGGAACCACGCCTCAGCCCGGAGGATAAGTACGACATGCCGCGGACAGACCGGCATGTTGGAAAGTTTGAGCGGGCTATGCCCCATTCGTGTTTGGCGCAGGACGCCAGAGGAGGAGAAGAACATGAACTATTGGAGGCGCATTTCCAGGTATACCTGCTTGATAGAACGCTTGGAAAGAGCCATCTGCCCTCTCCGTTAGGAGCGACTTTGATGATCTTCCTGCGGAGGACTCGCTGTGAGCAAAAGTAAGGGTGACAGGACTAAACCATCTCGAATTCACAGGCAAGTCGAGCAAGCAACCCAAGGAGAAGCTTCAAAGCCCACTGGTGGTGCTTGGCTTCTTCCTCTTGTTGACGCCCTTTATCGGAGGATTTTATACCCTCGTCGTCCTGCCATGTTTGCCAGCAACTCTTACTCTTTCCCAGCCTTCTTGACGGCTTTCTGCGGAGTCGCTGAGCATCAATTGCAGGTCAGCGGTGGTGGTTTGGACGACTGACGTCAGGTGAGATGAGCTGTGCTTTTGAAGTCCCAATAGTCCCACTATCTTCGACGTTCTTCGACTGCTCACAGTCGCAGACTTGGGTCGTCCACCGTGTCTCACAAGAGCCATGCTGCCTGTTGATGCTTGACTGCCGTAGTGCGGGTACTTTCATGTGGATGTGGGCATGCTTATCAAATGGCCAGTATACAACATAAGCCTATCGAACTCATCAGTTGCAGATTTTTCGTGCAGGAGGCGCAAGAGGAATAATCCAGCGTCAGCCATGCACCAATACTATAATGATCTTGTACGCAGTAGGATGGATCGGTTGCTGCCACTAGAAAAAATCCAAAGCCTGCCGTTCGCTCAATTCATTCAGTGCATGCTGAATTCTCAGTTCTTCATTTGTTGGAGTTTTTGGCGCAGCTGCTTGCTTTAAGTCTGGTGCAGATCGTCAATTGTGCCATTTGTTTGGGGCCTCCCAAAGCGGGCCCATGGCGCTCTGCCCCCAGTCGTAGCCTTGTAGAGCGTGTTGTGAGACAAGTAGCGATGTTTTGTCTCCAGTCTGCGCAGGCCGTTGCTTGATGACGGCGAGGTTAAATCCAAAACCGTAGCTTGGCGCTTAGCCGAGGGAGTGCGGTGGCATCGCTGGGAGAGGTGGAGTATATGGTCCTCAGTGTCTTGACAGGACTTGGTCATACCAGAACAGGATGACAAGGCTCCGAACATGCTTAGAATACCTTCCACAGCTTTTGAGTCCGCGGTCGCCTCAGGCATTACATCAGCTCCTGGATTCACTGGGTGTGCTCAGACTGTTTGCGCAAACTGCTGGCACGCACTGCGAACTGGGCATCGTATTATCATGTCAGGATCATCCGGGACAGTTCCCGCAACCTTGCCTCAAGGCCGTTCAGAAGTGCAGAGAGAGAGAGAGAGCAGATACGGAAGGGGATGAGAAGACGAAGAAGAATAAGAGGAAGAAGAAGAAGAAGAGGATGAAGAAGAATAAGAAGCACGAAGCGCAACTGCATCATCAGGCTGGGACAAAGCATCTGCCTTGAAGCGACTCTCGGATCATCTTGCGTAGTCAGCTCAGAGAACATCTGACAGAGAGTCGCGGACTTCAAGCCTTGCATTGGGCTCAGGTTGATCGATTCGGAAATTAGCAGAAAGTTAAAAGGCGCGCTTAGATGTGCTCAGATCTTTCTGCTGTCACAGAAGCGCTGATCGATTCTGAAGGGGGGGGGGCAGGTTTGGATGACTTGAATTCTCACCTCACCAACCTCACCAATCTGCAGTCTCAAGCAGGCTCCCCAGAGATGGCATTGGCTTTGCATGGCTTTGCAGCTGCCACAAAAGACCTTTCCATCGATTCCGCTGCAGAAATCATTGCTTGCTTGGCTGCGCTGTGTCATCATGTTCTCGTCGAAAGCTTCGCAGCCAAAGTGCTGTGTCAAACATTTCCATGCAAGTGCTTCGTGTTTCCGTGCGGCTTCCTGAGGAGAAGCCCGATATGACACAGGCCGTGACGCAGGCCACGGGTTCGCGACTCAGCCGTCGAACCACCACGAAGTGTGGGACAACTCTTGGCACCTGCTCTTGCTTGTGATTGGCACCTGGCCCTGCCAATCATGTCAAGTCAGGTGCAAAACCAATAGCAGTGGACAGGTCCACCGAGGCCTCGGAAGGGTTTTGAGAGTGACATGCACGCGCGAAAAGTCGGAGCCCGTGCATCCCTCCAAAAGCCCTGCAAGGCAGTGCCACCAGAGAGCTCTGTCAGAAGACGCCTGGTGTTGAAATGGACCGTGTTACTGGCATCTTCCGTGCACAATGAGCTGGAGAAGCATGTTCTAGGGCTAGCAGCTTTTGTGGCTATTGAAGCTGGAAGATATGGCATGTCGCAAGCGAGGCCAACAATCTCTTGGTATGACGCGGCAGTTCTCGCCGCCAGTCGCCTCACCCGGTGCAGCGCCCTAAGACTTAAGCAATCTTGATCTGAGTCAGCAGCCTGTTAATTCGGCCGGGGCTGATTCGCAGGTCATTACACAGTGGCATGGGCATGCGAGCGCTGGCCCCCTTGTCTCGCAGCAGCGCTTAACATGCATGTTGGACGGTGTTGCTGCAAGTGTGTAACATTAGGTGATGCCTACCATCATGCAGCAGCAGCCGCAGCGGCTGCAACGACTAGCGCCGGCTGCCGAGTCCGACCCTCCTGTTAGAAAACAAGTTGTGGAGTGAGAGCAGTTCAGGTCAGCTCCGGCTGGCTGGCGTGCGGTGCAGGTGACTCCAAAGCAACTCTCCGTAACTCTGTTGAGGGCTAGAGTGGTAGTCATGTGATTCGTATGCTGGAAGGCTCCAACCCCACGACCTGGCATGACTTTGCTTGGCAGTGGCCCACAACGGTCAGGAGCTGAAAGCTTGTAGTGGTTCTTACGATGCATTCGCTGGGTCTGCAAGCTCTTCCAAAGAGGTATGCCCTCAGCTCTGCAGATGTTCGTTCTGGCTCTGTAGGCCAGGTGGGTGGCGGGGGCGGCGGGGATAGCAAACGGAGCATCAAAAGAATATCATGGCGGAGCTGAGCTGGACGTACAGAAACATGGCATTAGCATGGCAACAGGTGTCGATCATGCTCGCAATGTTCCAGCCTCTAGTCCGGGTTCCGGTTGGAATGAACTGTGCGTCGAGAGAGCAAGGCCTCCGGGGTCCCTCCAGGCTGGCACTTCCCAGTTTTGCCTCCACCATCCCAGGCCTTCCTTTTTGAGGGCCCTGATGGTCCAAATTCAAAGGACACCTTGCAGGGGTGGCAGAAATCGGGAGTGAGTAGGTTTTCTGGGAGGTGGGGGGGCGGCAAGCAAAGCACCGGGCTTGTGAGCAACAGCTGCGGAACAAATATTCGGAAATACGCAAATCACGAGGAGGACACGGCATGGCTTAGCACGCCGACAGAATGCCTGTTCGTCATTTTCCTGACTTCTGCTTCGCTTATGTGCATAGCTTTCGTAGGTCCGACGGCGCGGATGCCTAGCCCCGGCCCGGTTCTGCACGCTCCTCACATTCCTCACGTTCCTCACGCTCCTCATGGGCTGCACGGTGTCGAACTCATCTGCCGGAATGGAAGTGAGGGTGAGCTCGACATGGCGATAAGAAGTCACTAAGCCGCGAGACCTTGCTTCATGAGATTCTTTTCTGTTGTGTGGACATCGGGAACATAGCTGAGGCATGGTTGCGCCCGCACCAGCGAGCCCAGTTGTTATGACTTCTTTGCCAGCCTCTCAGCAGCTTGCATGCGGCATCATTGGCATCGTCGGTTTTTCATGAGAACTGGTCCTTTAGCAGCTTGCAGTCGTTCTTGTTTACGCTTTTGTTGTTGGTCAGAAGGTTCGATCTCTGAGCAGTTGTGTTGGCGGGGGGCCTGCTCCGGCCCCTCCCCCGCTCCGCTCCCCCAACCCCAGAGAGTGGACGGGTATTTCTGTTCGTTGTCGGTGCTGTCAGCACTCCATGCCAAGCTTCGTCTCTTGATGCTTTCTGCTGCGTGTGCGACCCATGTCGGATGCAGCAGACGTCCCCACCCTCGATGTGGGGTTGGTAGATTTTGTAGACGAAGCTCTTCTTCTCCTCGCCCTCCTCACCACAGTCTCACCACTGCAGACGCCCAACCCCGGCTTTTGCAGAGGGCATTGCTGGAGTGTTCCAAAATGTCCTAAATGGCTCCATATGTGGTCTGGGAAGCAGAAAAATTGTAAAGTCAGCCCGCATGTTCCGTCCTACACCCCGGCATCGTTTTTCAGAGGACCCGCGCCCAGAAGCCGAACTAGCGCATGTCGCCGACAGCCAATCCTGCAATGAAGCCACAGCAAAGCAACTTAACTGCCCAACCTCGCAACACTGAATCACAAGACTCATACCAACCGCACCAATCCCAGGCATGTGTTGGACTTGCAGAAACAAGTTTGACACTTGCCTGATTGTCAGCACTGATATGTGGACCTGCACCAGACAAAGCCACACCAACCACAACATGGTTCGCGCCTTGCTGCGGTTTTAGGGTTTAGGGTTATGAAAATGGCCACCGTCCTGCAAGTCGAACGCAGATACACGTTCAGCCACATAACGTACCAACAAAGAACGGTTCATCTCGAAGTGCGCAAAGGCTCTTGTCCAGCCTCTAGCATGTGGCACATCTGCTTGCGCATGGTGCGCATGAAAAAACATCAGAAGCAGATAGGTCTGGGAACGTCTCAACTGCATGGACACAAAGCTGTGAACTAAAAGTTGCCAGACAAGGCTGCCAAAAAGAGACGTAATTCCAGGTCCGTGGAGTGCCGAGCCCCAGAGTATCCCCAAAAAGTCGCTGGAGTGCTGAGTGCCTAACCCCAAAGTATCGTCCTGGAGTGCCCAGCCCAGCAGAGTATGCCCAGAGAGAAAGTTTCCCAGAGATTCCCGGAGAGTGTCCAACCAGTTCCCAACACCAGAGTATGCAGAGAGTCACTGGAGCGCCCAACGTATCCGCACAGAGGCCAGGAGTGGCCAACTCCAATGTGTCCCCAGAGAGTCCTTGGAGCGCCCAACCCCGGAGTATCAGTGGAGAGTCCTCGGAGTTGTGCATTCCGGGAATTCTTTGAACTTGGGCACTCCAGGGTCTCTGGGAATACTCTGAGGTTGGCCACTCCAGGGACTCTCTGAAAACATTGTGGATCTGGGCACTCCAGATCCAGGGACACTGGGGGTACTTTGGCTGGGCACTCCAGGGGTACTCCTGGGAATGCTCTGGGGCCTCTGGAGAGACTCTGAGGTTGGGCACACCAGTGGGCACTCCACGCCCTTTGTGGGCTACTTTCGTGTTGAGCACTCCAGAAACCCCGAATATTTCCACAAAATGCCTGGAGTGGTCAACCCCAGTGGATGCCCAGAGTATCCCAGAGAATCCCGCTGGAGTGCCCAGCACTAGAGTATCCCACAACATCCTTGCACTACCTAACGCCAGAGTTTCCGCTGGAGCCAAACATTGGTTTCGACTCTGCGAACTACACATTCGGATTGGCTGCAAAGTCCTTCTTTGTTTTCCTCGGGCCTGTTGGCCTGATGCCTGCCAAAAGTTCTCGCGGGCTGTGCTTTCAAGTTGCTGAGGCGATGCAACTCGCCGGTACCACAAGTGAGGTTGGAGACTTGCTGAAGTCGCATTGTGCCAGTGTAGCGAGTGTGGAGGAGTGGGGTGTAGGGGTTGAGAGAAAGACCGCTGCAGCTCAATGCAGGACCCGATGCGCAAGCCCGCAAGCCTTGAGATGTGAAGGTCATGGACTGCAAAGTTCACCGATGTTTCTTGCTGTTGGGATGCATAATTGGCTGAAGCACAGAAAGCTTCTACTTTGTTCGGCAGATCCCGGAGAGCTAAAGACTCAGACACATTCTGTATTTCTCTGCATCTCTCTCTCTCTCTCTGTCTCTCTGTCTCTCTGTCTCTCTGTCTCTCTGTCTCTCTGTCTCTCTGTCTCTCTGTCTCTCTCTCTCTCTCTCTCTCTCTCTCTCTGTGCAGGCTCAGTTCCTGTTCACATGGCAAGGACTCCAAGGCTGGAGTCCACAAACTACTGTAGCCACAGATGCCCCTCATGTTGGTTTCTGTAGCTCAGGGATGTGCAGCCCTCCCAGCCCGAATCTCGGACACGTCAGACCCTGCACTCCCTGCGCACAGAAGAACTGCAGCATTTTGCATCATGTGCTCCCAGGCCTTGGAACCCTGCAACAGCTGCTTCGCAGGTCGGGACCTCACTCGACTTTCCAAAGTTTGCTACTGTGTGCTGCGCAGTGTTGCGCTGTTGATGTGCGTTACGGATTTGTTAAGGACTTGCTGCGGATGTGTGTGGGTGTGTGGATGTCAGGTGGGCTCCCGCTTCATTCTCGTCTCTCCACAAGAGGCTTCTGCACTGCGGTTGCTGTTGAAATTCGGACGCTTCTGTACCCCTCTCTGTCGCCCTGCATCAGGCAGTTGGGCACCCGGCAAGATGTGTGACGCCGCGAAGGGTGCCCTCGCGACCACCGCCAGGCACGATGTGTGGGCACCACCACAGTTGGCAAACACCACCTCCAGAACGCGAGTTGGGGCATTATTTTCTGCGGTCTCTAGACATTCATGCCTGCAGTTCACATAGTGGAATTGTCAAGTTGATGGTTGCCGACGGCACCATTACTTCGAAGGTAGAGCCCGATTCAACAGGTCACATGCAAGCACAAGCCGTCCCCGAAGCAGTGGGAAGAGTCCTCTCGACCCCCATGTACTCCCGCATTTATGACCCATGCCGGTGTATCGGGCAGCTTTTCTGCCCGACCTTGGGGGCAATTTGCCAAGAACCACGAGCCCAGCCTGTGAAGCCACAGGTAGGCTGTAGGAATGAGCAAGCTGATTGCGTGTCAAAAGTTCACATGTAGGACAAATGCAAAAACATCTCACCCCATGCTCACCCCAGCTCAGTGCTGTCACGGCCTTCCAGTATACGCAGAAGCATCGTTTCAGCATCCGTGATGTCGCAGACCGTTTTCCGAAGATCTACGTTCCTCTAAGCTCGATCGCGTTTAGTCATATGTTTCCACCTCGAGTGCGCCTTTCCTTGAACAGAGTTCGACAGTTGCTACGGTTTGTGGGACATCTACTTGCTTCACCACTGTTAGTTTGGAACACGGTTTGGCTTCGTGCCAGGCCTGTTCCACACACATAAAAGTACATCAAGCGCGCCATTGATGCGACGCCGTCATCCCGACACCCTAGCATGATTTCTGTCATCCGCGGTGGAGCATGTACCAGCCCAACGCGAGTGCAGGTGTGACCCCGGCTCGGCAGCTGCGCCTTGGCATGTTGGAGACATGCTTGACGTCTGCTTGGCGCATGCTGTCCTTCTAGTCTGATAGCAAGGGATTCCTTCCCCGGAGCACCAAAAAATGTTTACGGACCCCCCCCCCCCCCTCGCCCCAAATTTTGAAGTTTTTTCCTGCAGTCCCCTTTTTTTTGTATAATTTTTGTCGGGGGAGCAGGGGGGAGGGGGGATTTGGGGGAAGGGATGGGAAGGGGTCATCCACTAACTTTAAGTAGCCTGTTTTCATGGCTTGGGGCCAGCTCAGGCAATACGCCGTGCATACGCCGCGGAGATGATCAGGCTTTTGCGTCCCAACACGGGACTGCAAGTCTCAAGCACATTGGCCAACAATGGCCAACACACGTTATGTGCAAAGTGACGACCATACAGCAGCAAACGACAAGGGCTTGGAAGCCTGTCTTGGTGAAGCTGCCAGATGCTGCTTGTCTCAGCAGGCACAAAGCATATTGTCCTGCGGGCCAACGATCCATTCATAGCTGTCAGTGCAAGAAAAAGCTCAATCAATCAGTTTGGTGACCCTCCCGCTTACAAAAAAAGGGGGTGTGCATGGGGTTTACGATGCGATGGTGATGGGAACTCGCCTCCACGCCTTAGCCAGCCTGTCCGACTCCCCAGCTGATGCTACAGTAGCCTCCGGTTACAAGTTTCCAAGATTTTGGCAATCGGCGACATCAAGCAAGGTCCAAGCTTGATTCGCATGTGTGGTTCCGTTCCTGTGAATGTCTGCAGCGACAAAACATTGCCGGTGTTTGCTTCACCCTTGCTCTGCAGTTGAGCTCCCATGTCCAGACGATTTTATCAAGATCCGTCGTGGCACTACTCATAGTGCTGACAGTACAGGTGACCCATCAGCGCCTATGTGTGCCTATTTACAGAAGATTGAGCATCCGCCATGGCACGCCAGGCATCCGTCTCAAGGTGCAGGGCTCAGTTGCCCGAGGCTTTTCGACAGCTTGCCCAGTCCTGACAATCCACAGCCTAATGTAGTGCGGCATTGGGCGCTGGGAGATATTGCTGTTCTCGGTGAAAGCCGCCGAAACTTCCGTCTTGTGTCACAAAACAGGAATTGAAGGTCAACTCATGGCAGACAAGCCGTTGCTTTCCAAAACTAAGTGAGGGGTAGTGTCAGTGTCTAGTGAGGGGGATGTAGATGGTGGGGGATTTGTTTTTATTCTATGAAACAAGTGCGGGAAAGGCGTAGATGATGGGAGGCATGGTCTGTAGGGACGAGTTGTTGTTGAATGTGTTGGGTGGAGGGTTTTGACACGTGGGAAAATATGACGTGACGGAATGCTATTTGGCATTCGTAGAAGCTTCCTGGCGGCTGAGCATGGCAGGAAGCCTCCGGAAGCCTCCGTACATCGGAATGCTATTTGGCATTCGGAATTCGCATTTCACGAGTTTCACTTCCGGATGGTTTCCCGCGTCTTTGAGCCCCAAGCGTCGGGCACCTCCTCCACTCGCTGCGCCCCACGCGGAGGCCACTCCCCTACTGCCCTCACCCCCCCCCCCCCCCCCCCCCCCCCCACTCCGCACTCCCCCCCTTCCCCCCCAACTCCCCCCACCCCCTCCAATCCCCCCACTCACCCCATTGCCCTCACTCCGGTTTAGGGTTTAGGGTCCAGGGTTTCGGGTTTGGGGTTTAGGGTTTAGGGTCTCAGGTTTAGGGTTTAGGGTGTAGGGTTAAGGGTTAAGGGTTTAGGGTTTTATTGTTCAGGGTTTAAGGTTTGGGGTTTAGGGTTTAGGATTTAGGGTTTAGGGCTTAGGGTTCTTTCAATTTACTTAAACCTCTTTTGAACCCATAGGCTCAATGTACTTAAACAGAGTCTCTAGGCGCCATAAGGTTTGAGGTTCGGGCTTAGGGTTTAGGGTTTGGGCTTTAGGATTTCTGGTTTAGGGTTTAGAGTAATGGTTTAGGATTTAATGCCATTGCTTCCTGCCCCCCTGCATCGGAGTGCTGTTCTCTTCCCATGTCTGGGAATGCTGTTTAGCATTCCTATATCAGGAAGGTTCCTGTTGGATGAGTATGCCGCCAAGAGGCCATCTCATATCTTGAGTTGCGATTTGGCCTTGAGGATCCCCTTGGGATTCACGAGGCTATCTCAATTCCCCTGATACTGTCGAGTTTCCCGCTGCAAATTCAAAGTCAGGCCCTGCCCCCAGCCTCGAGGCCTCAAAATCCAGAGCCCCTTCCTGGCGGGTGATGTTGGGCAACACCTGATGCTTTTCACCTGTCTGTCATGAGATAAAGACAAAGAGAAGCCTAAACAGCAAGGAAACATCCTGAAGTCACTTCCGGCTGCTTGCCAACAGCGTTCATGTGGCCAGCACGTTCTCGCCCTGCAAGTCGTGTCTCAGAATATGTGGGAGAGGGAGTGAACGAATGATAACGTCATAACGAAGGTGTCCGAATGTGTGGTCTCGCAACTTTGCTGTTCATGGGTTCGGCTCTCGGCACGTGAGAAGGTGAGGTTGGCATTCGCGAAGCGAAACAAGGACGGTGAACTTCGAAGCCAAACCGTTCACTCGGCATCGGTGCCCGCAGCAAAGCAACAAGACGTGGGTGCGTTCGACGAACGACACAGGACACATGCCTTCACCCGTTCATCAAGTGCCATGCGGTAGCTCAGCGCCAATTCAATGGTGTGAATACCCAGCAATGTCAGGACCTGTGTGCAAGAGTTCAGGAAAACGATCGATTTTGAATCACGTCTTGCAGTTCGTCCCCAGCCCATCCTCTTCTCGTGCTGTCGCTGGCTGATGACAGCTGTCAAAAGGATTGGCTGCATGCGAGCAAATGAACAAGCTGTTTTTGTTAACGGAGCGTGACGCCGGCTGTTGAAAACATGAGCCCCGCTCATGCTGACAACATTCTCAACTCAGCAGCAATGCAACTTCTCAATAGTTTCGGCATGAGGACAGCATCGAGAATGCGAAGGATGACAGTCCCTTCTTCTCCCGTCCGATGTTGTGCAGAGGCCAGCAGACTCAGATGAAGTCAGGGTCGCGACATGTTGCAACTCCTTTTCTCTGGCTCCGATTCCACCCAACTGCCATATGGATGAAAAGCCAAGGTCTCACTGGTGGTGTTTGTGCTTGTCGCATGCCTCGGGTCTTTTCCAGCAGGCCTGGCTCCATCAGGGCGTGGTTTCGGGCCATCCTTCGGTCCCGAGCCTCACCCTTCCCCCGCCCGATGGAGATTTCCAGCAACCTAAACGGAACCATAGCGAGACCTCAACCCTCATGGATTTGATTTACGAAGTTCAGCCATGCCACAAACAATGAATCGCGAACTCCAAATCCTGAACTGTTCGTCCTGGATACCCTCGAGTTTTTGATAGTTTTTGCGATTTTTCCTGGGGTGGATTGCTGTTGCCCACGTCAGGATGGATTGGCAGCTCGAGACCAGTCCGAGCCCAAGAGATGATACCTATCATATACCAATTCTGCCAAGATACCATCAGATGTAGTAACATGCAGTCTTCAGGGTCTCGTCCGTTCTCGGAGAGCCGGCCTCAACATTGTTATGCAACAGGCCTCTACCCATGCCTCCATGACTCTGTGAGCGCCTTTGCAAAGCTCTGAGGCATACTTCGCATTCCAGCTCGTGTACATGCGGGAGAACCAGCCTTCAGACCTGCTTACGGCACAGCTGGCGAGCTAATGATGTCTTGGGCTGTAAACCTTCAGACGCTAGCTTGCGTGAGGCGTGTTTGCAGTTGAAGCCAGGTTTTGAGCGAGCGTCGCCTTTGGGGCCTCGCCCACAAGAGGGAGAGGCAGGCATGGGTCGGGCGCCGGCTTCCTGTTCGACGCATCTAAATATCGGAGGTGGTGGCTGGACTGCGGACATGGCTCAAACAGATGGGCCTCGAGGCTGGTGTGCTCTTTCTATCCGGAATGCTTTGTTCGGGCCTCAACCGCCAGGAGCATTTGCCCGCTGCAAATGCATGGTGCGAAGAAATGGGCTTGACTCCTGGCTTTCCACTTTAGCTTTCATGGGGATGGGTGGGGCTTTGAATGAAGTCTGCGAAGCTTCGAGCTCAGGCGCTTCAGTCATGGCTGAGATAATAGAAGATCTTGAAGACTTCGTGGAGGCAGTGAGCCACTAGGAGGAGAGGTCGGGAGTGTCGGCCACCATATCAAAGCCTTGACAGGGCATGGACCTGAACGATGAGGATGCCCAGAAGCTGAGAAAGTATCAGCACTCAGTGAGATCTGCATGACATGATCTTTCCTATTGCTCTCATCGACAAATGGAGGCGAGGCAAAGTCGCTCTGTCAAATCTGCTTCAGCGTGGAGAGCTCGAAGCCCAGCGCTGTTGAGCGGTGAGCCCGAGCTCGGCCGAGCAGCTTGAAGACGAGGATCATTGAACAGCAGGCCGTGGTGGAGTCAGAAGAGGAAGCAGTTGAGCAATTGTGTCGCTTTCCCTGCTTAGTCCGCCCAGACACTACCGTTCCCGCGACATGTTTCTGTGAGGAGTTCATGACATCCGGCAGGACTTTCCTCAAGAAGCGCGCATGCCCAGCGACATGAGATGCGATGTCTTTGTTTGTCCTGCGTGGGTTTGATTTGTGCTCCGGAAGGCCGATGAAAGCGAGTTGATGCTCCAACTCGCCCATTCATTTCTGAGCAAAGTGAAAACCTCCACCGCGTCAATGGGCCTTCGTGACATTTGAAAGAAGGGGGTCCAGGAACAGGAGCAGGCCCAGGTGACTAAGGCAGCCAAAGGCTGCCTGAAGCACTCCAAAGTGCATAAGCCCTGCGTCCTGAGGGTCCCTAGGGTGTTTAGGTGGTTGAGGGTCTACCCCTTGAACCCTGCGGCCCTAGGCCTTAGGCCTTGAACCCTGGTGACCCTGAAGAGGATACAGACTGTGCTTGATTGCGCCAGCCAGCGAACCCGCTTCGAGCGTCTGGCAAAAGGGCACAGCCCGAGTGACGCCTGAGTGCATGCGAGGGCATGCGAGGAAATTGCAAGATGCAGCATGTGCAAATCCTGTTGGTGCTGCTTCAGCTCCAGGGCTTAATGCAGAACTCTTGCTTCCACTCCCAGAACCCATCCGAATACCCGGGCCGCAATCCTCCACAACCCAAACACGCCCGCACCATCCTCATGCTTGGCGCCACCTGGATGTTCGCATCCTCATGCAAGGTTCTGTCGTGGCATGCTCAGTCTTTTGTGCCGGCTTTGATCCCAGCGACACGAGTTGCAGCAAGTTCCGTGCGACGTGCTGTGACGAGGCTTCGCCACTGGTAGGCTCGCTCTCTTGTTTTGTTGAGGGCCCTTGTAGCCATGCTGTAGCGTCTCTCGGATTCTTCGCTGTCAGGCATTGGGGAGGCCCGCAATTGGAGCCACGTTCCATTTCCGTGCGCTTGACAGCGCTCTTTAGCAGGCTCTTTCCAATGGTGTTCCAGCCATGGGCAGCCTCAGCCAAGGTGGCTTCTGCAGCTTTCATGCCACAGTCGTCTTGTCATGTTGTCGTTCTTCCTGTACTCACTTACTACGAGGTGTGCCCGAGGCTGGATCTCCAGTGATGGACCCAGGGTACCTTGCGGAACCTTGTTGATGACATGAGCCAGTGAGCACGTTCAGCTCCCAGGTCTCTCAGGCATGGTCAAGCGTGCGAAAGCGGCAGGACTCCCCTTTGAAGAAGCTGGGAGTTCGCCTCCCAAGCTCTTCTGCGGCCCTGAACAGGAGAATATGCATGCGAGCGATCTGCTCAGGTCGTCACTCCAGCGAGGCATTGCTGGACTCGCGTCCCATTCTTCACCAAGTGGATCAACAGCCTATGTATGGATGATCCAGGCTAGGGTACCGCATCCTACATCAGCTTTGCATCTGGAAGTTCTGGAAGGTTGGAGCCCGGTCGACGAGAATAGCTTCTTCGAAGAACTGAAGACGGGGCTCGTGCTGTGCAAGGTGGTGGAAAGGCCGAACTTCGGCCCCGAGCCCCACCCACCCACTTCTAAAAAGCAGAAGAGCAAGACAAGAGCCTCGAAGGGATGGCTCTACATGACGCTCCACACGATGCTATCTACTATTGGCTACTTAATAAAAGTGCTGTCTGTCTCGGTCTCTCTCGGTGCTGCAACTGGCCATGTCAATGTTCAAGCCTTGTGATGCCAGGCTGGTTCCTGGTGTAGACTTGACCACCAAGGGGATCTACCACAAGCCAAGAACCCGTGGCCCCCTTTGTTTGTGGCTCGCGTGTATGCGCAGATGCTCGGTGAAGCTAAGCAGACTCTGCAAACGGAGATGCAACTGCAGGTGCGACGTGCGTAGCAAACATCGACTCTGCCCCAGCTAGCAACTCGAGGGCAACTCTCGAAACTCGAAAGCAACTCCTCGAGACCGAGGAGAAGGCACTGACTGTGGCCTGGCGAACTGGGGTGGAGCTGCCTTAGTTGGTGGTTTTTCCGCTTTGTCTATTTCGGGCTCTTCTCTACTTCCCGACGGTAGCTCAATGCACACTAGCACTTGGAAGCCTAGCTCCTGCAATCTCCTGCGCACGCTCTTGCACTCCTCCGCTGTGAGACTCAAATAACGAGCAGCCCGGCTCAGCAATATGTGACCTGCCAGGTCAACGCGGGAAATATGTGTTCGGCGGATGACATCTATGACTGCAGAGTGACAGCGGCATGAAGCTTAGGTGGACTTGGAGCACATTGTAGAGAGATCGGGGTCATCCGATGATCCGGTATTCTCAGGTCACACGTTGCATCTCTGAATTATTCGATGCGTTGCAGATGCGCCTGCGCCACTGGCTTGGGTTGCCATAGAGGGCATGTGAGGGCTCTGGACGTATTCTGCGTTTAGCACTGCATCTGTGTTGCATGGCGCAGGCGAGAGGTGCGAAGTCGATCTCGTGAGATGCTCACGTCCATGAATGCGCACCTTGTCCCGATAGGCCTGTCATTGTTGCGACTGTCTTCTCACAGTCTTCTCACCAGATTTCACCGGCTGGGAGGTTGCGGCCTCTCTGAGCTGACCTTGAGTGATCCATGTCAACATTGCGAAGCGCTCGTTTCTGACTTCGAAGACTGCACCAAAATCATGGCCGGGACCCAAGCTGTCCTTCCACTGCTCTTCTGGTGGTATTGTGCAAATCTGGCAGTCCAGGCGCTCCTGGTGAGCATGGGCAAAGCTTCTGTGGAGGCAGCTGCCACCAGGAGTACGCTTGGTGTCGTTGAATGTGCAGCTGCAGAGGACTTGCTCAGCCTCGCCCACCGAGAGCAGTTCTCCCGGCATGTGGTTGTGATTGGTACAGTAGAGGAATCCCGAAGCTAATTCGGAATCCTCTACTACTGTACTTCCGCAGAAGTCTTCCTGTAGACTACTGACGGGTGACAAGTGCCACTCTGCTTCAGCCGAAGAGCCGCAGAACCATGGTGCTACTTCTCATTCTGTAGATGACGTTGCTGCTACTTCTCATTCAGCCTACCATGGAAGGACGTCCAGCGCACAGGGGGCTCAACTCAAAGGATTGCTGCACGAGAATGGCCGAATCTTGAGCCAGGGGCTCATGTGGCAAGTAGACCAGCAACTTTCTTCAAAAAAATAGACACCAAGCTTCAAGGTGAACTCCTGGTGGCGAATGGATGTGCTTTGCTACTCGGCCCCGGGGAGTTTTCAAACCCACCGTCGCCGGGAACTTAGTGCAGCTGCGCATGTTGCGCGCCTCTGAATCTTTCCACGTGCTGCGGACTCCGAAGATCCATAGCAGCAGCATTGGGAGCTTCACGAACATCTTGAATGCTTCAAGTAGTGAAAGCCTTTTCAATCGTCGAAGACGCGTAGAGATGTTCAGACTTGTCCCGGTCCCAAGGCCGTTTCCAGACACCCTCCTGCTCCAGTTGCACCTCGTAATGTGCCTCCTCTGCATTCTGATGATCGCCTGTTGCTGCGCAGGGCACTTCACAGACAGACTGCTTTAGCAGATGAATTCGCACTCCGACGTACGGGTACAGATTCCGTTGTGCAATGCCAGCATCTTTGCGCCAAGGCGCTGTGTGAGCGGAAGCCTGTCGAGCGCGGTCGGATTGCCCAGCCCGGCTCTTCCAAGTCCTGGCGCGGGCGCCGCGGTCTTTGGTGCCATGGGTGCCTCAGGCCCGCTGAAGTTCTTGAAGCAGCCGCTAAGGGGCTTTTTGGCAGTCCTTGGAGGTCCTTCTTTCTCCCTGTCCTGTCTGTCACCAGGCCACTCGAAGGCAGATGAGTTGCAGCTGTGGATGCAGGTTCTGCCACAGACCGAGCTATGCCAAGCAATTGGCGAGCTTAATGTCCTTCATCCCGACCAGAGCGGCGTCACGCGCAGCCCAGGTCAAGCCACTTCACATCGCTCGAGGAGGCCTTCTGGAGCTGGTGCAGAAACCTCAGCTTGACCTCCATCACCAGAAACATCGAAATTCGAATCTAGAATGCGGACATATCTGCCTACAGATTGTAGAAGTGCCTGCGGATTCAGGTGGGAACATGTCCGGCCGGATGTCGCAGTCCACTTTCATGCGAGCGATGCGAGAGCTCAACTTCCAGGGCGATGCCAAGCTTGTGTGGGCCCGGTCCCCACATGTCCCCACATTCCAGTTCATGCCTGAATTCTGATACGATTGGTGTGGCTTCTGTGGCCACATGCACAGGACACGCTGAACAGGGGCGTCCCAGGCTTCATTAGCCAGGAGGACGGGATGAACTGTGGGGGGGGGGGGGGGGGGGGGCGAGCCGGGGAGAGGCGTGAGCTATGGCCACAAAGGGCTTCTGAACTCGAGGATTTTGCGAGGCCTGAGTTGGAAGCAAGCTTTGCCAAGGCAGGGACATCACGGGACTTGATGGCAGATCATTGGTCTCCGACAGCCACTGGGTTCTACGATGTATGTGTCCTTCAGGTCCTCCAAGCAAGCCTCGAAGGAGCGGACGGAGCGGAGCACGAGGAAGGCGAGCAAGAGAGGAGCACCAGGGAGCAAAATCAGGTACTACAGGGTCTATAGAGTGTACAGTCGATAGAGTTTAGATGAGTTGAAAGATGTTTACAGTAGGGATCATCAGGTCATTTGGGTTTAGGTGGTTCGGAGAGGTACGAGTTCTGGGCATGAAGGTAGAAATGGATGGAAGCCTGGCATCAGAGGACGTGGGCCATCGATGCGGATCCCGCCTGCATGGATGAGGATGTCGGTGTGGAAGCGCAGACCTCGGTTTCTTCCCCTGTCGCCCAGACATTTCGCGCGCTCCCTCTCGACATCTCTCTGCCCTGCTGGTTGCATGTGGGCAAGGCTGCAGCCGAGGACTCGGCAGCGCCAGCTTGAACCCGCCCTTGTTTGCTCAGAGCTCTTGTCACGTGTTTATCATAAATTGTCACAATCTGTTTCTATCAGGAGCTTGACTTGGGAGCGGATGACCAGGCCAAAGGGGGACACAAAGCACAGGCTGTGCATTGAGAACTTGGAGTTCGAATGCTGAAGTCCACTCATGGTCAGGCTCCAGAAGTCTTGGAGCAGATAGCTTTTGTTGCGCTGCCGCTTCTGGCAGATGAAGGCATGGCGGCATGACGACATAACATGCAACCTATTTGTTGGGACGGCCTTGGGAGAGGATCAGAAATCAATTACCTTCTGGCCCAAGCGTGCCACATCGCTGGCGATGAGGTAGTGGAGTTCATGTCCAAGTTGTCGGGCTGCGCTGTGAGAGAGACACGCGCAGGAGCCACGCATGTGCAGTGCCAGCGAGGAGCGACTGCGGTTGCTCGGCGAGGACTCTTGTGACTGTCAGGGCATGGTGAAGAGGCGAAGCCCATCCCAACATTGAACGAAAGAAGGACATCCGCAGACAACAAGACCTCCAAGAGATCGGGGCTGTGAGTGTAGCACGCCTTGCATTGGACTCAGAACTGTTTTGCGGTGCGGATTGGGTTGCTGCCGAACAGATGTGCCAATTACATCTACTGACCTACTGCATCATCTTAATCTAAACAATGATCAGAGCAAGCCTTTACATCCGCAGCCGCAGCTCAGAGGTCGCAGCAGCTGGAGCAGCTGCCGCTGGAGCAGTGTCCTCTGCGGTGTCGCTTGCTGAGGAGCCCATTGGCACCCCTGATTTTGGCATGCCTTGCACAAAAGCACTCCGCCGGTGCAAACAACGAAGTGAGACCGACAAGCAGGCCCTGAGTGGTGACGCGCAGTCACTTCCAGAGCTTCCAGATGTTCCAATCTTCTCCGACTTGATCAAGGCTGGGCAGATCCTAGAGTGCTAGGGCTTGCGACCGTGGGGAGCATCGCTTGACAACACCTCGAGTGCTTGCTTGGGTGGTGCTGGGGCCTCGTGCTGGGTCGCAGGAAAGCACGGATTGCGGCCCAGACGAGGCCTTGAATCCTTCAAGACGGGGGGGCCGGGGTGGTGGTGGGGGGTGTCGATATTCTTGCCGCATCTTGCAAGGGGCCATGTCGAGGCCTTGGATCCTGTCAGCCGCTTGCTTTCCGAACTGTCGGTGAGCGAGCTGCCGACCCCCACCACAAGCGGGGCGCTTATCTGGACAGTTGGGATGCACCAGGCGTGGACGAGCACTACTCTCAACAGAGCCCTCCACAACTTATATCCTTGCAGAAACTCGAAAGAACTCGAGTCCCCCGGCCCCCTTCTGGCTCGGTAGACCTGTTCCCGGCATGCTGGGGCGACAAAAACTCGAAGCGAATCCACGGAACCTTGCCCTTGCCCAGCTCCCCTGCACCGGCCCCCAGCCCACCCGGTTAGTGCACGGTTATATAAGATAAAGATTGTCGCTGTCGAATCTACCGGGCCAGCTCCTAGGGAGCAAGCAGTGGTCATTCGCTGTTGAGGTGTGGACACACGTGTTGTGATGAGTGATGGCTCCGAGCGGCAAGCCTGGCTTCAAACCAACGTGGTTGCCAGGCCCTTACAGGCCCTTGAAGGCCACATCCCGCAGTATTTCACAGTCGTGCTTCGAGCAAAGCAAGGATTCTCCCAAGGAGAGTCTTCTGGGGCAGGCCTCGTGCACAGCTCTTGCGCAGCCGTCGATGCTTATCCTATGGGAGAGTAGCTGTCAGGATTGCGGGCCAGTCCTTGTCCTTGAAGTCTGGGCTGCTGCCCCAGTGCAGACTTCAACACTTATGCGTCTGCTTCCAATAAGAGAAGTCTCGAGGTTCTGCAGGAGGGCGCCTAGCTGAGCTTGTCTGGGGGAGAGCGAACTCTCAACTCTTGCAAGGGTGGTGCCAGATAGTGCCTCCCGAGTGCAACTGCCCATCGATCAGGCACAAATGCCTCACAGCTTCTGTCCCAGGCAGAAGTGCACAACATCCGAGGTATAAATGCTACTAAGCATGCAAGTGATGCAACGCAGATGCAAAAGAACACGGCTGCTGGCAGGTGAACTGTTCATTCATCGTCGATGTGCTGCAGTCGATCCAGCGAAGACATTGCGAGCCATTGTCCTTCAAAAGCTGGCTGCGTGACTCTGTGTTGTCACCTCACGCCAGGCACAGAATGCTGTCAGCACCAGACCTGGCCTTCGAGGTAGTCATCATGCCAGGCGAGTCGGCGAGTCATGTAAAGTAGATGTCGGTGTGTTTGGAGTGACCCTTACTGGTGCGACATCCCTTGCTTCCTTGAGCCCCAAGAAAACATGCGCAACTTCTTATCGAAGGTGCTGATCTGCTTCAAGTTGATCCTCAATCTTTGGCAATTGCAAAGACTGCACGTGCCAAAGAAGGCACCCCTGCAGTGATGTACCTGTATGCAGTGTAGGGAGACCGCACTTAATGTTCTCCACCGCCAGGGCGACAGCGACCAAGCGATCTGTCCCGCGCCCAGCGAAAAAAAGTCAGTTGACCGTGTCTTCTTCGATTTTCTTTGAGCTGCCAGTTTTTGCAGGCGGGAGCGCGTCCTGCTTGATAGTGATGTTCGACGGCAGACATCTATTTTCAGCGTGCTGCCGGAGGAGTTGCCCTGGGATGCCCTGGGTCGATCCGTGTGATCAGTGTGGGGTGAGATATACTGCAGCGACTACCGTAGCGAGTGTGGCTGTACTGCACTGAGCTTGCTGCGAGGAGTCACCATTGCCAACGTTTGCAAAGGGGCTCACAGGATCCTTCGTGACATGGGGGTGCGATTCTCTGTGCCCAAGTAATCGCCTAGCACTCCGAAGGACAACCGCCGCTTTCAATGCGGTGTTCACTTGCACAAGCACCTTCATGGAGCAGGTTGGAGGCACCCCGCTCTTCATGAGATCCACGCATGGCCGCCATGGCCCCTGTCATTCTTGAAGTTTCGCAGGCCGTGCACTTCTTCGACGAACTGCGGATTCTGACCCGCTTTGCCAGCCAGCCGGTTGGGTGTCTGTGGAGCGAAAACTGCGTGCGATCCTGACAGTGTTTTAGGTAAGCGAGTGGACGAGTTGCTTTTTCCTGCTCAGATGCTGTCAGCCAAACCAGCCTAAAGGTCCTAATGAGCGAGGTTGTGCCTGATTGGTTTCGCAAGCAAGGAGAGCGAGAGTAACTAGTAAGCAGATGTGCTAACGGTTGAGCAGTTCCTCCGGGTGGTGGTGGCGATGTGGTTCAGAATCCCCTTTATAATCCTTTATCGCAATCACTTGGCCCGACTACCCGTGCTGCGGGAGCAGCAATGGTTCCTTCACCGAGAAGGCAGGTTCACACGGTGACTGAAGCAGGCAACCTCAAGAGTCTAACAGCCTCAAATTCTAAGCCTACCCGTCCCCCAAAATGAGGTCAGACAATAACCAAACAATGGTAGCACTACAATACAAGCTGTCTCTAAGTTGCCTTGCACGGAGAACTTCACGTACGGCAGACCACCGCAGCTTGTTCGCTCTCGAAGCAGTGCCTTCATGAACTGGCCTTGTCTTATGCCATGGACACCACACCCAGCAGGCTCTGGCCACAGACAGTGCAAGGAAGGGAAGACGGAACTGTTCTTTCTGACAGGCGCAGCGCGAGATTGCAGGCTGCTTTGCAGGAGGGCAAGTCCGGCTTCAGGACTGCCCCTTTTACCACGCGTCTGCAGTGGTGACACTTTGGGGAATGGCCCTAGCACGCCAGTCCTCTTCTACAGAGTGCAAGTGCCGCCAGTGAACCTCAGCAGCTGGGGCCTGAACCTGGCTGATCTGGTCCACTTGCAGAATGAGAGTTGGAGCAACGGAAGCACACTGATTTGAGGTGCGGCGCGTGCTTGCTGGAAATTGACACAGCCAGCACGACACTTAGTCACCAAACCAAGCGCTGATGGCGCATGGTTAGGATCGATCGTGTACGGCGCAAATTGCAAAGAAGAAATCACGGGCCTGCCCACCTCAGGCAAAGAGGGCGAGTTCGTGGCTCTGCTGGACTCCTGCAACCCCACACACTTCTTTCACGTGAGGTCGCTGGTCAAGAATCAACACCCCGGGTCAGCGTCACAGCTTGTGTGAGCAGGTGCATCTCCACATGGGCAGAGCAAGAGAACACCTGCCCGTTGCAGTGCACCCAGTCAAGTCAAGGACGTTTCGGTAGCAAGGCTGTCAGTTTGCACAGCTTGTCTTTGGGCTAACCGCCATCTGCCATCTGAGGTGTAAGTGCAGATTTTCTCGGATTGGCGTGTATGGTGTTGACGGCGACTTGCGACGCGCTTGCCTTATTGTTGAATTCAAAGTGAAAGGTGCTCTCAGTCGTAGTTGAATGCTGTTGAATGTCACTTTGAAGTTTACCAACTTGGGTTTGATTTCGCGACAGCGGCTTTGCTGCCAAGGCGTCATTGCTGTAGAAGAGAGGGATCAAAACTCAGAAGGCCCGATATTCTGGCTGAGGCAAGAGGCGTATAGTGTCCTTCAACTCTTGCAGGAGAGACAAGCGCTGAATTTGAAGATCACGTCTGCAGCATCTGTGCTGAGCCTACATGTGGCTGGTGTAGCTGTAGCTGAGAAAGTGCAGCTGTCAAGCTTCACATTCAGCATTCATCCTATGCAGAGCCAGGCAAGCAGGCGGGCGCGGACGATGCTCTCTTGCTCTGTGATGGACGCAACGGCCACTGTCGTGCCACATGGCCGCAGCGATTTTCAGCCAGTCTTGTTGTTGGTACGTTCGCAGCGCCCAATGTTCGTCTGTGATGGGCCCTCGTCTCAGAATGCCGCCCACTTTCACTGCCTGGGCTTGCAGCGCACCGAGCATCCAGGGGCCCACAGTCGTTCAGTAGTCTTGACAGAGCTAGCCAGGTCTAGAGTGGTTTGAGGCGTCGCGGAGGTCGGTGTTGTCTTGAGCTTGCAGGCCTGGCGTGCCCGAAGGAGAGTGGCCCAGGGCTGAGCTCTAACCATGGCAGGTTGCAAGCAGTCTTTGAGAGTCTGTTGCGTACCTTGAAGGTTCTGTTCCGAATGCCAGGAGAGTTGCCCGTTACTGCAGCCTCCCTGAGTTTTCTCCCTTGCTTTTCTCAACTCCCTGCTTCTCCTCTCCTTTTTTTTTTTTTGTTTTTCTCCTCTCCTTTCCTCTTCATTTCTCTCCTTCCGCCGTTCTAGCCCATCAGGAGTTTCCGCTGTCGGAGTTCATGCAGGGAACGGAGGCAAAGGAGATGGACGGAAGCTTATTGGACATGAAGGACGGCGTGGCTTCTCCGGGGTTCCCAAAGAAGGAGGCCTCGGGCAGGAAAGCAGAGGAAGCAGAGGAAGCAGCAAGCTGCGCCTCGCCTCAGCCGCAATCGACGCAAGTTGCGCGGCCTTCGGCTCTTAAGAAGAAGCCGAAGACCGCGGAGTCCCAGGAGCCCCAGGAGTTCCAGGAGTCCCAGGAGTGCTCCGATGAGTGCAGGGGTGTGGCGCAGGTCCAGGTCCATGGAGGAAGCTCTTCCTCGAAGGCTGCTTCATCGTCAGATGCTTTGGCAGTGATCACCAAGGAAGAGAAGAGGGCGCCGACTGTGCAGGCTCAGGCAGTTCCAAAGTGGATATACAGAAAAGGCTCATGTTTGTTTGTGGATCTGGGTGGCCGTCGCATCAAAGACTCTGCTGCCATGACGGTTGCCAAGTTTGTCCGAGCAGCGCTGGAGAAGGTCAGGGGAGCAAGGGTTGGAGGTGTCGCATCTTTGGACCTTTGCTTGTTGCTTGCGGGAAATCGCCTTAGCCGTCGGGGACTCGAGGCTTTCCTGAGTGCTGCAAAGGAGACTGGGCATCACGTGTCATGCTTGGATGTGGAGCGCAACCGACTGGACCCCGATGCAATGCAGTGGCTGGCAGAATGGCTGACCAGACAAAGGAAGGGTCCACCACAGAAAATCCTGCTCTCGCACAATCGTAGCATCGGTGACTCAGCGGTCAAGAGCTTTTTGCAGCTTCTTGGCCGATCGCGCTCAGGTAGAGACCTGCCACTTTGGGTTGAGGCCAGGTTCGTGGGCATAAAGGATGTAGAGGCAGTCTTGGACGAGCTGTCTGTGGATATCAGCTTGTGCATGGCTCTTGACACGGATGCCTGCGGTCCAGACCGTTGTGCCTCGCACGCTGCGGGTGAGCCTGGATCGCATCTACACCTCCCTGGAATTCTGGACCAGCATATCAATGCAGATCTCGTCTTCCCGACGCAGCCCAATCCACAGGCACAACAAGCACGAGAGGCGCAAGAGGCGCAAGAGGCGCGAGAGGCGCGAGGAGAGTCGCAGGCCAAACAGTGCGCACAGGGAGCCCAGCGCCAGGTCCCGAGCGATCCCGGAAACCCGGGCCGCCGCGGCCACCGGGGTCAGGGTGCCAGGCTGCCGGAGCCGCAGAAAGCAATCGGAGAGGGGTCAGATGCCAGCCAAGCAGAAGAGTCGTTAGAGTCCTTAGAGAAAGAGCGTGCTCAGCGGAAAGCATGGGCGAACTCACTGGGGAAATCGGTTGTAGCAGAGTTTCCAACCCAGGACCTTCCGGCCCCTGCCCCAAGCTGTGGTTTGTGGGACCTAGTCCGTGCCGAGCAGCGCAAGAAGCGCCGAATGGGCTGAGCAAACGAGGCGACATGGCAGATTGTGCCCGTGTCATTCGGCCAGTGCCATTCGGAAATTCGGACTCACGTGGTGCCCGAGAAGAGTCTGACAGGCTCTCCTAGCCGAGCCTGCGCCCGACCGACTCGACTCGACAGACTCGGCAACCCTGAGTCCGAGCAAGATCGCAAGCCATCACATGCCAGAAGAACGAAATCTGTCGGACAACAGTGACAACAGTCTCTCCTTCGCGGATGGCAGCTGGGCTGAATTTGCAAGCCCGCAAGCCACTGCTGTCAATGAACAGTGTCGCAGAACGTCTCTGAGCCACACATCTCTGCACTTCTGCTCTTGATTCGACTTGATGGATACCTGTCCAGCCGTCGAGATGGAGCTTCGTGGGATGACAGCAAGGCATTCAGGATCCGCCCAAACAGCTGCGTACAGTTGCAGCATGTTGCAGCACAGTGTTCTGACCATAGCACAGTTCCTGGGTCTTCAATATGTACGTAAGAGTGTTCCGGTGCCTTATGGATCGAAGCTTTGTATTGGTTCTCTGAAGTCTTAGTGCCATGGGAAAGCGGTCGAAAGAGTGTGTAGAAGAGGATGAAGCGGACGAGGCAGGTGATCTTCGGCTTTCGCATAGCCAGGGCTTCGTTGTGTGACAGATACACTTTCGCCCTTCGCCCATGGGGCAAGGAGCAGCCCACGAAGAAGCTGCAGACTGAGCCGCCCGAGTATGAGGACCACAACTCCCTGAGCTGCTTGGCGCTTCGGAGAGTCGCGATGTTTCGAAGTGTGTGCAGGATCCTGCCCTCGATAACGATGATGGGGAGCCAACGCAGTTTTCGGTCTCAATCGGCGGACTGAGCTTCGACACAAAGCGAGCAGCGGTGCGAAAGGCCTGTCGGCGTGTCGAGAATGGCCTAAAATGGCATAGGAAGATCCAATATGATCAAATAAAGCAAGTCTGTGGCCTTTCCATGACCGCCTGTCTGCGCAGGCATGCGCGAAGTTCGGCGAGGTAGTGACCGTGCGAAGATGGGTGCGCGGGGCCCCTCGCCGAGCCGACGTCTCCTTTTCATCAGCGGAAGAGATGGAAGCCGCCATCCAGGGAATGGAGGGCAAGGACATTGCGTGCTCAGTTGTGTGCTTTCAGCAGTAGTGAAGAATTGTGAGCTCCGGCCTTTTCCTTTTCAGGGAAAATTCATGGCTGTCCCTGGAGGAGCTGGACGGGCGAACTGTCAAAGCGAAGGCTACTCCAAAAGAGGAGGAAGTGGTGGCCAAAAAGAAAGGGAAAGGCAAGGGTAAAGGTGGGAAGGGTAAAGGCAAAGGCAAGGGCAAGAGCAAAGGAAAAGGTGGCGGTGGCGGAGGCAGAGGAAGAGGGTGAGCACAACCGTGCCGTGCAGGAAAAATCCCGCATTTGCCGACAAGCAAGCAGAGCAGTAGCAGAGCGCCGTCAGAGGGATCTACCCCTTCCGTGCAGATTGCGGTTGGACATCGGGTTCTGGACAAAGCCGCTGAGTCCGCAGCCACTTGCTGCACTCGGCTCTGCCAGAATACCAGAAGGAAGGAACCCTCCAAAGCTTTGCCTATCTCCTGCAAAGCAGGATGCCCCCTAGAAGGGAGCTTGACAAGTTCAAGGCACATGCCAAAACTGTTTGCTGTACGCCCTCTTTGCTGCAAAGCAAGTCTCATACCTTTGAACTTGTGTTTGCATTCCTAACCAACTCCTCGGAGGGCCACCGGTTCAAAGTCACTCGCTTTTCAAAAGAAAATTCTGTCACGTTCACGGTCTTCAGCTTAGACAATGTTATCGTCTTCGGAGCTTACCTGCTAGCAGCTGCTGGCTACTCATCAATCTCCTCCGTTTCGATGTGACATTTGGCCCCTTCCGATGGCCCATGCGCAGGCTCAGTGACAACATGAAGTTGTGCCGGCATGAGCCAGAATGGGCTGAATCGGCATCAGGTCTGGGACATTGACGAGGAGAAGCTGCTCCGGCATTTCTGCCTGGAGGATGAGTGCAAGGAGGCGCACAATGGCGTTCTCACCTTCGTTTCGCAGTTTGGCAAGGGGTTGGGCAGGTGCTGGCATGGTTGACAGAGAAAGACTACAAGCGCCCCGAGGACCTGCAAGTGATGCACAGTTACAAAATGCCACAAACGAAGACTCAAGACTCCTCGCCCAGGCCTTCGCAGAGCGGCTGGCGCTCTCAAGACGCGGCTTGGTCGTGCTTGGCCGTGTCCGATTGTTCCAGATCCTCTCTTCTTCGGCTGCATGCAGAAATGCCCACCGGGTGACAGGCCTCCGTGAGGCCAGCAATGAACGTGTCAAGGAGTCTGACATTCGAGAAGCCATGTGGGGAGACCCAGCTTAGCGTTTGTTGCAAGCGGTGCCACCTGGCTTTATCACTTCTGGCGTTTCAGGATGCTTGCGCTGGGCAGCCTGCATTGCTTGGATTTCAACAAGGCGCCAGGAAGGACTCCAGGACTGGGGCCCGGCAGTTCTGCTCTTGGGCTGCAACGCGAGGGCCAGTCGGTGCTGCAATCGGAGGAGCAGAAGAAGGAGGCTTCGCTCTCTTTCAATCTCTTTCAACCATGTTTTGCAGCCATCTTGCCCATGCAGTTGCTGTACAGCCCGCTGCTCCCCCTTGAGTCAGAGAATGTGAGGCTTTGGATGCCACTGTGCCTGTCTTGAGCAACCTCAGGCAGTGTGGGGACTCTGATTTTCAGGGCTCCCGCACGTTTCTAGGTGTAGAGCGTCCGGTGACTGCCTGATAGCTACATCTTCCTGAAGCGCAACGACTCGCACAACTCGGTCCGGGCGGCCACATTGGGACTCACCTTCTGTGACAGGCCCAGACCATCTGCATACCTCCCATGTCGAGAGACGTCTCATGCTGGCACAATCTGGCGCCTGCTCGTCCGTGCCAGGCTTGCAGATGCACCGCTTCCCATGAGGGCGAAGCTTCTGTTTCGAAGAGGCTTTCGTAAGTTTGCGTCTTGTTGAGAAATGATTGCATGCATGCTCAGAAATCAGGCCTCGGCAGGTGCAAGAGCCCAAGGTTTTTGGTTGGTAGTGTGAATGGGCTGAATGGGTGTGAATGCAGTGATGGCATTCTTGTGGCATCTCAGATGCGGGCCTCAGGCCAAGCAAAGGACTACACCGAAGCTTCTCAAGACTTTCTTGGAGCAGCCAGGCAGGTAGTCAAGCACAGGCTTTGATGTTTCAAACGAGGTAGAGTTGGGGTAGCCAACATGAAGCATTTTAGAAGGCCACTGTAAATCTGAGTCGAATTGGATACTGTATCACTGTAGGCAGTTCTGATGGGGCATCAAACCTGAGAGTCTCGAATTCTTATCGCGGGATTGGGCGGTAAGGATGATCAACCAACAGTTCCAGGCTGGGGTTGCTGACAAACCTCCAGCCGCCTCGGATTCGACCGATTGCAACAGGATTCTTCCTGAAGACCGCGAGATTCGGAAAGCCTTGGAGGAGTGCAAGGTGGGAGCCATGCGCTTGATGCACCGGCCACACTTGACCACCGTTGCTCCTTTTTTTCAATCTCCCGTGAGGAATCAGCCCGCAAGCAAAACAGCGACTCGCACAGCAGGCTTTGGACTTCATGTCCAGTTTCTGAGCAGGTTGCTGTTATTAACGCAATGAGGTGGAGAGGCATGATGACAAGCGGTGCTGACAAGCTGAAGGCGCCATGCAACTGTGATCAACTGTGTTTGGCATTGTGTTGACTCACGGAAGTGAGAGGCTTCGGCACGGAGATGCTCCAGACGTGCGCGGCGACAGATGCGTGAGGCAGACATGTGCTCTGGAGACTCTAGTCTTGTTGACTTATTGTTTGCTTTCAGCAGCGCGATGCAGCGGGTGAAAGCTGGTGGGGCAGGTGCTGTCCATGCTGGCAGAGCCTTTGCTGGCCCAGCGCTCGACAGGATTTGTAAAGCTTCCTGAAGCTCTACCGGAATATCAGCCGGCTCGTCAGCACATCTTCAATATACCTTTCATCTGTCCGAGTTTCTGGCCATCATCCTTCTGGCACCCCTGATGGGCGCTGAGCATCCTCCCTTGTGCTGAGTTCACGTGACTTCTCTACTGCATGCGATTATTGCCAAGGTTTGCTGGCGTGTTCGGTTATCTCCTGAGATGGCTAAAACCGAAAGGACGATAGGAAGGTGTCAGATCGGCCTAGCCTGGGCGGTCCCAAGTTCATGATCACCGTGCAGCTGCGACATCGGCCTCCGCGGCGTCCGACAACGGATGCAGCATGGGTGCAGTTCCAAAGCTCCCCAAGTGAAGCGGAGAAGTTGCGACGAAATGCGCAGCGCTCAGCATCTCCATCGATGCACGGCCGTATCGAGCCCTGAAGCAGCGCCAGGCCACAAGTAGCAGTCCGCCAGGCATTCGCTTGATGACGGGTTGCGAGCATGACTGGAATGGACCAAAAAGTGCCAGTGCGATCGCTTGGGCGCCCCGAGTCCCAGAAAAATCCTTCAGATTCCTTCAGATTCAGGTGTCTTCACATCGCATGTCCTGGTCCGCAAATGCTGTGGTGGTCACACCAATATGGCTTTCACGCAGTCTTTAGGAGTAGCTTTCCACCCCAAACCTAAGTGTGCCAGAGCCGCGCCATAAGCTGCACATGCAGAGTCACCGAATTCGCACGTGACTGGACGAGAGAATCCAAACTCGAAACATCTCGTTAGCCGCTGTAAGCCAGAGCGCAACGTCAAAACACATACCCAGGATACAAGCAAGATCAAGCAAGCTGATGTTGTGATCCCCGTTTGGGCACTCTGCACCGCCGCTGCATCGCCGAAGGCCGAATGGGGGTTCGGGTGAGGTCCCTGATGAATGCGATGTGCACACTGGATCACATTGGCATGCGCAGGGAGCGATGGGCCGAGGGAAGCCTCGCAGGGAGCGCAGCTGCACTTTGCTGTGTTGATGCATTTTGCTGCAAGCTGTGTCGGGTGGCGGTTTGAGAGTTGCCCCGCAGGAAAAGCCTGAGGCGCCCGTCGGCGGGCCCGAGTGCTAGCCTCGGACGCTTGTGCTTCACTGTGCAAGAAGAGCCCGTCACACGCCATGTTATCAGCACACGAATATCACAAGAAGCGTGGCAGATCTTCATCAAGGTTGATGTTTGACGTTGTCGCGCCATGCAAAATGCAAGCTTGAAACATCATGATTGCTTTGCTTGATTCTGTCTGTTTTCTTCCATGCATGCTGTTTGGGGTGCTGGCAGTCTTGGTGGTGGCGACGCTCTCCAGTGCCCTCTGAGCCCATTCGCTGCAACGAGGCTTGCAGATTCCGATGTTGAAGAGGCAGATATCGAGGCATTGGCCAGGCAACCGGTGCACCGTCTGTCTTCATCTTGTGTCACGATGTTCATCTGCTGCTGCGCAGGTCAAAGCTTGGGCCGGGGGAGTTCATCCTTGGTGAAGAGCCAAAGCCGCCTCAGGCCTGGTCTTTTTGTGCTTTCGCGGGCTCGCTGTGCCGAGCTGCTGGTCCGATCATTGTCCGGTGTGTCCGGAACGATTCCTGCGAGGACGAATCCGCAGAGGTGAAGGCGCCCGAAAGAGCATTTCAAGCCAGAGAGCTTTGTGAGCTCTTTTACGGGATTCTTCTGGCCATGTCCGTGCCTCCTGGTTCAGGACACCGCAAAGCGAGGTGTCTGCCTAGCACCGCTGCTATTGCAACGTTTGGGTGAGATAGAATACAAGGCCGGCAGACGCCGCTCAGTGCTTCCGGTCGTGAGCATCTGTTGAAAACAGGTGCCCGAGGGTGCAAAGCGCGTCCCTTGGATCGCCCGGGCCTTGAACCTTTGCTGTTGAGCCAGACACGAAGAAGGTGCTTGCTGAGCTCGCGTTCGGATTGCTGGTTGCAAGGACACCATGGCAATAGATGGGCAGAACAATTTGCCGAAAGGTGCCGAGCCCTTACTCTCGATTCAGTGATCGGAGAGGGTGATGCGATCTGCTGTCTTGGGCAACTTGTAGCATCGAGGTCACTGCCAAAGATGGTGTGAAACTCGAAAGCGCCTTCCTAGGCGATCTGCTAATATGCTGTGGAGACTGCAGTCTCGCACTCATTGTTGGATGTTGTAAGTATGACTGTGACAGGCATGGCTGCAGAAGCAGCTGCAGAAGGGTACCGCAGGCCTGTGGCACTGGCTGTGTGCACCATCTGGTCAACAGAGTAGGGTCGCTGAATGAGACGCCTTTCTCACATGTCACTGAAACCATTTGCGGAGCCACTTTGCGAGGTTGCGGGTCATGAAGATCCCCTGCACCAGACCCAACGACTTCTATGCTGAAATGATGCGGTGTGCACCTGAGCGTGCGGGCGTGGCGGTAGGGGCGGTAGGCCCGGTAGGCAGCCTTGTAGAGTTTGTGGTTTCGCCAAACCTTTGGATCCTTCGTTGCTGGCAGAGGCCGGACAAACAAATGTACCGAGTTCGCCAGCAGGCAGCAGAGGAGGAGCGACGAATCAAGGCGAGGCGGTGTGCGGTGTGCACTTTTCTGTGACATCGATGAGATCCAGCGTGCCCTGCACCGCAGATTGTCGAAGACAGAAAGAAACACCAAGCAAGCAAGAAGTTTGCCAAGAAGGCGAAGCCAGATTCAATTCAAGAGAACTGGTTGTTCTTGCTTGTGTCAACTTTCGTGAGGCAAAAGCCAAGAAGTTGGAGGCACGCGCACAGGCCTGGACAGTCATAATCGACGGAGTGCAAAAATCACATTTTGGAACAACGGACACACTGAATTCTGAGACATTCCTGAGAATGTCCCGAAGGAGAAGAGGACGTCCCTGGAGCAGATTGCCAATTGGCGTGCTCGGAAGAAGAGCGAGGGGAATAACACGGATGACCAGGATCTCTCTCTTTGTGCTATGTACCTGTGCTGCGATCTGAATGTGGAGCCAGAGAGCTCGACACAACGCCACCGCATCGTGCTTCACAACACCGTGCACAGGACTTGGAGGAGATTCTAAGTCGACAAGGGAAGAAGAAGGAGCAAGACGGGTAGCTTGGTCGCAGCAGCCGTCTTCCATGTGAGTCACAGCGGGACCAAGAGCTTAGGAAGGGAAAGGGCAAGGGCAAGGCTGGCTCTGAGAGATTCTCACTCGCACCGTCGCTTTGCCTCCGTGTTTCTAAACTGCATGTTTCTTTTTCTTTATGTTCTCTCTCTCAGCTCTCTCTCTCTCTGTCTCTCTCCCTCACGCTCTCTGAGTTTTGAAAGTCGTATCTCGCCTTTGTGAGCAGGCCATGAAGTCGGCCAAGCGCCGCAGCCTTGATGAAAAGTATGGCTTCGGCGGCAAGAAGCGCTGCCCCGAGAAACGCAGTGGAAACGCAGTAGAAACGCTGTAGAGACGTTGAGAAACGCCGAGCTCTTTTCGTCTGGTCACGTTGGGGCCGCCTCGCGCCTCAGCCTCTGAGACTCTGAGACTCTGAGCAAAGGAAGAGGAGCAAGCAGAATGACAAGAGCTCCACGCACGATATGTCTGCATCTCCCTGGGCCGGGAGCCGACCACATGGCAAGCTGTGGAGTCGCACCTTCTGTTTTTTAGAACATGTCACTGCAGTTCGTATGTGATGATGGAGCCTGCAGCTTTTTGGATAAGGGAAAAGGCAAAGCTAAAGGCAAGGGCAGAGGGAAAGGCAAGGGCAAAGGCAAAGGCAAAGGCCCGGCTCGTTTTTTTTTTTTTTTTTTTTGCTTTCTTTATGCCCACGGACTTCATCGGTCAGATCCGGTGGTGACAGGTCCTGGCAACAAGAGGACCATCTTCTTCAACTGGCATTTAGGTTGCATGGGCCTGATATCTGCGGTGACTTTGTTCTTGACGAGTCCTGCAGGAAGCGGTAGAGCCAAAGTTGCACCTGCTAAGTCTCGCCGATAGTGAGCTGCAAAAGGGAGGGGACGCGCTTCGAGCAGTTTGTCTTGCTTTCTGACTTCTATGTGCTTTTACTTCCGGGAGTAAAGGAGTCTACAGCTGTGCTTTTACGTGTTTTGATAGCTGGAGCTGGACTCTGCTGAAGCGCTGTCAGTTTCCAGCTAGCCCTGCTATTAGCCGAGCACGGTGAAAGAATGCTGCAAGTGCAAGCCGGACCTTCAGGCATGTTCAGGCATGTTCCGGGCCGTGCGCATCGGTGTGCTGCAGATTGTCGCGCTGCAATAAACATGATCCATCATCGTAGTCCCTGACAAAGCAAGGATGCGATTTGTCTTGTTGCATGGCATGTGCAGACACCCAGCTGTTCAGGTTTATGTTTCAGAATCCCCAGTAGGCATTTGCATCCCAGCGCTCGGTGGGGCAGCGCTCAGGCTTCAGAGAAAGCGCGTGAATGGGACGTGTATTTGGACGTTTGCATGGCTTGCTACATGCAGGATGGGGGAGAACTTCGATGATGCACCTCGGACACCCTCGGACAGTAGCAAGTTGGATCAGGCGGCTGTGTCGCACAGTGATCGGCTTGTTGCATTTGTTGCATTAGGCAGAGACCCTGGTGCTGGGTGCGCACCTGGCGGAAGGCCTGCCAATCTTGCGACAGTCCCTGCATGTCCCTGCCCTGCACCGTGTGCCGACTTGGGGCTCTGATGGCATGCAGCTGTTTTCGATACCAGATGAAGCCGACGAAGCTGTCGCCGACGCGGCCAAAGGCACAACAGAGGTAGGGCCCTTGGCAGTGGTGACTTGTATGCTTGTGGATGACTGCATGCGTTTTCGCTGCTTTTTCTGTGCTGTTGAGGCGAGCGACGGCTTGTTGGACCTGCTTGAGGAGAAGCCAGAAGTAGCAACGGAGAAGATGCCCCAGATTTCCATGAGAAGACACTTGTGACGGTTTAGAGCTGAAGGATGAAGTGGCTGAGGTCAGAGACACTGCCAGGTGCAATACCAGGTGAAAGTGTACTGGCCAGGTCCCCATCTTTCGTGACACACTCTGTATGTGTCTGTGTGTGTGTGTGTGACACGCGCGGTCCTCGTGAGACTTCTTGGAGAAGGACTCGGCCGCCTCGGGCGAAACGCCAGCGAGTTCGGAGCCGGAGCCGGTCCCAAAAGCAGACGCGCCCGCAGAGCACAAGGAGCCCACAGGCAGGGGGGGACTTTTCTTGCCCCAAGGGTGCGCTCTCCCTCCATCTCCCTCTCCCTCTCTCTCATTCTCTCTCACTCTCTCCCTCTCTCGCGCTCTCTCTCTCTCTCTCGCTCGCTCTCTCTCTCTCTCTCTCTCTTTTTCGTGCCTTATACTTTCTTTGAGTTTTTCTAAACTCGTTGTCTCAAATTCCCGATGTCTGTCTGGCACTGTTGGGCGCTTTGGTTGTCACATAGCGAAGGCTGGGTCGGAAGGCCAAAGCCTTAGGGAGGAAGCTGTGTTGAACGCTCTCGTCTAGCAACGCTCCCATTATGTCACTTTCATTCTCGGTACAATAGTTCGTATACCCGTTACGTAATATCAAGCGGGTCTGACGAGTCCAGGACCGGTCGATATTGAATTCCCTTCGACATTTCATGGAACCAAGATTGCTGAACATTTTCTCCTGGCATCTTGGTTCTTAGTTCTCAGGTTCCGGGCCAAGATTGCAACTCTGTATGCTCATTCAATATTTGGGTTCGAACCAAGAGCCATGAACCAAGATGCCCAGGGAGAAGCGAGCAATCTAGGCTTATCCATTCAATGTTCAATGATGGTCGAGGTTGTCTTTTGAAATGGAATTCCCACAGCGTCCTCTTCCGAAACTCTTACGCCAAAGCTAACAACCCAAGCCCCAAACCCGAAAAGATCCTGATAGGAAGGAGTGGTGGGTGGGAAAGTACGCCGGACCGTGAATGTATAGTGTGCCCTTGCCTGCGAAAGGAGAGCATCCTGCACCCCTTTCCCAAGCTAGTGAGCTTGTGACGTGTTTTGTTTTCCAGGTGTGAAAAGAGCCGCGACGCAGACGCTGGACATAATGGACATGGAGGACGTTGAAGCAGGCCGGTAAGGATCAGCCCTGGGCGCAGTGCACTCTTGGAGTGCATAATTGCAAACGCAGGCCAGCCTCCGTCCGATGAGCACTCGGCAGCGCCGGCCTTGATGCGGGTCGAAGTTGCTGTGCATACAGGGCGCATATTGTTTTGCCACCCTTGGTGTGGCGTTGCTCTCCTCGCCTCCTCGCCCGAAAAAGAGAGGGTGATTTCGACATTGGTTAGCTGTGGGGTGGGATGATCGAAGTAGTTGTCTTTTTGTTGTTCCTCTCTCTGTCTTTCCATATATGTATACCTGCACATGTGAGGTATTGTCACGCAGTGCCCACCTATTCTATGTACGTATGCATGACATATATATATATACACATGTATAGAAAGTGTACGCAAGTACAAGTTCATTCATGGTATACATGACAACTACATGTAGTATATCTACGAGGTGCTGTCGTCGGTGAACTTTGCCACCGCCACGGACATTGTGCAACATGCTCAGCCGCACGCACAGCAGCGAGGCTAAGCAGTTTGGGCTGGGTTTGTGTGCTGAGGCTCACATCAGACTGCGTCTCCGTAGGCCGGTGGGTTGCTGTGGGAGTATAGGATGGGGACTGGTGTAGGTTGTGTTTTGCCGCTGTAACTCAGAATCTCGACTTTGGCGAAGTCGGGTGAAACGAAGGGAGTGTCATCGTGCGGGCGTGCTCGGCTTGCTAGTTCAAGTGTGCCTCATGTTAGGCATGTCGGCCGCATGTAGCGAAACAGGTGACGTTAATGAGGTTAATGGTTGAGTTGTCCGCAGCAGACTAAGTGAACATGATTGTGGACAGTTGTTCACTTAAGGGATATCCTTCTCATGCATGACTGCATCTTTGCTCTCGCCAAGCGAAGAGGCTGAGGCGTTCAATTTTTTTGGCATCTAGATACCATGGTATCTCAATGGAGTTTCGCTTGATTCACCTTGGTTCACCACACCAGCCAGCCTCGAATGTTCCAGATATGGCTGCCCGCCGTGTCCAGGCAGGGACGAGTCGAATGCCATTACTTTGACCGATCCGCCGGGACCCCGCCACACGTACACGCACCCACAAAACGTAAAGCCATCCAAGTCCGAACCTCGCAAACTCCATCTTTTCACGCTGCCCAGGCGAGTCTCGAACGAGCAGTTCCGAGTCCATCGGAAGCCTCTTAGTGCTCCTGGCCCCCAGTGGAGCTACGAACTAGAGGACACTGGCTTTGCACCACTATCTCACGCATTCTTGCATGATGTGCGCATGTGCCTCGACCATGTCATGTCGCAAAGTTTTTGCAGAGGACTGCTCTAGAAATGGGACCCTTGTGAACAAGAAGCTGCTGCGGGCGGTGGCTCAGCCAAGACAGATAATTGGCTCGTCTGAGGCCGCATGTCTTCTCTCTGACTTGGGCTGCTTTTGCTTTAGGCAAGACTCATTGCTTCATTGTTGTTTTTGATCTCTGGCTCTCCCGCACCGTGGGCGCCTTCCGTCCACCTTTGGAGGGCTTCATGCGAACCTTGCAGCGCCCTGGCAAGCGCTTTTTTTCCCACCCCTAATGTGGGCTTGTTAGATGTTGAACTAAGCCATTCTCCTTGCCCGGGCCTCCCGAACCTGCGGAGTTTCCGCAGCGTGCTCGCCCGCAGCGTGCCCGCCCGCCGCAGAGTGCCCGCCCGCAGAGTATCTAGAGTATCCGATCTGTCATGGAGTATGCCTGCAGCGCACGCACCCGCAATCCTCCGGAATATCCCAAGTTTTTTCCTGGCTTGCTCTTCCGGATCTGACGGGATTCTTTCTTCGCCTTTTGATTCTCCGAAGCATCCGTTTCTTCGGGTGGCGCGAGCTTGTCGAGCTTGGACGGCTGGGATCCGCCGTCATGAGTCACGAATTCGAAGCGCCTCTCCTCGTTACATCTCGCTACGACCTCTTTGGACGCTGGGATACACTGGGGCGTCGTGGCCCTTTCCCGCTTCGAATCAGTGATGGACATGCCGCATCATCTCAGATCTGACAATCCGCCGAAGCCATTGCAAGGACTTCGGTGTCCCCGACTGTATCCGGTTGCCGCCTCTTTTGAGGTGTGTGTCATTTGGCTGCTTCAGATGGCATTTCCCAGACGAGTCCTGTGTGTGTCTCACGCCTGTCTCTCCTCGCTTAGCTAGCCGTCGTAGAGCGTAGGCCCTGCCCGTTTTCGGGTTTGCATCTTGCACAAAAAACGGCCGCTCTGTCCATGACCGCTGTTACTTGGACCAAGCTAGTGTTGAACTTAGGCGAAGGTTGTCTTGAAGGATCAGGACAGCCTCAACGTGAGCTTGCAGCTTTGAAGGTGTCTGCTTCGCTCTTTGATGCGCCAGGACTTGGTAGAAGTACTTCCAGCTTCGAAGGCAAGTCCACACACTGGCAGTCAAGGGCTCTGAGCTTTTTGTGAACACTGTTCTTGGTGCAGGTTGGTCAAGCGGCAGCCATCGCGTTTTTGTTCCATGCTCCAGAAGCTGATGCACCGGTACCCAGAGAATCTCGGGGATTCACCTCGGAGTGCAGCTTTCGTGTTGTTGCCTGACGCTACGATCTCAGGCAGAGGAAGGTCCACCTAAGAAGAAGATTCGACTGGAAGGCTTTGCAGATCTTTGCAGCGTTCTGATGCGCGTGTGCACTGTGCACTGGTTGTCGACGCTCCGCGCATTCACCGTTTAGCTTTGCCATCGGGCTCAGGCTCGTCCGGAGCCTGGAGTCTTCCTGTACGTATTAGTCACGTAGCAATCGCATCATGCGGTGCTGTTGCAGAGCATTCGAGACGAGTCCTTGTCTCCGAAATCGGGCCAAAGTGCAAGAGGCTGCGCATTGTATCTAACGATTCGCGATGTCGGGTGCGGCTCAAAAGTCTAGGTATGTAACTGGCTCACGGGCGTCTTTCCGCGACATAGGGTTTGTAACAAAGCCGTTCTGCTTGCGACAAGCAGTCCGCGACAAACCTCCGCGACAAGCCTGCGCGACAAGCCTTTGCGACAAGCCCCTTCTTGGAACTGCATGGGTTTCGTATCTCTTTTTTCAAGACAGCGCGAAGCAGCCGCGACAAACCCCGCGACATACGTATGAAACAAGTGGGCGCGACATACGTATGTAACACAGGCGGGTGGCGGGACACCGCGACATACCCCTATTTAGAGCCACAGCCTTATAGGTGCGGCCTTGATTTCGGCCGGTCTAATTCCACAAGGAAGGCTGTCAAGGGAGGAGGGGAGTGAGCAGTTTCGTTGGCCCTTGATCTAAATCGCCGGTTGGCTAACGCCGTGGTTGATTATGTCGGATTTTTTTGGGCTGGTTTTGGGCCAGGACCGGGTGAGTCAGCTGGTGTTGATGTCTCCAGCTCGGATGCAGCAAATGATGACGTCACCAGGTTGCTGAAGCTACAATCTGCAACGTTCTTGTAAGGCTGAGACCATCTTCCAGGGCGCTATGTGCGCAATCTGTCAAGAGGCACATTGAGCCTTGCAGCAACGGGCTATCAGTTTTCCTTGATCGAGAGGTGATGCATCGTGCCACCAGTGTGTGGGCCAAAGTTGCGGAAATTGCAGTAATCGTTCTGGTGCTCACGCGCCCGTTGTCCTGCGGGAAATGTGACGTGGTAGAACCAGATATTTGGTAAGAACGCAACCCGCGAACACCAAATCAGTGTCTGCGCTGACAGCACAGATTCAAGTTCTTGAGTCATGTTCTCATCGTTGTGTGTTGCCATTCGCGATCGGTTGTTTTCCAGATGAGGTGCAGCCATGCATGCACAGCACTCCTCGACATGTGTTTGACTTGAAGTGGAGCCAAAATCTCTTAAACCGTTCATCTCTGCCAGGCTTCTGCAGCTCCTGCCTGGGTGGCTGGCTGAAGCGGCCTGGTGACAAAATCCCAAGGCACACCTCTCACACCCACTAGTGCCATGAACTCCATGACTATTGCTAGCGAGACATGCTGCAACCATGCAGTCCCTCAGCACCTGCGATGCCGTAAGCCTGTTGACTCCTTGTGCCCCTTTTCTGTACACCTGCAGAATCTGAACGCGTCGCGGTTCGTTGTGCTGTGCAGCTTGCAGCTTGCGGTCCCGCTCTATTGACAGAGTGTTCACACCAGCAGCTAGTTTGCTGGCTACCGGTCGTGGTGTGGGTCTGGTAGTGGACGATTTCTTTGTTTAGTCCTGTGCTCAGTCACAAAACCACACGCTTGTGTGGAGCAGGTGCCCGATCTGTCGACAAGGGGTCGCTGCGGTTGGCAAGAATCATGCGCTTGACAGCATGATCGAGGGCCTGCTGAAGGCAAAAGCTTCCTTGCTCGGATGCCATGCCTCTGCCCGAAGCGACACAGGCGCACCCTGATCGACAACGTTCCATCGCAGCAATATCTGATCTGGACAGCCGTGATCCGCTGCACGAGACATGGATGCAATGGGGGGGGGGTCGTTGCGCATTGTCTGTTCTTAGTCGTTCTTGGTGCGAGATTTTGCGAGACTAGAGACATCCACCAAGGACTGTGGCTACGACTTGCTGAAGCTTCGCGGGCCCGGGGACGTGGCTGCAGGCCTGATGCGCAATGCCCTGTGCTGGGCACGTCGGGAAGAACTTGGTTCCCAGGTTTGGCGCGGGTGGTGGTGGCTGCAGCAGCTGCTGCAGAAGGCATGGATGCAGATAGTTCGAGCGAGAGATGGCCTCAGTTGGCAGTCAGGCAGAAGTTCAGAAGCTCAGTGATGCAACCTTTTTTGCAACTGTGGTGCCACCAAGGCACTCGAGTCACTCAGATTCCGAGTATGAAGAGGCAGGTCAGCAGTGTTCAGGAGAACCCCCTCCAAACTCCTAACGCTGCCATTCTGAGTGCAAAGGAGGAGGCCAGGGCCCCACTGTTGGCTGCCCAGCTTCAAAAACTGACAAGTGACATCACGTGACATCAAGTGCCATCAAGTGACGCTGTGACTGAAAGCTGGCAATTTCACAACGAAGGCATGCCTGGTCTGCGCCAGGAGCAGGCAGCCTCAGTCTTCCTAGCTTGTCCTAGCGTTCCTGAGGTGTTTAAAGTCATCAATCAGATTTTGCCCTGAGGCTGTGCGGCCTCCCTGCTTCCACTGTGGAACCCCGGCATGGCAACCCTTGCGCCCCTTGTCTTTGCAATTCTTATTTCAAATATATTCAACCTGTCGTCTTTTTTGCTTATCTTGCTTTCTTTCTTTATCGCTCCTCCGCTCCGGCGCGGCGCAGGAACTTGTTTGCCACATTGTTTCGCTGGCTGTTAAGGTGCAGCTGTTGACCTCACCACGTCGGCACCGATACCGGCTGCAGCACTAATGAAGTCGGCGCTGGTCCGTGCCTTGATGCCGCCTGGGTCTTGCCGTTTTGCGGTGGTGTTCGCAGCCGGAATTGCTCTCAGGCCAGCAATACCTTCGAACAGGAGATCCTGCAGGCCGTGGGCGCATGGTAGGCTCACGGGCTCGTCCCTTCACAGATGACCAGGAATGGCTCCACAGCAAAGGAACCAGCCTGCAAGAGGCATATGGGGTCACAAACACTTAAGCGCAGTCTCAGAGTCTCAGCCCGTGATGCTTCGGCTTTGGCCTTTGGTTGACAGGCCATCCAGAATGTCCTCGCGAACCCGAATCCGGCGTGGTGCTGAATCTTCACGAAGCATTTACACAGTGTTGCAGCGCGGGCGGCCTCTCATATCTAAAATCCACCAGCATACTGCCGTGCATCCTAGCAGCACCTAGAGCACCTTGTCACCCCAAGATGGGTCATGGGAAGTGTGCATTAGTACCAGCAGCAGGATACTTGTAGCATACCGTTGCGAGAAGAAGAGGGAATGTCAAAAGGCTTTCTCGTGACTTCTCATGAACCAATGGAAGACGAAGGACGGCGTTCCCGTGATCGAGGTCCGCAGGGCGCCCGCTCCAGGAGGACAGAACCCGGAATCAGCCCCTCAGAACTGCGTTGTAGCTTCTTCCCGTTTTCTGACCTTAACCCGACGCTGACTGGCCTTCAACCTACAAGCCTCCTCAAAGCCCTCAAAGCCCTCAAAGCCCTCAAAGTCCTCAAACCGAAAACAAGACCCTGTAAAACCCTGACAATTTTAGCTCATTTTGACATAACAGAATCCCCCCCAAACTCTGAGGAGGGCCGGGAGCGCTCCTGGACTTGCCCATTGGCGCCGGGAAGCTCAGTTAGGATCGCAGCGCCTGAAGCTGACACACCTGGGAGTTGTTTTTTTTTTCTATTCGGATGATCTTAGGACTCAAATCTCAAACGTATTTCGGGGCATACAGAGGGACAGGAATACCACCTTCAGGAGTCAGGTTTTAGGTTTTTTTTTTGGTTCCTCCACACCTTCTCTTGAAGAAAGCGCTATAAAGCGCTAAAGAAGGCATTCGTCACACAGGTCGCTGCAATGCTTCTTAAGGCGTGGACCGATCTGGCGATGTGCCAGCCCTGCAGGCCGCATCCCAGTTGAAAGCCTCCACGTTGCTGCGTCTTCACATTCGATCTGTTGTTGCAATGTGTTTGGACAGGGGGCGTTTGGTTTGGGCTTCTGTTTTGGATCGCAAGGGGCAGTTACATGCAGTTGCTTGTGATACTGGTAGGGCTGGCTTTTGCCGGTGCTAGACATTAAGACACGCACCTCTGCTGCGTCCAGTCAACTGGTGTTGCGCAGTGTGGCCGCCTGCTAAGATGCGTCTGCTGGGTTCATCGGGGTTGTCGCTTGCTAGCACGCAACTGTGTAAGGTGTATTCGATCAGAGAGCGAATCCAGAACGAGGCTCCCTTTTAGTGTGAGCGCGCCTCTTCTATTCTGCGTTTATCCTGAGGGTTGCAAAACAGGGTTTCTGCTGTCACTGCAGCACTATTTTCTGAGCAAGTGCACACAAGCAGCCTCTCGTTGGTATCAGGAGCTACCCGAGAGAGCTAGGGGCCGGTGCACTCAGACCTTAGACAGACGGACAGTCTTATTGCCACCACAACAAGTTTCTGAGGCCGTGGGAACTGCTGGTATGGGCGCTCTTGCCGGACACAAAGCCACAAGCGCATCCTGCCAACTTCTCCGAGAAGGCAGGACGACCAGCAACTTGTCCACCTGCCAGGCGGTTCCACGCCGAGCGCCAACCTCTTAGCATGTTTGTTGGCACATGCCGAACGAACTTGATGCTGCACACTGGTATTATGTGTCTCCTGAGGTTTGAATCACATCTGTGCTCAAACTCGTTTTCATTGATCTGATTCGTGTTTCGATTGGAACCGGACCGCAGACTGCAGAAGACTGCAGCATGCCATAGCATCTAATCATTGAATCGTACGCATGCGGCCTCCTCTTTGCGAGCTACCAGAGTTCTGCATAGATGCAGCCATGTACAGTGTACAAAGTACAATCTGCTGCGAGAGCCTGCTATGGAAGTTAAAAGCCTCACGGTTGGGCAGGCGTTGGCGCCCTTACCTCTTGCGTTGTTTGTATTGTCTTCGGGGGTCCGCAGCAAAAAGCCTCATCGACAGCAACTCAACCTTTAAGGACTGTCTTGCACAAGCTTGCAAGCTCTAGATGTGGAGCAGCAGGCTCTGGTGCCTACCTAGAACACCATTGCGGCACTATCCGGTAACCACACCAGCTCGCTCAGCAGTGTACCACAGCCACGCGATGAGAAAGCTGAAGTTCCACGAACAAAAGTTGCTGAAGAAGGCTGGGGACTCATACCAGGGCTGTTTGCTGATCTGGGAACTTCGTTGAACTGGATCGTTTTCCCGCTCTTCCCAGGTCAACTTCTATGACTGGAAGTCGACAACAAATGCACCTCGACCAGGAACATCATCAGCGAATCCACTGCCTCCAGCAATTTCGCTTCGTACTTCCTGAAGCCTATCTCGCATTGCTTCCAGATGTCAACGTCGACTTCGCATGGACTCCGAGGTTCGGGAATCGGCTTTGCTTCAAAAGTACCAGATCGAGAATCGGGAAGACTTCACGAAGCAGCTTGGCAAGATGTGCGAAACCTCTCGAAGTTTCATGCCATGGCCTCGCAGGGCTGTGAGCCTATCGGGAGCCTGAGGTATCACAAGCTAGCAGGTCTTGTGACAAAAGTGGTGGCGAAGCTTCGCAAACTGAAGGCGCGAAGCATAAGAGATTCTTCACGGTGCCTTCCTGGTATTACGTTGGCAGCTTTGCATCAGTGCCCTGGTCACATAGAGGGTTCTGTGGCCGCAGGCTTCGGACGAAGACCGTATCAAAATGACAGAGATACTTCTCGACAAGCTCTACTCACTGGCTCTTATCCAGAACAAGCAGAGTTTAGAGGACCTGTTCTGATTGTCGGCATGAGTCGCAGAGCCCTTCACCCACTCAAAATGTCTCAAAATCCTCTGCAGAGGATTGTGTGGACTTGCACACCTCCAGATTCTGCAGACGGCGCCTTCCTGTCATCCTTGTCAAGATGAAGTCCTTGGCTCGGAAGGAACTCCCTGGGCTCTCCTGGGCGAGAAGGGGAATCTTGATATCTCTCGGGTTGATCACATTCTGTCTTTGTCAACACCTGTTTTCAAGGCTGTGCGAAAACCTCCCCCAAGCCATCGCGTACATTAAGCAGGCCTGGCATTGAACCATGCGGCATCAAGGGGGGGGGCTTGCTTTTTTCGAGCCATGCAGAAGTGCCATTGGCATACTGAGCATACTGCCTCAGGGCGAGATTCGGATTGGCCCGGACTTGGCTACCAATCCGGCTCTTCATGTCACGCGCGAAATGGAGGACAGTCTGGGGGCAAACTCCGAGGAACCATGCAGCTCCAACGTTATGTGCCTTTGAGGACCACATCACTTGGGCTGAGGGTTCAAAGATGAGGCGTCACATCAAAGAGTTCAGCAATGAGGCACGAGTCGCATCGAAGTCGTGCTTACATTCTTTAAACTGCGAGCAGGTGTGAAGCTATGTACACTTTGACCCACTGCAGGTCGACGACTTCGACCTCCTGGGAAATTAGGAAGATCTTTGGACATGTTAGCTTCCGCGTGGTTTCACCTTCTCGGAAAAGGGTTGCTCCCACATTCTTGCGTTGCGGGGCGCGAGCGAGCTTCACTCCGGACCAGTATGTAGATCTGCGGTTCTTGCAATTGTTCTTGTAGCGGGTTCACGTTGACGACTCCGGATGGTAATCTTTATTTAAAGGCACTTCCCACATTCTACAAGAATCATCGCTTCCTAGCAGCAAGCGGATCTGAGCAGGTGATGCAGCTGACTCTGCAGTATTGTGTTTAGCTTTATGAAGATTACGGCTTCGCATGTGCATTGTTCCTGAGGAGGTAGATGATGTCAACGTGTTTGCGGCATGTCTGAAGTTGGAGCTGGTGGGAACAAGTAGGCACGCGATCTCCTCCTTTTTGTGAGCTCCCAACGTCCCGGATGCCCACCCGATCTCCCTCTTCTCCCCGCTGCCCTGCATCCCTTGATAAAGCACGAAACGGGAACTTAACCTCAGAGGTGTTTTTGTGGCCTTGCCTGCCACATTCCAGAGTGAAGGTCAACATGCCTCAGCAGCTTGTCCTCAGCCCCGCCTCAAGCCTTGTTACATTGTTACTGTCTTCGCCGTCGAGTACTGACGCCGAATAGAACACAGAACAACATCTTGTATGCAAGAGCCTGAATCGAGCCTGCACCCAAAACATCCCATGACTAAAGCCAAGCCCCCAAAGCCCTCAACACTGCCTTGCTAAAGAAACGCTGTGATCAGCATTGGAATGCTCGAGCCATGGCGCTGCTGGACAAAGCCACCGATTTCCGGCGAAGTGCGACCAAGCCTGGCCGCCAGATTTTTGGGGGGCTTGGATGGGTTGGGACAGGAATGGCCCCCCCCCCCCCCCCTCCTCCCGGCCCAAGGACTATGTCGGAGAGATGGCAGACCTTCTCCATGCCGGGAGCTTTCAGGCGCCTTTCGCGCAGCGTTTGTTGTGGGATTTGCAGGGGCCTAGAAGGCTTTAAGGTCACTGTTAGGAACTCTAGGGTTGAGCAGGCTTAGCAGGATCCTTCAGCCTTGAGCTCGGGCAGCTCCAGGCGGGCGAAGGAGGCCATGACCGGTCCGGCAAAGATGCCTCACGACCCTTTGGAGGAAAGAAGGGCCCGTCACTGAAATCAGCAAAGACCCTGTGATTCTTACATGCCGCTCCTGCCCGTGTGTGCTGGCATGAGCTTGAAGGACCAGCGTGCTGAGCTTGTCGAGCTGGATGCCTTGATTTCAATTCTGGGCACCTGTGCTTCGACCTCACACACGAGTGGTTCCAGCATGCACGGAGAGCTTCCTTCGTCCCTGCATGGCGCAAGAGGCCAGCACCCTGTCCACCTCCGTCGACATGCCCCCGACTCACCTAGCTGGCCTCTCCATTCTCATAACTCTCTCTCTCTCTCTTTCTCTTTTTCTCTGTTTCTGTCTTTCTCTGCCTCCCTCTCTCTTCCTTCGTGCTTTGTCTGAGCTTGCTGTTTTCCCCACTTCATCCCGGGCACGTGCACTGACACCAGCCAAGTCTGCCTTTTCAACGCTGAGGCTGGCAGCTGCGCCGAAACCTTTGTTTGATCCCCTCAGCCGCTTCTACAGCCGGGGCCCTTAGAGGCCCTTCAGTTTCTACAGTTCTTGTATCTTAGCCACTTCGGGGTAGCCTGACCTCTTTAAGGCTCGTTTAGTGTAAACGGTATGTTTTGATGGGGAGTTTGTGTTGAAGTGTGAACGTGCACGCAACTGACGGTGCAAAACTGAAGCGGTTTTGGGCAGCAACTGTTTTCATGGCCACAGTTATCCAAAGATGGGGCCGGCAGGAAGGACCATTCAAAAATGAGACAAACGTCGCTCTGGGCTGCCTAATTCGATAGTGTGAGCTGGACGAAGAATTGCCACCGGTACCTGAAGTACTTTAACAATGTAACAATGTGAAAACCAAGCCTGAAGCGAGGTCAGGGCATGCCCGGCAGTGCAGCCATCCAAAGACTTTGTCTTCAAATGGACGGCTTTGCCAGCCATGTCAAGGAGATGTGCCCCTGCAACTTTGTTGTGACTTGCATGGACTTGCCCGCTTTGCGGAGCAACCAAACGTGTCTCGGAGTCGAGAAGTCGACAGGAGCACGAGGCGGAGATGGAGGCATTGCAAAACAAGCTCCGGGGCTTGTCCAGGGCTCGTCCATCCTTTTTTGAGAATCCTTTTGAACCCTTTCTTTCAACCCCTTTTCTTGGAACACTTGTCGTGCGCCTGTGCAGAGAGAGAGTGTCTTACTCAGGTCTGAACGAAACAGGACTGTCCATCAGCGTGGTCCCCTGTTCTCTTGAGCTCTACTTGCCCTACTTGGGGGCATCTTTGCGGCCCTTTGCATCTTTGGAAAAGAGAGGTCTTTCTCATCGAGGGATGCGGCTTGGACAAGTCAGGAGCTGCTCGTCAGCTCGGCAGTGCAGCACTTGACATTGCCTAGCATGCTCATCTCTGCGAGTGGCAGATGCGACGGAAGGACCACTACACCAAGAAACTGGAGAAGCTCCGGGATCAGATTGCCAAGAGTGGCAGTTCGTAGTTCCGGCATGCGTGATGCCTCATGGATCTTGCCGGTACCTGCGAATCCTGTCTGCTTCCGCAAGTTTGGCCAGGTCTGGACTGGTGGAGAAGCTCAACAGAAATGAGGAGAAGAAGCGACACAGCCAGCAGGCCCACGTTTCATGAGCTGTTTCGTGTGCTGTGCCTCACATGAAGCTTGCACTCAGGAATTTGCAACACGAACCAGCGAGACAGGCCTGTCATATAACACGGCATGGGGGCACAAATTTAAACGCAGGCGTCGACTAGCAATGACTTGTGAGGACGACAAGTAAACGAGGCCCTGTCGAACAGGTGGCAAGAAGTTGGAGAGGCGCCAACATCACCCAGTCAGCTGTGCTAGCCATTTTTTTGTGTGCCTGGCAGCAGGTCGTGGCTGAGATGTGCCAATATTACACAGTTGTTTTTCAGGCACGCTTGCCGGAAAACCGAGCCTGGAATTTTGTCAAGACTTGTTTTAGGGTCGTTGCTGAAATCCAGGCCGCCGGGACGTTGAGGCAGGAACTGCAACAGGCCGGGCAGAATTTTTGCAAAACGAAGCCACGGAACTTGCAAGTCGAATTGCGGTTGCCCGCGGCCAAGGTTTGTGCAGAGCTGACGAAACCCTCCACTACACAAGCGCTTGCCCGCATGGGTCGGGACTGCCTTGCGCCACCATGCACCACGCATCAATCACATGCTCAAAATGAAATGTGTTCGGGCCAAGGTGTTGCATAAACAGTGCGACCCAGACAATACAGATGCTCCTTTGCAGGAGATTGCGTCTCAAGCACAGGAGACGGCAAACACCTTCGTCGACTCACTCAGGGCCAGGCGGGGAATCTACGCGGCATGTGTCTGAACGGAAAGGCTTGAAAGCCTTGGGGGGCCTGCTGTCAGGTGTAGCAAGTGGAATGAGGGTTGCAAGCTCGGCTCTGTAACAGGCAGAAGCAGCCGACAGCCAGCCCCGCTGCATCAAGACATGCTGAGGTGAAGGAACAGGTTCCGGCCCTCTGGCCTTGACCCATCAGTACAGATCATCAAGGCGAGCAAATGCTTACAAGGATTGCTGCTTAAAGGGGGTTTCTCTGCACAATTTGTGCACATCTGTGCAGGTCCAGCTCCCAAGAGGCCGAACTTTGAACGCAGTTTCCGAGCAGCTGCTTGGTTGCTTGTGTGAGACTGAGATGTGAGGCCTTCTCCTCCGAAGGTGGCGAGATAATCGAGGCGCACGTGGCATTTTTATTTCTCTGTGCGTTCGCCTAAAATGCAAGAGCCAGCTGCATTTCAGGGGCGCCCAGTGGCTTCCGGCTACTCGAACGGGGCAAGCTGGTGGAGCCCTTATGACCTGAGTTGTCCCTCGTCTCCATCGTCTAGTGCCCCTCTCCCGTCTACCTCAGGCCGGCTGCGCAAGGATGGCCCGTGCCATCCTCGTCTGAGCCTGAGGCTGAACTCTAACGGATTTTTTGAACACCATCTTCCAAAATATGCGCTCGGCAAGCTAAGGACTTGGCCAAATGAGGTTCGCTCGCTGCGAAAGACTGCTCAGTGCATCTCAGTGGGCATGACGCATGACTCTGGAAGAGGCCATGGGAGCTCAGCAGAGCCAGCCGCGATCCCCATGGGACACGAAGGAGACGGAGTCAGATCCAAAACTTGCTTGTGTGGAGATGTAGACTCTGAGTCGGTTTCATAGCAACAGTCAGCATTCTCAATTGTCGGAGCGTCCCAATGCCACGTTCATGCCGCTAAGTCTAAGTGTTGCGCACATGTTCATAGGGCAAGCGCCGACTAGTTAAAGAGGCACGTTTGAGCTATAGGTCGGCACGCAGCGACAGATGCAAGTATGCAAGCGTTGTGGCCAACACATGTTCAACGCAGGACCGCAGAGAGGTGAGAAGCCCCTGGGGCTGATGCACTTCACTTTCGTTTCACGCCCAAAGCCGGCTTCAGATGCCAAAGTCAATGCACCTGTCAAACGGCCCTTGCTTCACCACTAATGCTTCTGCTTTGCTAATGCTTCACTACTTCGGGAGATGGGGTACTTTCTCAGTTGTCAACTGCAACTGACGTGTGACCACTGCAGTCCAGCTTCACAGCATATGGGGAAGTTGAAACATGCAGGCGAGCCAGATGGTGGTACGTAGGTCAAATCCTGAAGCTCTCCCTTAGTTCCAAGAAAGTGTCTCTTACGTGCAGCCAGCATGCTGTTTTAGTGGTGGCCCCCACGCATAAAAAAGCCTGAAGGCCCGATCACGGCCATTACCCTGTTCATCCTTGGTCATTTTGGGCTGATGGTTGTGGAGCCTGCCCAGATGCCGTCCTTGCGCGAAATCATGATGAACAGGGCGAAGGAGCCTGCCAAGGTGGGCTTTCGACTTGTCGACGCTAGCAGCTCGATGCATCTGGTCCTGTTCATCACAGGTGCACCCGATGGACCGAGTCTGGCTCTCAGCTTTCTGGGGTTTACAATGGCAGACGAAGATCATGAAAGTGTGCCCAGGCACCTCCCTCTCCCCAGACTGCCCCAGACTCACCTGTGGGCCGAACTGGCTCTCCACTTGTACAGGCGCATCTCCATCTCTCCATTCATTGTAGCAGCACTTCAGTGCACTTTCGGCTGTTGGCCAACGCGCAGGCAGAGGTGAGCACCCCTCAGCGCAGCGGCTATGGGCGTCCTCCCAGGCAAGGGTTGTCGCGCGCCTGTTTGAGCACTGTTTGCCACCTCTTTGTGTGGTCAGCTGGATGCCTCAGGCCCAAGCCGACACCAGGCCTGAGCAACGGGGTGAGTTTTGGGCCTTTGACTTCCCCCTTTGTGCTGAGTGGCTCAGGACAGACACAGAGTCCCGGCAGTGCTGGATCTGCACACCCAAGAAGGCGCGCGATGCACTGCAGACTTTTGCTTCGCTTTGTGATCCTGGCTTGTCCACCACGTTAAAACGCCAGTGTGTGTTCTAAGCTGCACATGTGCAACGGCCAAAGGCGAAAACAGTTCTGCATTACACGAGGAGCACGCAGGACCGAGACGGGAGCGCCTCGAACAGGAAACGCGAAGTAAAGCCTCCAGGGGGGATTACGTGCCTGCCACGTTTTTGCGGCAGGGAGCGATTGAAAAAGGGTGTACGGGACCAAGGTGAGAACGAGAATTGGAGCATGCAACGCACACGGATTTTGGGATGTTATGTAGCAGACTGTCGAGCACCATTTTTTGCAGGGGACATGCACTTAGCAGCTTGCAGGGCCAGAAAGTGCACCGTGGTGAGCCGCGCTAGTTGGCTTTGTGCCGTTACGTGCCGCATGTGCCGCTCTGTGCGCCGTTGATCGAGGCCCGGAGGCGGCGAACCGAGTACACTAAGAATCACTAACCACCTAGATACGGCATTTTGCCCTTGCGCCGTTCCGGGCTCCAAACCCGAAGTTCCTAATTTGAGCTGCAGCCGTCGAGCATGGAACCCTGATCCCTACATCCGAAACTAAAACAAAAAACGGTGGAGAGTTTCTGTTGAAAATTGGCTCCCCTATCTAAGTGCTAACCAAGCGCAGCAAATCGGAGGCCCAGCGAAGAGCGCAGGCCACGCCCAAGGCCCTTGGCGCAGGATGGTGCAGGCAACCTTATGCGGAAGCAAGGTGAATGCTTGCAGTGCAGACGTCCGAAAGCTGAATGTTGGGTGCAAGGCCGAAGAGCCCCGAGCGAGCCACCCCGAGGCGGGCTGCGAGTCCGCCGCTTTTGTTTCGTTCAAAATTGTGCCACAAAAAGGCAAAAAGGAAGATGACGATTCTGTGCCTTCCAGCAGAGCTGGACGAGGCCTTTGCCTCACATGCTTGACAGTAAGATCATTCCATCGGCGTCGGGTTTGCGATGTTCGAAGTAAGAATGTTACACTGTGCTTTCTGGTCTGGATACGTTTCAGAGCTGGCCACCGCATTGTGCTTGCTTAGGGTGCGCTTTCTGGCTTGTGCCACTGAGGTCCTGGGGCAGCACGGGCCAAGGCATGGGTCGGTTGACGCTAAAGCTGGTGAAACTGCTGAGGCAAGCGATCAAAGTCCCAAAAGCATGTGTCGACTCAATTTGCCAGGCTCGATCCCTGTCAGCCAACCGAGCACCAGAGAAAGTCCGGATCGGCCAGGTCCTCGAAGAGCTCTAAGAGCACCCTTATGGTTCCTGGCAGTGCCTGGCAGATGGCATCTTGCTTGCTGAGCCCAAGCAGCAGCATTTGAGTGCGGCAGGTGACGCTGCTCCACCAGTAGATCGCAAGGATGTTGGCAAGGCAGCGATGTGTCGGGATGTTACGAAGCCCGGAATCAACCAATCACAACATGGGCTGGCAGGTGCCAGCATACTTGAAGAGACGTCAGGCGGAAATGGCAGAGGACAGCGTTTGTGCGCGATCTTCGGGGTGCAGCTTGTGATTTCTCATGATGAGCAAGCCATGGCCAGACCGCTTGTAGCCAGGAGAAGAGACAGGCAGCACGGCCTGTGTCACCGCAGCCTCCGAGGGAGCCTGAGCTTGGAGACCTTCGGGTATTGCTCAGTTGTGGAGGCTCTGCCTGAGTGTTAGGTGCCAGGATTTCAGGGTCTCGCACGTACAATACGGTTCAGAACATCCTGGTTTCCACCATGTACTAAGGCCTGGCTACAGAAAGGTTGACGAGGACGAGCGGCAGGAAACACTAGACGTGCTGAGGCGCGTACACACCGAATGTAAAAAATGTTTCAATGAATCCCAACATGATCCACTCCGTTCAGCCCAACAGCTCCATGTGGCCCAAGCTGAGGCAGCGAAAGGTGGAAGTCGAGAAAGCGCAGATGAGTCTGCCTTTTAAGATCGAAACCCTTGGCCAGAAGCAGCGCGAAAAGGCTCCGGACTTACAGCGCGCCTGTGGATCTTCATGTTTCTTCGCGGCTTCATGACAGCCATTGTGTAGCACTGCGGAGCACAGCGGACAGGACCTGAACGACCGCTTGGTTCACATAGAGAAACTGTCAGGCCATTTTGCCATTTGCACAGGTGCCATGAAGGTTAGGAAGCAGTATGCCGCAATGGTGATCGAGGAATGTTCTCGAAGCCCGTGGTCTTTGTGCCAGCTGACGCTGGGCTTCTTGGCAGCACGACAGCGTGGGCATTATGCGCCGGGATGAGTTTTGCTCTACTGGTGAGTCTTGAGCGTTACGACGCGTTACGCACGACGCTGTAGTTGCTTGTGCTCGTGCTTGTACTCGTCGTGTATAGCATATGATAAGCTACTGCTTAAGAACCCCGAAGCCCGAATAAAACACATTCTTCCTTATTAAGGGTAGTATAGGGATTATGGTTATTTATAGGGATTATGATTGTTTTTTTGTTCTTTTCGGGGGTTCTTAAGCAAATAGTAGTAAGCCAGTAGCTGAGCCACCCACCGACTTTGCCGTTGGCGGAAGCGGCTGAGGCCAATCGCTGCTTCGCTCCCTTCCCTGGGCCGCCGCCTGACTCGCTGCCTTTTCTTTACATTATGGGATTTGCGTGCGTTTTCATGTCTTTGATTTCTTTTCCTGTTTCCTTTGTTGCAAGTTTTTTTGCTTCCTTCAACTTCCTTGTGGGATGTCTTCTGAGCTCTTTCTGCCTCGAGGTGCGGACAAGGAGCGCAAGGCCCTGGATGCAGAACGCCTAGTTTTTGTTTTCTCCCTTTTCGGAAGATTTCGGGATCTTCCGGGAAAAAAAATTAACAGAATATGTTCACATTGACATCTATATTTGATGCAACGAGGTTCTGCCCTCGAGCGATCATCGCAGTGACAGGCATGAGCGGCGTGGGATTGCCTTTGCCTTATTCGTCTTATGTGTTTCATTGGGGCGATGCCACTTTCGCTACTGCGCCAAGCAACTATACTATCTATGCACTCGTACGCTGCAAAGCCATGCAAATAGGAATGCAGAGTCTGCAGGATGAGATACTTGAGAGCTCTTTCGGTCTCTCTCTTCGGTGCGCATGAAACTCAGGTTGTGCATCAGGCGCCCGGCGGCCAGTCTAACTTGGTGCTCGGCTGAGAGCAAGCATGTTATGTAGACTGTAGACAATGTAGAGAGAGCTTCTTGTATAGTTGCAGACACGGTGCTATGGCTATGGTAAATTCAAGAGCATTCGCAAACGACATCGTGACACCTGAATGGTGGCAACTGTCCATCAAGTAGATACGGCTGCACCACAGCCCAGTAGCTAGGCTAATGTTTCACGCGTTCGAGTGGAGTTGGATCACTTTGCCGAGTGCAAATCTCGGTATGCCCTGACGCAGCGGCACCGTTGTTACTTGTTACTCTTAATGTTCCCGCCAGGGTGCGGAATGTTTATGTGCATGACGCCAGAATTTTGCTTTGCACGGCCGCAGAACAGACACTGGAAGATCTTCGTTCCATGGTGCTTGTTTTCAGTGGCTGCTTTGGCGCGGTCATGCGCAGTGCACCAGAATGCAGCTCTGCCTTGCATTGTTCAGGATCTGATGGATTAGGGTCGGCCTGGGCCGGGGGGTGGTTTAGCACATGGAGAGATCAGCGCCTGGTCCCTCAGTTCCCCCTTCCAGAGATGATGTGGCCGGGGGCCTCAGGTCTTTGGAGTGCACCAGAGTACAACAAGTGTACAGCGTGCTTTGGGCTTGTCAGGCCCTGCAGGACCTCTTTGACACCTGCTACGGCCTTGGCGACCATCACCAGGTGGGGCACGGGGTGTGCTGCTTGTGTAGCCAGGGTACTGATGGCCATCCCGCTCGTGCAAGCCCAATGGTCGAATCTTCGCGAGGTCGAAGGGAAATCGAAATATCTCTATCGTCAGCGAGACGAGCCCTGCAGCCCAGCGTCGCTTATTCAATGTTGCGCATCTCCGTGTTTCTGCGTGCTTCCTGCTGTGGATTCTCCGAGCAGGTGCTTAACTTCCCTACAAGACCTGGAGACAGCAGTTGCGCAGGTGGGATCGTGGAATCGGGTGAAGCTTTGGCATTGCATGCAATTTCTGACGCTGTAAGATACGACATAGATAGTGGAGGACACAGGCATCGTCAGAGCCAAGCTGGGGGAATGGCAAGCCAAGCTCTCAGAAAGGGAGATCAGCGTCAGAGTCACCAGGAATCTTTAGAGAGGTCACACTTGGGTCACACTTGGGTCACAGGACTGCAGAAACGCACAGCACGTGCCCAAGGTCCTGCCTAGAAAGATCGTCCCCCTGCTCACGTCGTACATCGAGGCAGGGAGGGAAGAGCCTCTTGCATTGAAGATGCAGACCGCAAATGCTTGCCTCTCGTGTGGAAGCAAGACGATAAGAAAGACAATCAGGGTTGAAGCCGTGTTTTTGAATGCCTGGGTTTGGGAGGACTCGGAATTGGCTTCCCACGTCTTGAAGCTGATGGTTCTCCTGACGACGCGCGTAGGCCGTGAGCACGATACAGCACGTTTGCAGTGTGCGGGGCTTGCCAAGCGTCGCAAGCACTGTTTGCACAGTGTACAGCTCTTGAAGGAAACTACGGCCCTCCTCCAGTAGACCACCGGATGCTTCAAGAGCAAGAGCGCGAGCAGCTTTGCCACTTACAGGAAGTCAACTGATGCAAGAGCACTGCGTGCACATCTTGCACACGGCCCTCTGACTGTTGATCAGGAGTACAAGGAGGCTTTCACGAACTCCGCTGTCTTCACCATGCTCGTTCGGCTGCTAGTTGAAGCTCTGGATGGAGAGGCGGCCCATCGTCCCTGTGGGTGCTCATCGTGCTTTCCTGTGCACACTCTGTGTCTTCTGGCGAGGGGCGAACGCACCTCTTCAAGGCGGCATTCAGCACAAGCTTGCTTGATGTTGGAGACGATGCACGACTTGCAGTTTGGCGCAGGACGTACTGTTCTTGCTGCGAAATCTCGTGTCTGCCATGGCCCTCGATCATCAGCATACGGTCTCCTATGAATGGATTCGTCCCAAGAGTTATTCAGGTCCCAGATCCGGGCCCGGGCGACACCGGCTTCACCCCTCTGAGACGAAGGATGCAGCCGGACACTTAAACTCTTGAGGTTGGCAGCTGCAGCAGGTGAAACGGGGGGCCGGGAGGGAAGTGCCATTTGTTCTTTTCTTGGGTGTCAACTTTTTCGTGCGCTTTACACGGCCAAACGTCGCTAAGCCATGCCCGGTCTACAGCAAGCATGACTGGCTTGAATAAAACCAGCCTGCTCGACACTGCGCCTCGGAGTGCCAGAAGCTGTAGAGAGCGCGCTCAGCTGGAAGAGACGCTGAAATAGCTTGTTTCTCAGTCCTGTCTTTAGTCATCGCTTCGCAAGAACGAAGGAAAGATGCCACAATTATGTTGTCTTGTTTTCGCAATTTGACGAGATCGGACAAGGAATGTATAGGGCAACCATGTTCATGTAATCGATTCGCGAATGCCTGCATGGCGTCATTTCACAGTCCAGCGTGCTGGATCGAACCCCTTCCTTTTGCGGTTGTCGCAGTTCTGGTCTTTTGACCCTCATTCAGGATGACGTTCCTTCGCAACTTCTGCGAAGAAGGTTCGATGGCTTTCGAGATTGAATGCTCAGGCGGCCCGGGCATACTGAAAACAGCATTTCGTCACAGGCGTGCTTGCCTTCCTGTCGCTCATTGCCAACGAGCTGACCGCCCAGCAGCAGGAGGACACCCAGCAGGTCTGGACGGGGGAATCGACTTACTCAGCACGAAGTGGTGCCTCTTCTATGGCCTCTTTTGGTTTGGCAGGTCTGGGCGCTTGCAGACATCCTTTATCATGTATGCACCCACTTCGACCCCGAGGCGCCTTTGTTAAGCTTTGTCAAGCAAGCTCTGTGAAGCTTTGTCAAGCTTTGTGAAGCTTGTGTACATGAAAAGTCAGCTTGCATCATGTCTCGTGATTTACTCGTGCGGCATCGCCTCCCAGCAATCCACGGAACTTTGCTTGCAGTACTTGCTCCAACATGTTAGTTCGCTGCAGATGAGCTGTTGGCAAGGCCTTGCAGAACAAAACGGATTTGCCTGGCCGTGCAGCAATTCAAGAATATCTGCAGCTGCAATGCTCAAGGTAAGCCGCGGAGCTTCCAGCAGTGCAGCGTTGGGCTCTTGCTTGGACTTGCCGCAAAGACTTGCTTTCGGGATTAATGCCAAGGGTGTAAGTCGGTTCCTGATCCTGGGATCCAAGTCCCAAAGACAAAGAGGATTTGGACTCAGGCATTCGAGGCATTCCTTCTGTGAGCTCCTCGGTCCCATGCTGGCGTTGAGCTCCCGGATGCGCCATTTCAGGCCTTCTCACCTGGCCTCTAGAAGCTGTGGCGCCACCACAGAAGCCTTCAAGGCGTCCAAGGCGTCCAAGGCGTTCTGTGAGATCGACGTGTGGAGCTTCAACTTGCGAACTGAGAAGGTAAAGGAGGAGGATTCTCTCAATGCTTGGCCACAGAGATGTGGGGGTGTCGCAGCCCTTATCGCAAAGTACCATCCAGCGATTGTATGCGTGCAAGAAGCGACTGTAGCCATGCTACGCGATATTTGTCTACATCTCGATGGCAAGTATGAGTGGAAGGCCACTTCACGGTTTCCGAATGAGCAGGACGAGTCAGCTGGATTTCTCGTTGACACCAGTCGCGTGCGTCTGCTGGACTACTCGGTGTTTTGGCTGTCCCCTCAAGGTTGCCCGGATGGCACTGCAAGTTGGGATGCCCGGTTTCCCCGGACTTGTGAGGCTTTGCTTCTTAGCATTGTGGGGATTGAGGGAAGTCAGATGCGAATCTTGAATACGCACTTCGACCATCAAGGTTCCGTTGCTCGCCTGCAATCGGCCCAGATGATTGCCGAATCCATTACGCGGTTTTCGGACAGAATGCCCGCGTGCGCACAAATTCTGTGCGGCGACTTTAACTCACCAAAGTCCAGTGAGCCATACAGTATTCTGACCGAGAACCGACAGCCAGCCGCCACAACGGCCCGCCCACTGAAAGATGCCTTCCGATGTGACGGGGAGGTAGACTCCGGCGGGGTTCAAAGCACGATCCACAAATGGCAGGGTGTAAGATTTGCCGAAGAGCGCGGAGATGGCACGGTGGAGTTGTCAGATGGAACACGCTACGACCGCTACGATAGCCGGCACATTGACTGGATTCTCTTCCAGGATGGACTGCCAGGCAAGGCCGACTTTACGCGCTTGCAAGCGCTGCGGTGCAAGGTAATAACGGATTCCATGGCAAGTGGTCGGTATCCTTCAGATCATTTTCCGGTCAGTGCCACCTTTCGGGTAGAAGTCTGCGCTTCTCCGACGCCATCTGTAGAGCGAAGCCGCCTGTAACAAAAAGGTTTTGCAGCTGCTGAGTTCTTGCAAAGATCTCAGGAGAGCGCAAGGCGCGAGGACGGATATGTTTTATGCTGCCCTTGAACGACCTCTCAGGAGCTGCTGACAAGTCGCAAGAATCAGGGCAAGCACGGAACTCAAGTGGTCATGTAGTGCAGTGGTCCCTTACACCTGTAGCTTGCCAATTCTCGGGTTCAGGCGTTCAGGGCTCACGGGGGCTTTAAGAAGGGATTAGGCGGGGATCTGTTTAGAGAGGGGCTTGTGTGCTCTAGGCCCAGAAGCGATCTGGCGGAGCTCCTGGCGCGCGACAAGGCGGACCAGAAGGCGGGATCTTGAGTCCTGTCATGAAAGGCCCGGATGCCAGAATGTAGACTCCAAGCCTTCAGACCCCTGAAGGCCCAAAACCCTGAAACCCACTGGCAAGTGGAGAGAAGCAAGAATGAAGCTTGCGAAACCATTAAGCTCCTTTGCCAGCTCCTGGCGCCGCAGCAGTGGCCCCAAAGGGTTTAGGGTTTAGGGTTTAGGGTTTAGGGTTTGAGGTTGAGGATGCAGGACTTGGGGGGGGGGGGGGGCTTCTCCACATATTTGCCTGAGTATGGATGTTTGATAATCGTGTCAATGGCCTTGTATCTACAATCTCAATCTTTAAATGCTGCTATTTTGTTGGTAGGAATGCCCCAAAAATGTTCATGCCAGACAATGTTTTCACGTTTGTTAAAATTAGAGAAAGCTCCATATCAACCAATATGGACCATGACTCAGAGAACTGCCCACTTGGGGGGTGGGGGGTTGGGGGATTTTCAGGCGTCTAGGTGTTGTGGTTCCAAGGGGTTTTTGAGAGTTAGGGGGTCGGGTTGATGTTTGTCCAGGATGTTGCGGGGATTTTGGTTCATGGCGAAGTCCTCTTTTTGAGGTCCTCCAGGCATAGCCGCTTCGGCACGCCCAGACCTGAGTTGGGGTTTCGATTACGTGCAGGGTTCCTTGTCAAGGGGGCCTCTTCACACGTAACGAACCCTCTTGCCCTAGTGCAGGAACCACGAGGAGGGCCCTGAATGTCGATCCACTCCAATTTGTCCCCGAACGATGCAGGAACCCTAAACGCTAAACCCTAAACCCGAAACCCTAACCCCTAAACCCTAAGCCCTAAGCCCTAAACCCTAAACCCTAAACTTAGGCCCTAAACCATAAACCCTAAACCCTACAAAGAGTGTCAGTCTAGTCACCGACACCGAGCAGAGACCGGTCAGAGCACATGTATGTCAGGGTGGAAGTTATCATAGATCATGCGCAAAACGGTCCAGTAGATGCAGCAGAGGCAGCCGCGTGCGTTTCAGCCGTGATTGCACTTATCTTAGGTTGATGCACACCATGTCGTCGGATGGCTCCATGATGGTGGCGCGGCATGTGATTTATGTTGCGCTTGGGCAGTCTTCATTGGCAACCAGAGAGAGCTGGTTGGATGTTGTCCACTAAGTTGTCATCCTCCGTGATGCAGAACAGCATTATTCAGAAAAGCTCAGCGTCGAACCCCTGGATTCGCAGTCCCTTCGACTTGTGAGAAAACACTCGTTGCACTTCTCTGCGGCAGTTGTGCTTCAGGCTTCTAAAGCGCGAGTTCCGCAATCCTGAAGTCAGCGGCAAGAAGACCAACATGTTCCACAATCTGTTTTTTGTCGACCTTGGGGAAGGGTCAGGGCCTGAGAATCAGCAGCTCCTGCAGCATGCGGTTTCGCCTAATCGGCGTAATCTCGTGTAGCATGTAGTCATAAAAAGCGCAGCTATCACTTTGACTTGTTGCTTCAAAAGGGCTGTGCAGAGCTGGCTGAGTACTTCAAAAAAGCACGGCAGCTGAGCTGGCGAGGTCACTGTCAGAACGGGATGCAAGCTGAGAAAACCTATTCATTTTTGTCTTTCTAATCTCCCTGGCGTGCTGGGAGCGACTCCAGCCATAAAACGCTATCCTTGCTCGGTTGAGCTACATCTGGAAACGAGGCATGCATGCCCGAACCATGAAAAACCATCCACTCCGACCCCACGAAACGCTACAAAGTTGCGTGCGCTGTTTGCATCTCCGCGTCACGGCACCAGGCCCAGCAGCCAAGCAGCCACCTGCATCAAATGCTCCATGTATATTGGGTCAGGGGGTTTTGGGAAGGGGAGGGGTGTGACCGTGCCCAGGTCTGTCCGGGAGTACAACCAGATAAATCCGCATGTGCCGGCATCCAAGGCATTCCCAGTGATTCGACAGATCCATTTGCTTGTCTAATGCCGGCCATGCTCGATGCAAGTGACATCTGTTTGATCGCCCTTCTTCGATGGAATTGGGTTGAAGCCGAGGCGGGGAGTCCTCGACGACCGTATGTACCATCCGCAGAAGGTTCTTCAAGGATGCCACGCCGAAAAGCAGTGTTAACAACCATTTGCATGTGGGTTGCCTTCAGGGATTGGCGAGTCATGTCCCCGCGCAGGCTATCGCGCTTTCTTTGAGCAGCTTTGCTCGACCTCCTTCAGCTCGCTAGTCAGCATTATGCGGAGCAGCTGCAATGCAAGCAGGGCGACCCAGACAGAACATGGCAGGCACAGTAGGTGGCTTTCAGGAAACCATGCTGTGGCCATCACTTCTGAGAACGCTTTTCCCTTCTCGCCAAGATCCTGCCAAAGAAGGAGCTGCAGGAACAGAATTCGACATGCGCTGTCCTCGTCTGCACTCCTCGTTTGCAGAGGCTGCTTTTGACGAAATGGTGAACAGCCCTCCCAGATGCTACTGAGGCCACACTTGCTGAACTTCGTTTCCTGGTTCCTGGAGTTCCACCGTGTTCAGCATGCAACGCAGGACAGGGCATCAGGTGTTGCAAGCTGCTGTATGTTGTTGTACGGCAGAAGTGAGCAATCACCTGCTCTCGTTTTCTGCTCCGTCTGGCCTTCGTTGGATCACTTCCGCAAGAGGTGGAGGAAGCCAAGAAGAAGAGCTCACCGTTGGCACCCTATCCAGCCTACTTGTGTCACGAGACGATGGATCGGTTCACCCATTCTTTGCTGCACTCAGTTTTGAGGCCTCCCGACATGGACATCGCTGTCATCCAAGGGGCCATTGTCCCGTCCTCACGGGGAAATCTGTGGCAGTTCGAACACATGACGCATGGTGGCGAAGATGCACGAAAGGACTTGGATATGATCCAGTTCACTACAGCGCGACTTCGCGACTTTGGCAAGGCTCATGTATTCAGGAATTGCTGTCAGCAGTTCGTGCTGGCGGCGCATTAGGGTGCAGAGTTTGTTGCAGGGGGCGCATATTCACTCTTCTTTCCTGGTGGTGGTTCTCCGTGCTCTCTCGGCACAAGTCCAGACCATTAAAGTCATCACCGAGCGCTCACCCTAGAAAGGGCATCTCTCTCGCTTTGTGCTTCTGCATGTCTGCTCTCCGTGGAGAGTCTGCCGAGCTGAACGTGCTTGCGCTGAAAATGTACAGCCTGCCAAGGTGCACTGGCTCTGATACGCGAGACTGCGGAGATCTCCTGGTGACTCACACTGTAAAGGCCTTTGCTTGATGGCATTGGTGCCGCACACACAATCAGAGTTTCATCACCAGGAGGATGTCTTGGGAAACGTCTCGTGGATCATGAAGAACTTCAACTCCGCTACACATGATCCTCGCATTCTCTCATACTCGGTGGAGGCATCTTCTTTGGTACAGCATGGCAAAAGCGATGTAAAGCGTGGACTTCTTCATTATACGCTCTCGGGCTGCTTTAAAAAGTCGGCAAAAGTGCAGGTCTGGCACTTGTTGACGATGCTGATGGAGAGACGCGGTGGTGAAAGGCGATGCTCCTGTCAGTCTTTCCGGGTTAGCGAAATGCCCGTGCTTTGTAAAAGCCGTCAATAGGCAGGAGGAATAAGGCAGAACAGCAGCAACAAGTCTGACGATCTGCCAGGGGCGCAGAAGCCGAGTTCCAGGTGATGTCCTTGGCGTTGCAAGTTGGGATAGTGGGGCCTGTGATTGATAGTCTGATAGTCATTCTATATTGTGCCAGCTGAGGTTGAGCGGCTTCGTGGAGTGCAGATGTCGTGTTCGACTGAGTTCCGCCTTAAAGCGATGGTCTTATGGGTCCCAACTCGGCTCTTTTCTTCTTGTTGCTGTTGGATCATCACTCCTGTACGGCCTGCACCAGAAAAGGCCTCCCGCCCCCCCCACCCCTCCACCAAATAGAGTACAACTCAGCGGCCCCCTGCCCCACCAACTCCAGAAGCTGAAGGCGCTCCACCACGTCCGTCGAGAAGGAGATCGCAGGCAGAAGATCACCGATGAAGAGAGACAAGATGCACTGTCCACATCTGTGCGCACGCACGCTTGCATGCCAGTGAGGGCATTCAAGTGCCTAAACCCTTGCGCTGCTGCTTGATGCTGCTTGATGCTGCTTTATGCTGCTTTGTGCCGGAAGAGGCCTTGCCGATTCCAGAGTCGTGGAAAACCTCTTCCACCTGCTGGAGAAGTCAGCTCACGAGTGTCCATGCGCCATGTGAATTTTCTACATCTCCCGACTCTTCAAGGTATCGACGCCACACGCCCTTGCTCCAATCCATGCTGGTCAAGCTGATCCGGAGCATCATGGATGTCCCTCGGATCAATTGTTCGGACCATCAGCACGCCATGCAGACAAATCATACAGCAAGACATGTGTGCTGACTGCACCTGTACCTCGAGACAAGGCACAGCCCACGAACATTGTCTTGTTTTTTGAGCTCTCCTACTTCATGCGTGCGCTGCTCAGCATATGGCCTTAGATCTAGATGAGATATGCCGGCACATGCTTGTCATCTCATGCTGCAGTCCAGGCATTCAGCGCATCATGACCGATCCGCTTCTGACAAGTAACAAGAACGCCGAGAAATACAAAGACATTCTTGGCCGGCTGCCCAGAGAGGTGAACATATCTTCTCAGTGTCTCAAGGTTTTAGGTGGTTTTAGGTGGTTTCGCCGAACACAGACGAGTCGAGGACTACTCCGATTCGTCTTGCGGGAGTTCTTCACATGTGCCGAGACCAACAAATGCGTTTTTGCTGAGCTGCCATGAGCTCAGCACTCTTCCCGACTCTGCTCCGGCTTATGCAGAACCCCTGCAGAGATGTTGTGAAGCGATACAAGAAAAGCGCATGTGACTCCAGGCTGTTCCGCAAGGTTCAGGAAAGTCAAAAAGAGCAGGTCGAGTCACGTGCTCAGACATGTTGCTCCTCCTGTTCCTCGAACGTAAGCTCCCCTGACTTCAGGTCTTGCGCTGTTGAGTTCGGTGCAATTCTGAGCAACTACGAAAACGAAGGATACCGACAGGTCTTGGACAGGACTGCTTGTTGTGCACCTCCTCCAATCCCCACCCTGGTCCCTCTGGGTACATGCGTCTCGCCGGCAGGATGAGTGCCGGAGACACAGTCAAAACGATCAGAAAGCAGCGCGGTGCCCAAGTACTTTGCGTGTTGCCGATGAAGTCAAGCCAAACTAGCCAATCTCCATTTGTGCCATGCTCCTCTGAGAGAGCGTTTAGATTTCACCAGTTTGTAGATGTCTTTTCTTCGTTCTTTGTAGATGTAGCTTGCTACAACTTGCTTTAAGCGGGGTCATTGGCCAAGCTGTGTCAGTGCTGGACCCAAGGCGAGCGGACGTGATGAAGGGACAAGGTTGGACAGAGGAGGAGGATGCTGTACTGCGACAGCGCTACGCAATGTGCCTCGGTACTCTTCCTTGCAGTTTTTCTGATTCAGCATCATGATGCATCACTTTGAAGCTTTAGGGGCTATGCTGTGCTATGCGGTAATGGGGCGGGGCAAGTACCGCAGTGTGTGTTGCTTTTGTAGGCGAGGGAGGGAGGGAGGCAAGGAGGGAGGGAGGGAGAGATGCTTTGTTGGGGGCGCGCTACAGCACGGGCGCCCGCCTCAGAGACCAAGAAGATGCTCTGTTGAACGTTTGAACCGATAAGGTATGCAAGCCATCCGCTGGCTGCCGACCTGCTGGCAGCCGACCTGCCGGAAGACAACAAGCGAACGCCCCTACAGGTGCCGAGGGCTCCCTTCCCGCAAGCCAGCTTCCGTCACTTTTCATTCAAACTGGGATGATCCTCAACCCAAAACCCTACATGCCACAAAGAATCTTAATCCGCTCACCGGTTTAAGCGAGCAGGTGCGCCGCCGCCTGATCGAGCTCGAGCTGATGCCGGCGAGGGGACCAGGAGGCCCCAACAAGCTTCTGCCTGGTGGTGGGGTTTGGTAGCACACGCCCGGGCGTTCTCACAGCCCAACCCTCGCCTGAGCACTCAGTCGCTGAGTTTGTCTTTACACCTAGGATTGTGATGTTTTTGGGCCTTGGGTTTTCGCGCATGAGAGGGACCAGGAGCCCTTGTAGCACAAAACTCCACGCGCTCCACACCTTGCCCGCTGAATGGCGCTTCAGGGAGGTGACACGAAGAAAACAGGATGACATCAGTGGTTGGTTTCATGCAGTTCGCTCATGCTCGCTCTCTCCTCACGTCATATCCTATTACTAGCCCGTGTCCTTTCTCCTTGTTTCACAGCAAGTCTGTATGGACGTCTGTGTTGCTTGCGTGAGGGTTTTGCCTTATTCTTTCGCAGCAGGCAAGTGCAGGTAGGGAATGGGGATCTGATGTCGCTCGTTACCCTTCAAAGGAGACCTTGGCCTCCTGAAATCCCTACCAACCTACTGGGAACAAACGCGTGCTACCGCCAGGTCGGGCTGCTGCGGCTGAGGCCGGATGACCCGAAACACCCCCAAAAGACCCGGAGCCATGACTCCCCAAAGACTTCAAACTTTGACCAAACCTTCAAGAAGCCCCAAAACCCTAAGCCCTCAACCCTAAGCCCTAAGCCCTAAGCCCTAAACCCTAAACCCTAAACCCGAAAAGGACGCCCTAAAGGGTGCCTCCCAGATGTTGTAGAGCCGTGGAAGGACGAGCCGGCCTCAAAGAAGGCCAAGGCTGGGTACAGCCAGGATTTGGGGGTCGAGGGTGGTTTTAAGGGTTTAAAGGGTTTTAAGGGTTTTAAGGGTTTGAAGGGCTTGAAGGGTTTGAAGGGTTTTAAGGGTCTGAGGTTTTAAGTTTAAGGGTTTCGGGTTCCTAGGGCTTTAGGGCTTTAGGGTTCTAAGGCTTGGGGCTTAGGGTTTATGGATCGTCTCAGGTCAATGCATGCTGGTAGCTCGTGTCAATGAGGTCCCTGTATACAAGCACTCTTAAAACATCACAAAGTCTCGGCGAGCTTCTCTAAGTTATGGTCATCATGAGTTGTGAACATGCCATGGCCCTGTAGCAATAGCAAGCCAGAAGGGATCTTCACTTAGCGTCACGTTTGAAGCTTTGGGCCTTTGTTTTTTTTTGTGGTTTAGGGTCTGGGGTGTATGGTTTAGGTTTCGGGTTCAGTTCAAGGGTTAGGTTCAGGGTTTCGAGCTGATTTTTATGGGTTTTTCGGCATGGGCTGTCACATAGCCATAGTAGGTTCTGCGAATATCAGGGAGCTGTTGGATGTGTCCAGTTGAGGTTGACAGCGGCAACGTGGACATGCCCGCAGGCAAAGCCGCAGGCAACGGAAGCCATGCAGGATGGAACATCCATTGCCCTGAGCGTGCTTCATGCGTGAGGCAAGCCCGCGCCGCCCACTTCTTTCAGCACACCTGCTGGCACTGAGCAGGCTCCACATTTATCTCCAAGCTCGCCGACTAGTAGCACGGTAAGGTTCATGGACCGTCAAGCATGATCTAGGATGAAGAAATGCTGGAAGAAGACTTGGAAAGGCTGTCGGGGTCTCGGAATTTGAAGGGGTGGCTTGTGAGTCCAGTGTCGCTCGCCTGGAATCTGACGAGCTGCGCCTTGCCGGGTTACCCGAGGCTCGATGCTGCCTACGACAGCTTGCCGGCTGACTTGGGGATTGGAGAAGCTGGAGAAGCCTCCACAGCAGGGTTCCTGGTCCTTGCGGGTCCTTGAAGGTCACAGGTTGGGGAACTGGAGCGCTGTAGCCCTGAGCACAGCTCATAGGTCATAGGTGTTGCTCTTCATGCCCTTGCCCTCCGGAGCTTAAAGTTGTCTCAGCCGCAGCAGCCGCATCTGTTGCGCTTGAGGTGCCAAATGCCCCTGCGCCCACTGCCATGGACAAGGCTTCTGGCTTTCTAAACCCTTTAAAGGAACCCACGTCTAGACCCAGGAAACCCTTTGTCCAATCTTTTGGGAATCAAGGAACAGAAGACTCATGGGCTGTTCCAGGATTCTCTCGCCCAGCTGAAAATGAGGGAATGTTCTCTTCGCCAGGAGTAGTTCGATCTCTGAGAGTTGTTTGTGAAAGCAACTGCCGACTCACCTTAAGAAACGGTAATTCATTCATGCGGCCACCTCACGCTTCAAGCTTCGAGGCACTCACACTCAAGATGCTAATTCTCCGCTACCTTTACACGCAGTCGCTTTGTCTCGCATCGCTCGTTGTTTTTTACACATCGATCCGCGTCCACATTGGGGAACTGCATTCCCCAGAGCATATCTCTTGATGTGTCGAAGTCGGCCTCGTTGCGATCCACATTGGGGAACTGAATTCCCAAGGGCACATCATCTCCTGCTGCGCCGAAGTCGGCCTCGTCGTCATCTAGTGCCTACAACCCTAGACTTGCGTAAACTGCATTCCGCAGATTACATCTCTTGATGTGTCCAAGTCGGCCTCGAGCAGGCTTCTACATGTCTTCTGGAGTTGCGAGTTAAGTAGCGGACATCGCTGGGGGTGGTCTCGGTCACCGACCAACCCCCCGGAGGTTTAGGTTTAATCGAATTTGGGATTCCTCAGACAGTGAATTTTCTGGCATCTCACTGGTGACTAGCTGTTGAAACATAGTGAAAATGTTACAAAAACGTGCTGAAAACGCGTCCGCTGCAGATCCGGTAGTTTTACCCATGTTGGCTGTTTGCTTGAAATTCCAGCGTCTACTTGGGGATTGCTGTGTCCTGATGTGTAATTCCGCCGCTGATGTGTATTCCCGCTATGTAGCGTCCACAATGGGGTGATGTGCATGTCTCGCGACTTGATGTGAGATAAACCCGCCGCTAGTAGGACCCAAGAACCCATTCTGGCAGCACCCTCACAATCAGGAGTTTATGCAGCTCATTCACAAGGTACCAACAGCATGAGTCTGATGAACTACGCCGTGGGACAGAGGTTAACAAGTGCTTGGTGGAAAGATTCAAGAACAAAGGTAACGTACCAGAAGTGAATTCGGATCCAGACCAGGCCTTAAAAGGGTCTCAAGGGTGCATTCATTAGCAGGAGCAGGAGGTGGAAGAAACTTAATGAATCCTGGGTGTTCACGGTCATTTTTGGCTTTTCTATGACAGCCCTGTAAATCACGCAAAGCGCCCTCGTTGGTTCAGCCGAGCACAAGGCCGACGGGACCGCAGCTTCCACAGCCATGGATGAGGTTGGCATCTGCTGGCGTTGATTTGATCCTTTGGATGTCTGACACATCGCATGCCTCGCATGTACAGCGATGTGCAGTGGAAGGCTTCAGTGGGCACTGCCCCAACAGCCAAAGACGAGGCCCATGCAAACCAGTTGCCTAGGAGTGGAGATGCATGCAGGTACATGTCCGGTCAGGTCAGCAGTGCCCAGTGCCACGTAGCAGCCCCTCTTAAAGTGGATCTCCATGAAGCTACGGTAAACCGCAAAGGACACCGCCGCCGAAGCCAAGGCGGGAATTTGCATCTACGGCGTTGTGAGAGAAATTGCATTAGACTTGCCGAGGCATCGGCAGTTGCTCCCACAGCGATGGAGGCAAGCTGTGCTGAACACAACCAAGAAGTTCATGAGTTGTATAGCAGCCACTGAGGCATCGGCGACGGGTGTTCCCACAACCGTTGACGAGGCAGAGGGAGCTCCACGGGCTCCATTGCATGTGCCGGGGATGCACCTTCTTGAGTGGGCCGCGGGCAAAGTGTCGCCCTTTTCGTTCACTTCAAAAAGATTATTCCTGGCTTGGCAGAAGGCTCAATACTGCTTTTCTAATACTCAGTGCGGCTCCAACGGAATATTGCAGGGATGCACTGGTGCGAGGCCTCTGCAACTGCCGCACCCACCATGATGGACAAGGTGGCATGCGACATGAGAAGTTCATGCAATTTGCGCAGCTTTGCGCAGCTTTGCGTAGCTTTGCGTAGCTTTGCGTAGCTTTGCGTAGCTTTGCGCAGCTTTGCATTCTGCTTTGGCCGAGACTCAGATGGGTGCGACAGCAGCTTCACAAGGCCATCTCGTTTCGTGTGAGAGATCGAAATGTACAACGCCCCGACATGCGTGCCGCAGCGCGTAGGCCAACAACAGCCACTGCCAAAGACCGCAGATGACATGGAAGTAGACCCTGAGCGAGTCACAGAGGCTCATCTGCTACTGCTGACCGTGGTCCATTGCACCAGTGTTTGCAACCAATGAAGGAACGCCGGCGAACGTGCAGTTTGTCACAAGGCACAGCTTACCAGTGGCCAAACTGTCGGCAATGCAAGAAATGTCATGCCATGACTTGGGAAATCTGAAGAGTATGATTTTCCCACTGCTCTGGTCGCACCGAGGTGGGAAAACACAGCCCATGAAGCTGTCCCAAGATGACTTGGAGTTGGAGCTGGAACGGCTCATAGATGTCGCATAGCTGAGGAAGTGAGGAGTATGATTGCCATTCCTCATGCGCGCTTGAGTTGATCGTGGCAGGAACACAGGGAGGACCTCTGTCGGCTTCAGTTAGCGTGAGCTGAGGCAGAGATGCCTAGCGCCGAGACGGGAGCATCGCAAGGCCGCTGGGTATAACAGCCAGAAATGGTGTAGTAGACTTGGAAGGTTTTGGACGTGTCGTGTCTGAGGTGGGCAGGTGAAGGTGAAGCCGTCCCAGGATGACTTGGAGCGTGACCTGGAACGGCTCATGGAGGCCTCGTCGGCAGAGCCCGAAACTGCACACCCAACAGAAGAATTGAAATCTGACTACCTAAGCAGCTTAGCAACAGACTGCAACCGAAGTCAGGAATCTCTTTGAAAGACCGGAGATCCTTCCGCACTTGTTGTCGGGCGGGCTGTTAAGTGGAGATCCTACATCATATGTTCCATGATGATATAATAAATAATATATAGGCAGCACTGAAACAAACACTCTAGACCCCGAAACAAAGGCAGAATCCATACACAAGTAAAGTATTCATGCATACCTATGTAATATATGTATATAAATATATATGTATATAGATATTCATCCATACATATCGGTGGTTGCTTGCTGCCCTTCGTGCAACGTGAGTTGAGGCAGAGATGCCTGGCGCCGAGACGGGAGCATCGCAAGGCCGCTGGGTATAACAGCCAGAAATGGTGTGGTAGACTTGGAAGGTTTTGGACGTGTCGTGTCTGAGGTGGTCAGGAGAAGGTGAAGCCTTCCCAGGATGACTTGGAGCGTGACCTGGAACGGCTCATGGAGGCCTCTCGGCAGAGCTGAGCAGTCGGTGAGAAGTGTAACCTACTGGGAACGTGGAGATCCAACATCGTACATCATGCTGTGTGCTGTATGTTCGATTGTCTGCACAAAGGCAACTCTGCAACTGAGCAGTTGGCAGGGGTGTCGGCAATAACGCGAAATTGCACGCTTGACAAAAGTCTTGAAACCTGACTATCTACCCAGTTCAGCCGCACGGCAGACGTCTATGGCAGCATAGTTCAAAAGAAGATGGAAGCGCCTAACGCGTTTGTTGTCGGAGAGCAGGTGGACATCCTACCATCCTACATCATATGTTCCATGAGTCCATGAACATACCTCTTTGCGGCCTAGCGGCACGGGCCGCCCCCCGCCCCCCCGAAAAAACGGCTTCGGTTCTTTTTGTTCCCAAAACCTAAACCATAAACCCTCGACCCTACACACTAAAACTCCCTAAACCCTAGGCCCGAAACCCCTAAGCCCTAAACCCTGAACCGAGTTGCGCGCGCGCGCGCGCGCGAGCACGCGTGCAACTCTCGCACTCTCGCACTCTCTTTCGCGCTCTCCCGCTCTCTCTCTTTCTCTCTTTCTCTCTTTCTCTCTTTCTCTCTTTCTCTCTTTCTCTCTTTCTCTCTTTCTCTCTTTCTCTCTTTCTCTCTTTCTCTCTTTCTCTCTTTCTCTCTTTCTCTCTTTTTTCTCTTTTCTCTCTTTTTCTCTTTTTCTCTTTTTCTCTTTTTCTCTTTGTCTCTTTCTCTCTTTCTCTCTTTCTCTCTTTCTCTCTTTCTCTCTTGCTCTCTTTCTCTCTTTCTCTCTTTCTCTCTTTCTCTCTTTCTCTCTTTCTCTCTTTCTCTCTTTCTCTCTTTCTCTCTTTCTCTCTTTCTCTCTTTCTCTCTTTCTCTCTTTCTCTCTTTTTCTCTTTCTCTCTTTCTCTCTTTCTCTCTTTCTCTCTTTCTCTCTTTCTCTCTTTCTCTCTTTCTCTCTTTCTCTCTTTCTCTCTTTCTCTCTTTCTCTCTTTCTCTCTTGCTCTCGTGCTCTCTTGCTCTCTTTCTCTCTTTCTCTCTTTCTCTCTTTTTCTCTTTCTCTTTCTCTCTTTCTCTCTTTCTCTCTTCCTCTATTATCTCTTCCTCTCTTCCTCTCTTCCTCTTCCTCTACTTCCTCTCTGCATCTCTTCCTCTATTCCTCTCTTTTCCTTCTTCCGCTCTTCCTCTCGTCTCTCTTTCTCTCTTTCTCTCTTTCTCTCTTTCTCTCTTTCTCTCTTTCTCTCTTTCTCTCTTTCTCTCTTTCTCTCTTTCTCTCTTTCTCTCTTTCTCTCTTTCTCTCTTTCTCTCTTTCTCTCTTTCTCTCTTTCCCTCTTTCTCTCTTTCTCTCTTTCTCTCTTTCTCTCTTTCTCTCTTTCTCTCTTTCTCTCTTTCTCTCTTTCTCTCTTTCTCTCTTTCTCTCTTTTCTCTCTTTCTCTCTTTCTCTCTTTCTCTCTTTCTCTCTTTCTCTCTTTCTCTCTTTCTCTCTTTCTCTCTTTCTCTCTTTCTCTCTTTCTCTCTTTCTCTCTTTCTCTCTTTCTCTCGTTCTCTCTTTCTCTCTTTCTCTCTTTCTCTCTTTCTCTCTTTCTCTGTTTCTCTCTTTCTCTCTTTCTCTCTTTCTCTCTTTCTCTTTATCTCTCTTTCTCTCTTTCTCTCTTTCTCTTTCTCTTTATCTTTCTCTTTCTCTTTCTCTTTCTCTTTCTCTTTCTCTTTCTCTTTCTCTTTCTCTTTCTCTTTCTCTTTCTCTTTCTCTTTCTCTTTCTCTTTCTATTCATCTTCCCGTTCACCTTCTCTTTCTCGTTCACCTTCCTCTCTTCCTCTCTGTCTCTCCTTCTCTCTTCTCTCTTTCTGTCTTTCTCTCTCTCTCTCTCTCTCTTGTGCGTGCGTGAGCGTGCGTGCATGTGTGCATGTGTGCATGCGTGCATGCGTGCGCGCGCTCGCATCATGAGCATCATCAGCGGGGTGGGGTTGTCAACCGTTTTTGCCTTGACATGCTCCCAAAAAGCTGCAAAAACACACGTTTTCTGCTCGTGCAGCCCTTCTCATGGCACGGCCAAAGGGAGCATCGTGAGCATCGGCCTCCCCCGGACACCCCAGCCCCCCACCGCCCCCCCCAAAACCCCCCCTTAACATGTTTTGGGCTTCCGGTGGCCCCCCCCCCCCCCCCAAAACCGCAGAACAGGGAGGGTGGGGGAGGGCGGTGGCAGTTTGGGCATGCATTGGAACGCTTGGGAAAGGACGAAGCGGAGGGGAGGTCGAAGGAGGTGAGGTGGGTGGCGGGGGCGTTGAGGGCGGGGAGGCCGGGGCGTGCGGCGGGGGTTTGGGCATGCATTCGGGTTGGGCATGCCTTTGGGCAGACACAGCAACCCTTTAAAGTTTCACTGACGCCGACAGCCAGAGGGGTCGGTGGTGAAACAAACATTCTAGACCCCGAAACAAGGGATGGAGGTCCCAGCGCAGCACACGCGTGCTTGACAGAATCCATACAAAGTAAACGGATTCGTGCATACATATGTAAAAAAAAGAAATATATATATATATATGTATAGATATTCATCCCTACATATCGGTGGTTGCTTGCTGCCCTTCGTGCAACGTGAGTTGAGGCAGAGATGCCTAGCGCCGAGACGGGGGCATCGCAAGGCCGCTGGGTATAACAGCCAGAAATGGTGTGGTAGACTTGGAAGGTTTTGGACGTGTCGTGTCTGAGGTGGTCAGGAGAAGGTGAAGCCGTCCCAGGATGACTTGGAGCGTGACCTGGAACGGCTCATGGAGGTCTCGTTGCAGTTGCCAGCTGTAACTGTCCAACATGCTAGCAGTTAGGACGGCTGAGGGAAAGGAAAGACGGACGATACAGCTTTCGGTGTGGATGTCGCATGCGCTCTCTTGGTTACTTAGACTCAGATCAATTTGTTTGCTGTGCAGCCGGCTTCCCCATCTAGATCCACATAAATGCCGCAGTTGCGAGTGGCAGTCGTCTGATTCGGCAACATTGAGCTGCGGCAAGTCTCCCTATAAATCTGGTAAACATCTTAGCCTAGCCGTGTCATTTGAAGTTCACAGTTGCAAGCCCAAGCCGTGCGGCAACGTGAGCCAGACAAAAAGCCAGGTACATCCAAGTACCTATCTGATTAACCCGCCATGCCATGCGGGTTTGGAAATCTCCCCCGCCCTTATTGCATGCCCTGACAGCCCAGCTCAAATTGCCTTTGATTCCGGTCTGGCTTCCGATGGGTGTCGTTTGGAAGAGTAGTAAAGTTTCGAGAGCTGGCCGCATGGGATGGCCGTTGCTTTGCTTCCGTTGGCGATGGATCACTTCCTGCACTGCATCCGCGGTACAAGAACTCTTTCCAAAGACGCCTCGGAATGTCAAGCAAATTTTAGCATAAGCCACAACCCTCAAGCTCCACATGGAACATGAACACAAGAGATGCTACGCTCCCAGCCAAAGCAAGTTGACATGCGAGTTTAAGCGCATGGCCTGTGATTTCGGGAGGCAGAGGTCTCCGGAAGTCCGACAGAAGAAGGGCCGTCTCAAGGCCCCATGGCGGTGTGTGGCCTAAGAATGGGAGAACGTCTATTGAGCCCAGCGTGGAGGCGGATCAGACAAGTCGGTGAAGCCATCCTTGGATGACTTGGAGTTGGATCTTGAGCGCCTCATGGACGTGGCCTGGCAAAAAAGCCTTCTGACTCGAGCCTTTGGAAAGATGCTGGCCGAGGGCGTAGTTGGGAGAAATGTGTGCTACTCCAAGGAAGCGTCCGCTGCGTCGCGAGCAGGAGCGTAACAGGCCAAAGGCTCGGTTGCATGCAGTCACGTGTTGGCCAGTGTGCCGTTCAGGGAGGAGGTTCGAGCGAGCGCTCGCAGTCGAAACGTCGTTGTTTGAATTTGTTGTTTCAAGATTGGTGACTGAGGCGCTTCATGCCGTTGAAGACGAATGAGCGCTGTGTACACAAGTGTGCAGAGCCAACGCAAAGATTGAGACATCATGAGACATAGGTCAGGTCATGAGTAGATCATGAGTAGGTCATGAGTAGATCATGAGTAGATCAATAGTGGGGTGTGGCCAATGCCATCTCATGCTGAATTGGCTCTGTGCTGGGTGGGGAGTTTGCAGCAAGGGGATGCTCTTTGAGTCAGGGGAGCCTTTGCTAGCCGTGCGGGGTCTCTCGGCTGTAGAAGGCAGCTTTGGATCTTTGGCTCTGACTCAACGTTGCGGGATGAAAAAGGCTTCAACTTCTCCACGTTACACTTCCATCCTTCCGTACATTATATATTGGTCACATGTCTCGCCAAAGAAGCGCAGCCCAACCCAGCTGCCGAATTTCGAATTGTGGTTTATGTGCGTGCTTACGGCTGAATGCTCAAGAGGTAGGCCGTGGCCTGCGCATCGTTTGCTGCTTCGGGGAGTTTGCAGGCACTCCTGGTTGCAACTTTGCAGCCATGAGTGCTTTGCAGAAGATTGCCGAGATAGAGGCCCGACTGCCATGTGTGGCATTGAAGCGCAGTTTTGTTTCAGGTTAGTGCAATCTTCAGACTGGTAAGGCCGAAATGGCCAGAACGCAGAAGAACAAAGCGACGAATGCCCACCTTGGTCTGCTAAAGGCTGGGTGCAAGTGCTTTTTTGGGAGATGGCATGCATGTCTGAAGCAGAGAGAGCTTCACGTGGCAGAGGCAAAGCTTGCGAAGCTTCGAGCCCAAATCGTGACCGAGGGCACTAAAGGAAGTGGGGGAGGTGGAGGACAGCAAGGCTTCGAGGCCTGCAACGAGCTCCTGCGGCTGTGACCTTAAACGCTCGGAATATGACTTGGAGCATTCGAGGTCTCGAAGACGGGAGATGCCCGAGTTGGTCTCATCGGCTTCCCCTCTGCGCCTTGGCAAAGAAAGTCGGTTCTGCCATGTTCCGACATTGATGGGTCAGTTCCAAGAGGGCCAGCGCCCGGTCGTTTGGGCGCCGGCTTAGCAGCTTAAGGGTTGCACAGTTGCATCAGCAGCCTGGCAGAGCATGCTGCAACTTGTCACGATCGACAACCAGAGTCTGCGGGCTGACAAAGCTTCATAGGTTCCCCTCAAGGTTCCCATGTGAGGTTTCGAGCTATTGCAACGATGTCATTCCGGCACCAGGTCGGAAAATCCACTTTGCTGAACAAGATGACGGGAAGCGCCAGCGAGGCACTGCCTGCAACTTTGCAGTTCTGCTCGGAACAGCAGCAATCCTGAAGAATGGCGCTAGGTTGCTTCCTACGAGTTCACCACCCTAACTTGCGTCCCCGGCGTCTTCAACTACAAGGACCTGTGATCAGTCGGGCTGAGACGTGCGGGGATCTCGAAGTCTCGAAAGGGTGCCAAGATCCAGCTGCTGGATCTGCCCGGTATCATCGAGGGCGCCAAGGACGGCAAAGGCCGCGGCAAGCAGGCGCTTGTTTGGATTCCCCCCTCGAAGCAAGAGGTTGAGTTGTATCGACGTTGAAAGGGGGAGAGTCTTCGAGGGTATTCTGTCAGGTCATTTCAGTGGCCTATAGCTGCAGCTTGATTCTGATAGCCGCGCGCTCGGCATTCTTTTTTTGCTTGACAGGTCTGACTCATGTCCAAGCACTCTGTGCAGACCATGGCTCTTGTCTATCTCGTCTCAAGCAGTTCGCCAGCAGGTTTTGGACGTCATGAAACCGATTCTGCACAAGCGGAAGATCGAGTACGAGCTGGAAGGCTTCGGGTAAGCATCCCAGACTGCAAGCGCTGCCATCCACTTCGTGCGAGAGTTTCTTGTACTTCTTGCACTCAGGATACGGCTAAACAAGAAGCCGCCAAACATATTGTTCAAGAAGAGGGACATTGCTTCACACATGCGCGCACCTTCTCTGCGGATTTCCTTTCCAGCGGATGGACAGCTTCGCCACGCCGCAGGAAAAAGGAGGGGTGGCGCTGAATGTGTCCCCAGGCTGCGTGCTGAAGGACACATGAAAAAACTGTGATGTGTTACAGTTTCCGTCCCTTGGGACCACATGGACTAGCTGCAGCAACCTTGGCTTCCCACGGACACGTCGAGGACTGTGATGAGGAGAGTATCATGGGTGCCGGGACCCCAGCGCGAAGTCGCGAGGTCCTTTCTGGGATGATCTGCGAAATTGGTGTCTCAACCCTGTGCAACTTGAGGTTCTTCGGGAATATAAAATCTCCAATGCGCAAGTCTCCATCAGATGTGACGCAACAATGGATGACATAATTGACACACTCGAGGCCATTGAATCATTGCGTGTCGGTCTTGCGTCGTGCCTCGATAACGAGAGACACCCTGAGCAGGGCAATCGAAAGTACTGCCCAGCGATCTATGTCATGAATAAGATTGACCAGATCACAATCGAAGAGCTCGACATCATCGCTGAGGTAGCACAGAAGCAATCAGCTTAGGTGGAGGTGTGCTCAAAGGGCCCTTCAGCCACCAGAGCATTGCAATCCTGCTGACGCAGTTCAGTTCGCACTGAGGTACCCCATCATGTGCCGATTTGTGCACACCATGAGTGGAACCTTGACGGACTGGTCGAAATGATCTGGAGATACATGAGCCTCTTGAGGACATTGCACAGACTGCCCTCCAGCACAACAGTCCGATGCTCATCGCTCACCCACATTAAAAGTCTTTGCCTGGAAGGATCTACACCAAACCACGCGGACAGATACCCGACTATACAGTTGCAGTCTCAGAGACCACTGTGCGCATGTCGCCATGTCGCTTAGCAGAAGTTGCTCTCCTGGGCTATCCTCAACCTTATCTGAAAGGCCCCTGTCATTCTTCCAGCGGAGAAGAACAAGATCGAGGACCATGCGCTCCAAAGCGCTGGTTGATCTGTTGAGTGCTTTCCATGGGAATGCACGCGTGCGTGCATCATGTGCATCCAAGTGGGGTTTGCTTATTTCTTGCAGTAATCGCTCGCTCACACATTGACGGTCTCATGTTCGGAAGTGGTGTGCGAGCGATGTTCTAGTTCATGTGCAGTCCATGCAGCTGGTGCGAATTTGTTGTAGGGCTGCTCGAAGTGCCCTGCCCAGTTTTCTTCTTTTCTCCAACCCGTCAAGGGGGAGCTGTACGACACGCCCTAGCAAGTCGTACTCGCATGAGCCATCGGTCCATCGGTTGTGTTTGCTGCCCGGTGATCTCTGTCTTCAGATACCTTAGCATTGACGGATAAGTCTGGGTCGTACGATGCTGCTGGATTCTGCCCGTGTTGGTTGAAGGCTTGAGAGACTTGGAAGATCTCTGGAGTCGGAGGGCAGGTGTGTTGATGCTTCGGGTTTGACATGAGGTGAAAGCGCCGCTATCATGTGCTAGGGTGTGGTACAGTCTCCCAGGCCCCCTTCGTGGAAGTATTGTCCGGTAAGGGACGATTTCAATTTGCTGCCGTGCTGGTTTCAATGGTCTATGCTGCTTGCTCCACACTCTCGCTGACTAGGACTTCTGCATCCGGATACACAAGTCATTGTTGTCACAGTTTACGCCTCAGACACGTTGATGTTTTGCGCACCACCGGGAAGTTGGCCCTTCTTTGCCGTAAGGTTCAAAGTCGCGCTTGTGTGGGGAATGTCGGTGCTGCCAGCTGGTTGGGCACAGCACACCACAGCTGTGGAGCATCAAACAATAGCAAGCATGCTCAGGATGGAGTCAAGCCATGCTTCCTCAGAGTCCTCAGCTCAAGTTTTCAAATGGCTGCCAGGCGAGGCATAACCCCCAGAGATGTGGAAAAGACCATGAGCTGATGGACGAGGCCCACTTTGGCTGCCAAAAGCTTGAAGAGCGTGTTCGATGCAGATGACTTCTGCCAAGGACGTCGTGCAAATCATCAAGAAGGTTGGCTAATAGGTACTACGCTTCCGGTCGTTTCGTCTCGTTTCACCAGGATAGATATCGGATAGAAGCTTGGCAGTGCTCCCTGGGTGGTGGTTCGACTCATCCCATGTGTTGTAGAAATTTGTCAGGATGTGATTTCTCTGTCCCTGGTTCCACCACAGCGCACGCCGCTGTGCATTTCATTGGCTTTTAGATACAGGCCAGCGCGGCGTCGTGCAAAAAAACCATCGGAAGGCTGATTAGGATGACTGGTGGCCACAAGTTCAGATAGAGAGGGTAGCATATCTTGTTTGGATATACATCCTGCGCATTCCTGGACGTGACTGCATGCGGCCTAGGCAACCTAGGGAAGAGTGGTGTTACGTCATCGATCATGCGCAATGACTTTGCTGGGTTATGTAGTTGTATGTTGCCTTCAGAAAAGACGAGGTATACTGAGAGTTCCAGCACAGCGGGTATTATGTGACTAAAGAGATGCAGTTGTCTTCTAGCCCGCTAGATTTATGCTTCCACGCAACGTCTGATGGAGAAGTCGCCCGGCACCGGGTCAGACAAGATTCTTCAAGGAGGGCAAGATGGGGAACCGTCCCAGGAGCCTCTGCCAGTCACTTGTTCCTTGCTCCGGCGACTCCGCTTGTTGTCTAGCAGGTTTCCCCTGCTGTGTTCTCAGAGGACTCGCAGAATGCCCCTTTGGAAGAGTCCGGGGAGCCACTTGGCTCGGTTTGGATGTGGAAGGTGAGAGAGGCCGCGGGAGTCTACCCAGGATGTCACCGTCGTCGCCAAGCGTCGGAAGGCTTAGGGCCAACGGCCACGAAATCGAGGGATCACCAGAGCTGGAGTCAGTCAAGAGGGACCGAGGGCCATTGTGTCTCCTGAGGCCCGAGCTCAGACCGCGCCAGGTCGTGTGAAGGCCTGACGTTCCCCGAAGATCCCCCAGAGCGTTTTTGGTGCAATCATCCCTTCCGGTTCAGGGCGGCCCTGTTGGTCAGTCGGCCGTGGACTCAGATGGGCCTCAGGATTGCATTCGGTTCCCTAAAGCACTCTCACGCATCGTCTCTAGATGTCTCTTGCCGAATGCCAGAGACACGCCAAGTGCTTACTTTAATCCGAGAGGTGATGCACCTGTCGACTCTTCGCCGTGCTCCGAAGTACTCCTTCCGCGGTGGCAGGGACAGGCGGACCAAACATGACCAAACCCTTCAGATCCAATGAGAGCTCGGCAATGCTCGGCATGCAGCGGGGTTGCCGTTACTGCTACTCCCTCTTGCGAAAAGCCACAAGCTGCACTTTGCGACAGTTGGTCGCACCAATTGAGCGACAACCCACGGAGTTGACATGCGGTGCAAGCAACCTCGAGTATGACTGGAAATCAATGGCAACTTTCGGTTGACATCAACTTTAAGTCCACCTTTGGGCTTCGGAATCAAAACAATATGCCTGCATACTCCCCAGACAATGCAATAGCGAATCCCGCACCTGAGCCCCCAAAAAGGCAGCCGCCCCCAAACGATGCATTGGTGGAAACCCCATCTGTATAGATCTGTATAGTTCAGAAGGTGGAGAAGAACCGCGAAGATGCACAAAGTCACAAGTGCGTCCTAGACCAGATGCGTGGCCGCCTTCGAGCTCTGTAGGTTCAAGACGCGGACCCTCAGGGCAGCAGCACAAGTCCCTGGGCCAACGTCCCGGTGCACGCTGTCAGGGCTACTTGCACTTCATAGCAGTTCTCTGCAGGCCTGGGCAGTATGGACCGCCGGAGGCGGTCCTGCGTTCCGTTGGGATGCTGGGAGTCCAAATAGGCTGGCCAGGTATGGTCTGAACACAATGCCTGTCTTGACGACAGGCATATTCATCTCGCCATCGTCGAAGCCCTGGCTACGGCTTTGGCACTGGTGCCAGAGAGGCCTACGCTGTTTACATCATTGTCGTTATGTATCGATGGTTATGGATGCACGGATGGCACCCTTGACAGGTCAACACTCAGCTGGTTGTCCCAGGGCCGGGGGCGTATCCTCGAGCCTCAAGTAGTTGGCTGCTGAGTATGGCCCTCGCGCATGCTTACCACTGTCACGACCGCTGTGGCTCAGGCTACATGGGTTCTGGACGGGCATATTCCCTCACCCCACGACGGTGGCCCGGATCGCCTGATCTTGAGAGTGACCCCAGAATGCCACTCGGCCCTGAGAAGAATCTTCACCCTCGATCGTCTGTCGTACGTCGGAGTCGCAGCGTTGTGAGGGAATCATGCGTGTCTCTGGGCAAACGCGCTCAGGCCCGGCCCAGGTGCCCACGTCCAGGAGGCGAAGGCCGAGGGGTGGGGCCCCGAGAGCTGAAGTGCAGCTCCAATCCAGCGTGGCATCCTACTGTAAGATTTTCCGAGGCCGCAGTACAGCATCCTGCCGCGAAGGGCTGCGAAGGCGTGTGTCAGTCTGTGAAGCAGCTTTCTGGAGAGATCTCGCATCGCACGATGCAACACCCTCGGACTGAGGCTCGTCGAATCTGGTAGACCTGCAGAGATGTGTGTCTTTTATATTGCTGACCAGGCAGGAACTCTCCTCGCTCCTGGGCCGCGGGACCGAGGATCACGAGAAGAATTCCTGACTCTACCGCTACCGAGAGATCCTGTGCTTGAGAACGCATGCTTTAAAGAGAAGGAAGCCTTCCCAGGCCCGCCCAGTACGGCACCATGGAGGGGTCTTTGGACCGGACAAAGCCTCGACTGCCGAGCCTTCCCACCGTGCTTTAATACATTTTCCCACCGATGCGGAAGTGAACATGAGTGGAGCGAGGGAGATGGGACGCCATGGAAAAGTGAGCATGTTTGAACTTTAAGGGCTTCCGTGATAGCAGCGCTTCAATGGCATCTCTTAAGATGCCCAGCATTCGCCAGGCTGGGGCTTTGGCACCTCCAAGCGCCAAGGCCGAAAGACTTCCCACCAGCTTTGCTTCGAGAGGGGAAGTACGTCTGCGGCCAGGACCCATGCAGATAGAGGACCGGCCTGTCAATGGCATCAAAGGCCTTCGACTAGCGCGCTCAGCGAAAATGTTTCCGGTGCCCAGCGCATTCTCTTTCAAGGCAAGAGTACAGCGGCAGCCTGGGTCCCTCTCACAGCTGCTTCACTCGCTTGTGCAACATGTTTTCAGAGACGGCTTTCTGGCAACTAATCAATACACATTTCCAAGATGTCAAAGCTGCCTGGACCTGGTTCGCCCTGGTCCAAGCACAGCCTGATCATCGAATCGAAGGCAAAGGTGAGTTACCTGTTCTTTCGCAGTCAAAAAGTTTAAGGTACAATGCTCCCAGCTCCGTTGGTGAGGGGCCAAAGTGCGCCTCCGTTCATGCACAAGCAGCAGAAACCATGTCGTTTTTCCTTCTCATTCCTTCGACTCTTCCATTCTTTTGCCAGGTTCTCAGTGGGAGCACGCAGAGCGGTGTCGCGACAAGCGACCTCACCGGGACCAGGTTCGACAACGCCTTCTGTTGACGATGCTCCGCGAAGTCTTGCAAAGTCTTGCCCGGCCTGACTGTGAAGTGCGATCGTGTCATGTGAGGTGACACGGGTGGCCCGAAACTTAGACGAGTTTCCTGATTCTTTCGCAAGGGCACAACGCAGTGCTCGCTGTCCACCTCGCACTCTCAGGCCCTTACACAACCTTTGCGTGAAGAAGGCCGGTGCTCACCTGAACCAGACGGTGAGATGAACCCTGAAATTGAGACAGCGTTTCACTCCGGAATTTTGCCCGTTGCAGCCCTGAATCGCGGGGTGGGCTCAATCGAAAAAAGCTGTATAGATCCTGCCGCGGCAATGGCGGCCAAAGCCTGACTGTCGGCTCGCTAAAGGCTTCCGCCCGACAGACCCCAGGGTGCCAACTAAGGCACTGCTCGTCAGAGTTATTCAGCGCTCATGGCTCAAGAAGGGAGATGAGACCCTCATGCGACTTGCGAAGCGTTTGACTGCGGGAGTCTTTGTCTTTCTGACTTAGCCCCAACCGCCCGGCCGTCTGCCCTAGCATTAGCTGGCTCTGAGGGAGACAATTTGGTGGGCCGATAGGCCATCACAGCAGCATGGCATCTTGGCCAGCTTCTCAATACGGCGACACGCTTTCCCAAGCTCAATGCAACCCCTCAAAGCTGGGAGGACTTTATATCAACTTTGTAAACCGGCCAAGGATGGACAACATCCTGTTGCTGTCTGACAGCTACAAGGTGCCCCTTGTAGTGATGCCTTGCTGCCTTGCAGCACGTTTTGCCGGGGGTCTTCATGACGCACCAAGAGAAACATGGAAGGTGAGCCATTGGCGACAGTACCCCCCTGGCACGCAGTACGTTTGGAACTAAGCTTTCAAGCGTTGTGAAGGGTCCGTCGAGGTTGCAGCCCGAAGAATGCTCAAAATGCATAATGCTCTGGAGCGAATGAACACCTCGCGAAGGTCTACAGCTATTTCGAGAGCCGTGGCTGTGACCGAGAGGGCTGGGAAGAGGTTGTCTTTTTTGGCATTGGCCTCGGTTTTTCCTGGCACAGGAGGCATGACGTTCCAACACTCCAGCATTGCTCAAGGTCTGCAGTACTTCTTGAAGCGCTACCTGTCCGGCAAGGTAGTTCGCAACTTGGGCTTACCTCCACTGACAGCTCCCTTTAGTGCCTTCAGAAGTGAAGGGCTGCATGGGCTGCTCTTGAAGCTCTAGGTCACGCGGGAGAAGATTGATGCAGCGACCAAAATTTATGCACAGCACTTCGGCGATGGACAGACCGAGAATCCCGCAAAGTCCTCAGAGAGGCTTCGGCACTCGCGAATTGGCAAATGCTTGTTTAAGTTTTGAAGTTTGCCACAACTAGCCGCCAAGGGCTTCATGTGCCTAGGAGTTGTTCTACAAGGAAGGCTGGGAGTACATTCTCGAGAAGCATGGCGGCAAGCTGCCAGTCAAGATCAAGGCGCTTCTTGTGCTCGCAAGAGAGTCGGGGACATCGTTGCGTTGCCGTCGCAATCCAGGCGCTACCCGAGGGCATGGCTTGAGACCAAGTTTTCTGATTTTGTCCGCACCGGGTTGTGACATGAATTGAACTTTTCGGCTGGTGAGGTGGTCCCCACCAAGACTGTTCTCATCACAGTGGTGAACACGGATCCTGCATGCTACTGGCTCACAAACTTTCTGGAGACGCTGCTGGTGCAGGCGATCTGCGCCGATGTGTTTGAATGTAGAAAATGCAGCACGCCTTGCACGAGCACGAAGCTGGAGTCTGTTGTAGAGTGACGCAAATGCTTTCAAATGCTTCCTGACAGCGCAAACACAGCAGGGATTTATTGCTGTAAGGCAGGTCCAGTTTTTTTCGAGGTCAACGCGAAGAACCGTGCTCAGCGTCGCGCGAGGCGTCAGGGCAAGCGTGCTCAGCGCCAGAAGCCAACACCGGAGCGCTGGGAGCGAAACTTGGACCATGGAATCCAAGAAATTGGGGAGCCGGGCACGGTGACCTCCTCGACCCCACAAAATGTTTTGCCCCACGCTTTTGTTAGGGGATGTTTGGCACCAAGTGTACGGACTGACATTAAGATAGTATACAACTTGTATATACAGCACACGTACAGAACAGCATGTCTTTTCTCTGGGCTTTCGAATGCCCCAGCTAGGGATCGCAGAGTAGAAGCGTGGATTGCCCCAGTGCCCTGCGCCAGGTCTGGTACCCCATGACCGTTTGCACCAATAGCCGGTACCAGAAGGTGTCGATCCAGAAGTACTTGGAGGTCCGTGCCGGGGGAACCCCAAGCTCCCAAGCCCAGAACTTGTCAAGGAAGCGCCTCCTCTCTCTCTTTCTCCACGCCTCTCCCTGCCAGTTCCCTGCCTCTCTCCTCTCTTGTGTCCTCTTGTGGAAGTGCCCCCAGGAGACCGGCTGCGAAGACTGGGCTCCTCCCGGAGGCAGGAAATTGGGGGAGGAGGGGGGCCATATGGGGGGCCAAGGGCGAAGGAGAGAGAACCAGCCATGATGAAGGCGCTTTAGATTTCCGAGAGGGGCTCCAGCTTGTCGCGCTTCTACGGGTTCATAAGCTTGAGCCTTTGAACGGCTTGGAGGGGTGTGTTTTTCTCATGTTTCCCGGTAGCGTTGAGAACCCTACGGCGGCCCTCGGTTTGGGTCACGCCGACGTTGTGGGTGGTGGGTGAAGTGCTGGTTGGGCTGTGGATGAGCAGTAGTACATCGTGCGTTGTTGCTGTAGGGCTCACTGGTGCAGTCCGGTCGCTCGGGGGGTGGACTTTGGGAGTGTGATGAGCGTGATCCACGTTGCCCTTGCGATCAAAGTTGTGAGCAACCACACCATCTTCACCTGTCCCTCCTGGCGACCGATCGTTGGGATCGCTGGGCGATCTTCGGAGGCTTTGGATCCAGGCTTTGCGTTTGGAGACGCGGCTCCTATGGCCATTATGGCCACACTCTTGCCTGCCGGATGGTTGCTAGGCCACAAGCATGTGACCAGGCTCTGCATTTGGCTCTGCATTTTTGGGGCTTCTTCAGTGCCCGCTCAACAACCACCTTCATGATGTTGCGGTCGTTGTGAGCAACGAAATGATGGGCTATTGTATGTTAGGATTCTTGGAGACTAGAGCTGTTTGTGCTGCTTTTCGCCTTCTGAAGTGTGGCAGGTTCTTCTTTCAAGCTGCACGACTTCGGCTTTCGAGGCGTCTCCTCGGTCGAGTCGGCTGCCCTCGGTGGCATGGGTTCCTGGCCTCAGAAGCCTCGCCTTTGTTCGGGTCCGCGCGGAAGAAATTCTGCAGCCAACACGAGGCCATTTGGTCAACTTCATGGGATCTGACACTGTCATTGCCCTCTCAGCTGCGAAAGAGTACTACGGGGCCAAGAAGGCCTCATGCGAACGAAGCATCTACTCAAGTGTTTCTTGGTTATTATTGTTGGTACTGCAGGCCGTCGGATTCTCGATCCCGGCCTCCGAGCACTCCACCATAACCTCCTGGGGCCTTTCGCCTGCAAAAGCGATATCGGTGCTTCGGGAACCAGGGGTCCTGCCTTTGAGGTGTGGACGGCGAGCTTGATGCCATGCGAAACATGTTGGACCAGTACCCGACAGGCCTGCTTTGGTATCACTCGGCCCTTGGTAGGCAGTGAGTGGGCTGTGCAGCGCATGCCGGGCTTACTTTGCAGTTGGGCTGGAGGCCTCGTGGCCTGTGTCAGCGACTCTTTTGACGTCTTCAAAGCCTGCAGGCGATTGCCCTAAAGTCCTTTGCGTCTTCTCCGGCCGAACTCGAAGCCTACTTTGCGTAAAGCAAAGCTCTGTCAGGGAATACTGGGGCGACGCGCTCAAGGACAAAATCAAGGGCCGCATCAGCGTTGCCCTCAGCTTTTGAGAGAGCAAAGGCAGTGCGCTCTCAGAAAGTCGCTCTCCATTAAGGTGAGACCAGTTTTGGTCAGCTTGTGGTTCGACCGGATAGTGGCGATCCAGAAGAGACTTGCGTCGGGCTCTCACAGTTCACAGAATGCTCCAAGGTAGTAAATCAGCAGTGATGTTGCCGATGTCACAACAAGCCAATCGGGCAAGGTTGCCATCATGAAGATCCTGCTTGAGCAATTTGCAGACGACGTGACTGAGACCAAGTGCTCGGCTCGGATTTCGGCTTTCTGCTGATGCAGATTTGCTCATGAACAGCTAGCTGTCAGATGAGAAATCACACCTTGCTCCCCCGCTGCGTTTCACAAGCATCCCCTAAGGACTGGGCACAAATTGCTCCCTCCGTGCATCCGCGTGATTCAGGGCGATGGGGTCTCACGCTGAGCATGCGGCCTTCAATGGTTAGCTTCTGCCGCCTCTTCGCTCTACGGAGGTTGACTACGAGTCCATTCCGAAGATTTTGAAGCGCTTCAAGGTGGTATGGTACTGCATTCCGATTGAGCCTTGCAGCGTTAAGGCATGCATCCTCTCAGGATGAAGGAATTGCCGCTGCAAACATCACGTTTGGAAGCGGCATCTCAGCTGCAGTCGGTCAGGGCCGACGCAGGTCGACAACTGTTGCCACTCAGGTGGGGCCTTGTTGCAGAAGGTTAACCGCGACACCTTCAAGGCCAGGGAGTTTTTGGTACTGCTTTGTGATTTGGATCTGTGCCCGAAGCTGTCGGAGTAGGAGTCCGCGCGACCAGGTGGCGTTTAAGTGTGCGGAAGTCGTGCTCGAGAACGGCGAGGCCATGCCAGGGAAGCAGCCCGACACCCTCGTTGAGCCCTCTTGGTGGCCAGAACCGTACGCAGAGTAACGATCAAGAGTCGCCGATAGACTTGAGACATTTTGTAACCACGCTCGAACTAAGGAAATCTCAGAGGATATAGATATCACCCTGACATCCTGGGAAGGCCAGAGAGGTCTTCAAGGATCCGCTGACAGACGATGGCAAGGCAGCGCTTGTCAGCGCCTCGTCATCGCATGGTTGCCTGGGAGCATGAGAAGGCCTCGAAGAAGGGGCGCCTGACGCTCCAAAAGGCGCCAGGAGCCCGGCTGCCTCGAAGTAAGGCATAGTTTCGCTCCTGAAATCTACTGTGGGGGTGCACTTCGCACGAGGTCGGACATCGTCAGCTACTCCCCAGAGGATGTGTACAAACCGCGTCAAGGGCCAGATGGTGTCAAAGGTGGCTTTAGCACATTGAAGAAAGGAAACTCAAGCTGCGGGCGGAGGCTTTTAGTGTTCGTCGCAGGTGGAACCGGCTTCCTGCATTTCACTCCAGATGGCAAGTATGTGACTGTGGCAAGCGGAAGGCAGATGCGGTGCTATCTTAAAGGCTCAGTGGGCTTGTGTCTCGCTGCCTGCAGGGGCGATCCAGACAAGGATCTGTTGGTGCTTCTGTCTTGATTACGAAGCTGACAGCGCAGCTGCCTTCCCTTCTGTGTTAGGTGTTAGGCCAATTAGGCATGGAGTCAGTAGCTGTGACATCTCTGCGCATCCCTACGCGTACCCTAAACTGTATACCTGGTGGTTTCAGGTGGATGTCTTCGCTGACGGTGAGGTGCTGAAGGCATCCGCGGATCTGATCTGTGGGCCACAGGCAACAACAGGTGGTGCGGGGATGTGTGACGGACAGGGGCCTAAAAGCTGTTTAAACCGTTTTCAGGGATCATAAAAATGATCTCAGGATCATAGACCTATTTCCGGAGAAAGCCAGGGCAGCCAGGAAGGCAGGAAGGCAGGAAGGACGGAAAAGGCAACGTGGGAACTGAATGAGACCGGAACCAAAGGACGGAAAAGGAAAAGGAGAAGGACGAAAGGGAGACGAGCAAAGGGGCAAGCAAGGAACCAAGCCGTGTTGCTTGGGCGTCTGTTTCAAGATGTTTCGGCTAAAGTCAAAACCCCGGGCTCTGCACCCTTGCCCCCCCCCCCCACTTCTGCCCCCTACTACCATGCTTGTTACACAAACCGTGTGAGCCAAAGCTCGAGTGTGCCTATATGCCTTGGGTGGCGCTGTTGCACATGTGCGGGGAAAGAGATCCCTATCCCCACGTGCTGTATTAAAATAGAACTTTTTGGTTGATCTTTGGTCACAACTTGACATGCACGGTATGCAGGGTAGGTTACAACATGCTGATTAGGATGTGCTCTACCCTTCGCATTCGAATGGCTGGTTTCGTTTGCAGTCTGCTGAACAAACTCGTCTGTCTGCAAATGCCCATTCATGACTTGACCCCATGCCCACATTCATTTAGCTTGCTGCCGCCCTCGAGCAGGACTACAAGCTTGGACAGATTAGGAAGCGCGCCGACGTGCCAAACGGCGCTGGGCTCGCGATGTCATTTCCTACCAGTGTAGTCATCGCAGCGGCCTAGCTCTGAGCTGAGGCCCTTTCAAGGATGCTCCAGAGGAGAGAAGGGTGATATTTCATTGTATTGGAGACTGTGGGAGAAGCACTGAGAGGCAAAGTCCTCACTCAGATTCCTTGCATCAGGAGCCAGAGGAACCTGTCAGCGCCCGAAAGCACGTGAGAATCGCGAGAAGGTTTCTTGCATCTGCAGATGTTTCCTCGCTGCCTAGAACTCAGGAACCCGCCAAGGAGGCGAGACGACGTTGCACCTCGAAGTTGTAGGAAACTTGAAAGAACACAGGTGCCAGCTGAGCCTCAGGCCTTCGTCTCAGATCTTAGACCAGCCGTGCCAAGGTTTGTAGATTGTCGTTTCGCCATGCTTAAACATGTCTTTGGCCATGCTCTGGCCTCTTTTTTGCGGTGTGAGCCTGAGGCACGTGTCGGGGCACCCGCCAGATTCTTATGGAGTTGAGTTTGCCTTTCAACTTGTGCTGGGCTTGGTTCAAAGCCGTCACACTGAGGCGCCGCAGGGAGCATCCAGGCCCAGCTTACACTGCTCTAAAGCAGTGAAAAGCACTGTAGGACGTCGTAGGACATTGTAGGATACTCCAAAATGGTCAGAGTTGCAGGTCTGTGGCGGCTCCGACGTACATCAACAACATGCCAATCGCGCGATTTCCCTACATGCCGGGTGTTACACCCGGTCAGAGTCAGGGGAGTGCCGCGCGCCCCTCACAGGCAGGTTGCTTGGAGATGTTTCCCTCAATCCACGTTCCAGACACTGCTATATCACGTTACATCACGTTACATCATTGTTGCTTGTGGAGGTCATGATGCAATCGCCGCCTGGGGCTGCCAGGGTTGCGGCGCCGGTTGCAGCACCGGTCGGGCCCGTGACGTGCCCGGCCTTCTGCAGCTGTGCAGATCAAGCCGACGAAGCAAGAAGTGAACACACCAGAAGCGAGGCGATAAAACACCCGAGCTTCGTCGCTGCACCACAGGCCATGCAAGTAAGCTTGGGCGTGGCCAGTCCTGCAAGCCGGCAATCAGGGGTCCAAATTCCGAGAGTAATGTCACGTGTTGAGCGCCTCGGGACACCAGTTGTGACTAAACTAAACTTCTGCCAGGTGAACCGACCGAGCTTTGTGGCTGCACCTCCGGCACTTCTCTCAGCATTCTGTCTCGTCGAACAAAAGCCCGGAGATCGCAAGTTTCCACGCAAGCCCCGCGTGCAGAGCATTCACGGCTTTGTCTTCACTGTTTCATGAGCTTGAGCCTGACATCAGACTGCCGCCGGCCAGCCAATGCCTCGGCCGGTCATGCCGGGGCAGCCGTTCCAGCCGGGCCAGCCGCTCCAGCCGGGCCAGGCGCAGGCTTGAACGTATGTGATCATTGTGATCATGCAGGCTTTTGTTCTTCTCACTGAAGCGAATGACTCCGAATGCTTCCGAATGATTGTAGATGGTGCCGAACTACATCAGCGCACCGCGTGTAGTAGCTCGTGCTTGCCCCAGAAGATGCTTGTGCTATCGATTTGGAGACTTGCTTGTGTTAAGCACGTGAGCAGTATGCAGACAGACCGCTGCAGGCCCAAGCTACGTTGCTGGACCCATGCCAGGACAGATGCCCTTGCAGGCATCCCGACACTACCGTGCCACATGTTCTCATGTCTTCTTTTTTTTGAATGCTCAAAGCTGGCACACAAGGAACGTCAGGCAACGTGACATCCACAGAAACAGTTTTTAACATGAATCCGAGGCACGGGAGGCATGAAGGAATTCGTTTGGCAACTTGAGCTTCGATCCGGGTCTTGTTATGCAGCGGGTCGTGGCTTTCGCTTAAATACCGCCCCATGCTCTTGGCAAAGAGTGCGGCATGCCTCGCGCTGCAAACCCTGAGTCAAGCGATCATGTCGGTCAATGGCATGTGGGATCATGTGAACCATGGATGCGGAGATCTTGCAGGGCACCATGCGTCCGGGAGTGATGATGAACTCGGCCAACATTCCTCAAAGGAGTGCGTCGGCACGCAGCTCAGCGCCCTTTACTGCAGGACTCCTATATATCTACTTGTCAAGACTGTAAGAGAACCGACATAATTGGAACGTGCCACAGCTGTTTGAGCATACGGCCTGACCCCGGCAGAGTGTTGATGCCGTGTAGAGATGCTCCTCGCTTGTCACAGGTTGGTTTTGGCATGGGCAATGTTGTGCAGCGTGCGAACTGAAGGCAAATTTTCCCTGAGCTTTCCGCATGCACTGTACACTAGAAACGAGGAGTGGCATTTCTTGAGCATTTGTTAACTGAGTCTTAGAGTGGGCAGAGTCAACATCGCGTTGCAAGATGCCAGTACTGGTTAGGTCGGAGTGCCGATTGAAGTTGCTCATTCGGAGACGGCTTCTCTTTTGGGTTGATAGCTTCTCTGGGGGAGAGATGCCAATTGATCCTGCAGAGCAGTTGCAACTGTTTAACATGTACCGTACGTCTTGACGACGCTGCGTAGCAGTGTGCCCTGCAGCTGATGAAACTGTGAAAGGATGAAACCAAAAAAAGGGGCAAATCCTCAAAATCCTCAAGACATGTTCGAGGGCGCATCCAGCAACCCGTCGTTGCGACTATTGTCAAAGCGTTGAGAGGTCAGACGAGTTATTCCTGTCTCAGGAACATCTATCTAACCCACAACTGCTCTGAAAGAGTCGCACTGCAGAGCTGACCCGGCCTTTGGCACGTATATTTTGCCCTGGTTGAATGAACCTCATCGCTTGCAAGTCATCAGTGCGACAAACGAGGCTCTTGTCGCAATTGCAGCTTATCTGTCGTGATGCTGCAGTTCGAAGAGCGTGGCCTTCGCCGTTAACTCGTTGCCGGTGCAGTATGTGTTGAGTATGTGAGTTCTGCAGATTCAAGCGAAGCCTGTGTGACCCACGCAGCAGAAGCTTCATGGCAAGATCGGTTGCATCTTAGCTATCTACAGATTATAAGTCAACTTGGCATATTCATGTCTTGGCCGTCTTGGCTACAACGGGCACGAAGATGGACGCCAGCAAGCGTGAAGATCCTGGCAGTAGTAGATGGAGCGACATCGCTAGACCAGCCTTTGCATGCTGTTCTTATTCCTGTTCCTGGCAGCCGTCCGGGACCATCCAGAAGTCAGGCACATGCCAATCTTGATCTGCCCTTCTGCCCTTAGGTCCAGGTGCCCCTGAGCACAGCCATGCTATTTGGCACTGCCGGCACAATTTGCCAATATCTGCCGACGCAATCCATGGTGTGATTTGCGCCAGGCCCATCGCTTTTCTGTTTCAGCGTCATCGGCCAGCGGCAGGCTTGTAGCCTTGTGTGCAAGTAGTTTGTGCAAGGTTGAGGTGTCATGTCCTCTTGCCTTCGCTTCAGGCAGATCTACTCTCAAATCTGTTCCTCGAAGGCGCGTTGCTCAGGGAGCTGGAAGGCAGTATCAGCTGTCAAGCTATAAGCATGACATGCCGAGGAATTGGACTCTTCGGCTGTGACGAGTACATGCTCTTCAGCAGTCTGCCTGCGGAGGCACTGAACAGCTGGGCAGACAGAAGATGCATTCAAACTTCATGTCTGTGCCTCTTCATGAGGAGCTGTTCAAGAACAGCATGAGCGCACATCCGACGCTGGAGTCCTGATGACACATGTGTCGTCTGTGTCGTGCTCCAGCGATGCATCGCAGCGCTCGCAGCACCAGCAGGTGGCCGACAAGTGGTCCCGTAGTGCATTTGCTCTCACACTCCGTGGACATGCCGTCCGGCTGTCATGTTTGCAACGTTTGCACTACGTGCCCCCGTTTGCTTGTCGTATCTGGGTCACGTCGCTAAAGAAAGCTTGCTGATGTCTGCGGATGTGGCTCGAGGCCTTTTTGCTTCTTTGTCTCTGTCTCTCTCTCTCTCTCTTTCTTCAGTTTCTCTCTCTATCGCTCTCTCTCTCTCTCTCTCTTTCTCTCTCTGTCTCTCTCTGTCTCTCTCGCTCTTGCTCGTTCGTGTCTCTCACGACAGGCTCAGCATGGCTGCCGTCCGGGAGGCAAGGACGTGTTGTCAGTGATCTTTCGGGCAATGCTTGGCTGATGCTGGAAATGATTTGTTGGGGGTATGTCAAGCTATCAGCTCAGGTTTGGCATCGAGTTTCAGAAGATGGGCGCTACAAAAGATTCAACTGGATCCTAAAGATGGACTGCTGACTTCTAGTCCACACGTGTGTTCAATCGGATTCAGGTCAGAATCCATTAGGGTTGATGCCTGGCCAGGACCCAGAAACAGTCTTTCATCCCGATCGCTTGCGCGACATTCTGCACTGGGCACAGATTGTGCCTGCAACAATCAAGAGCTACACGAGCTCATTTGCACATTCCGTATGAAGCCTGTTTGCACTGCTCAGGTCTCTTCACTGTTCTCATTCCGGCATCGCTGACTGGCTTGAGACAATGTCGGAGCAGTGAAGCAGCCATGACCTTTGTAGCTGTGAGAACATGACCAGATTGTGACGCGATGGCGCTGCAAAACGGCGAAGTGATTCCAGGCGAATCTGGAGCCGCCTCGTTGCGTTTTTGTTTTAATGATTCGTGGAGATTCTAAACGCGACGCTTGTGAGGTGCGATGCAGGCCTTGACCAAAGCTGCCGTTGCAAAGCTGGCAAAGAACCAGCTGGACGATTGCGAGGACGGTTCTTGGAAGTCCCTGGGAGCCCGCAGTATGCAAAGCAACGGCTGTCGCGAGGACGAGGCAGCAGACTCGGCAGACGCGGAGGAGCTCGACTTAGACCCCGCTTTCGGGGTTCGTGTGAATCAAACCCTGGCCTGGCTCTACACTGTGTGCAGCCCTCGTACGAACCCCTATCGCTAAATCACCCAGGTCATGCTGCGCGCAGCACGAACATGGGCAACCATGATTTTTCACATAGAATATTCGTGTTGCAGCCCACCTGTGCTGCCATGCTGTGCCACGGCCGAGCCCTTCCCCCGAAGCTGGAGCCCACGTCAGCAGCGGCGCGAGTTCCAAGCGCGCCTCCTCTCCAAGTGCGCCTCCCCGAAGTCACGAGTTCAATGAGTGGGCGGGCGTGTGATCTCGATCCATGACCCCTGCACAAAAGGGCCATGGAGGAACGAAGTGGGCACGGAAGCAAATAGGTTTTGGCCGTGGAGACATGATTGCCCCAAAATATCCCGCACCAACTCGAGGTGAAAGTTTCGGGCAAAAACGAGGCATCAGGAACGTAGCCGAGCTTCGCTGAGCTCAGACCTCGACATGAAGGCACCTTATGGACAAGAGGAGAATTCGCTGAGAAGTCCCGAGGAGCTGGATCGGCGAAGTCTAGGAACTCGATGTTGGTTGGCGGGCAACTTAGCCGGAATCCTGGCAAGCAAGAGAAGCGCCGTGCAAAACTAGGCGGAGATCGAATCTAGCGGGAAGTGGTCTGCAATTTCAGATCTGCGAGCAAGACCCCGATGGGGCTGCAAGTCTGTCGCTCTCTGTGGACGGATGGAAAGCCTCCATGCCCAGTCAGGAGCAGATGTCCACAGCATGGAGCTGTCGGCACTAGCGGCTAAAGAGCTACTCGTGCATCTGTGTAAAAAGCTACAGCTACGAGTTGCATTTTTTTTCAGCCTTAAGTGGCGTGCTCCTGCGCAACCTAACCACCTCGGCGTCCGTCATTTTTTGGGTAAATGGGAGTTCCTGCACGGCGGAACAACTGTTTGCACGGGGATGCCGCAGGTGCAGTGCCTGCAGAAAAGCCTGCACAAGAGCGATGTCAAGCTGGTGAAGGACAAGTCCAAGATGTGACGTGTGTAGGCATTGTTGGCTGTGTAGGCTGTGTACGGCTGTGCACGGATGTGGTACGGATGTGTTCGGATGGTGGTGCTTCGTCCCGAGGAGCCTAGCCTCTTCAAAGACTTCAGCACCTCACACTCGATGAGGATCTGCACGCTAAGTCCCATGCCTTGAATGGTGAATACTTGTCCTTTCTTTGTCGAGCTCACGACTTTTGGGGAGGGGTGAAGATCTCCGAGCGTGCCAGTTTTTAGGGACTCCTATCATTTTGCCTTGCTGATTGCGACTGTTTTGTTTTTTGAACTTTAGCTCTAGCTCTCCTACAAGTCCCCTGCATCCTGACAAGGTTTGGAGTTATTTCATGCGTTTCTTTTGAGCTCTAGTTTCCTCGAAGCTCTGTCGTACTGGGTGACCCAGTATAGTAGCTAAGATTTCCATGCCGTCCCCGAAACACTCCACACATCCCCGAAGCAGGTCTGGGCTCCTTCTGGCCTTTCCTGGCTTGGCCCGACTACATGACATGCATGGGCCAGGCAAGGCTTGTCGCAAGTTTTCGCAAGTTCTCTCGAGTTCTCTCCGCTGCGGGGGAGGGGTGGGGGCGCTTTATGCCAGGCTGGTTATTCTGTGCAACCTGATGCGCCATCAAATCCATCGCAGGCGCTTGCCGACTCCAATCTTTGGGGAGAATTTGAGAATTTGAGAATGTGAAGGTCTTAAATAGTAGTACAGACTGGGCATTGCGGCTTCTTTTGCAAGTAGTCTTTGTGCCCTTCTTGTGTCATTGTTGGTTGTGATTGTTCATCACCGCTTGCTTTCCAAATGCTTCGGTGCTTCGACCCTCTGATGATCTTATCTATATTGCCTCGACCCTCTCTCTCTCTCTCTCCATGACGTTTTGTAGGCTCTGTTAGTAGTAGAAACCAGAACAGACAGATTCCGGCGATCACTGTTCTGACCACCCATCCTCACATTGAGTCGCTTGCTTCTACTCATTCTACTCCTGTAGCCGAAGCACATTGACAAATGCTGGTGACCGGTGTGTTGTTTTGAACCCTCTCTCCCCAATCCATGATGAATGGTTTCCGCCACTTGCACAAGAAACAGAAACTGGTGTCTCACCACCCTTCTTCAAGACGGGGTTCTGAGTATTCTTAACCCCCCGCCCCGCGCTTGTGCAAGCCACAGCGACCCTCCTCAACCCTCTTTCCGAGATGAACTGTCTCCACTGTCAGTCTATCAGTAGCTGAATAGTAGAGGCAAGTTCTGGCCCCGTCTGTTGTTCTGACCACCCCTTCATCTCGAATGGCATCGTTTCGACTGTCTTGGTCTGTTTTGAACCGCGCTCACCACTTCCCCATGCGTGCCTTCTGTAAAATGCAAGCGCGAAGCCAGTCCTCGAGTGCGCGAGGAAAGCTGACGTGGAAGCACTTGTAGAACCAGGGAAAGCGCACAGAACCTAGTCGAGAGGGCGACACTTGCTGATATCCTGTCAAGCCTTGAAACCTAAGCCTAGCAAACCCCGAACAACCAAGTGGAAGCATCTGAGGAAGTACACACGAACATCCGCACCGAGGAAGTTTATTCGCGCCCGGAGGAAATGAACACATTCGGCGCAATGAGCGCAACCGTGGACAAAAACCAGGTGCAACGACAAAAGAACTCATCGTCACACTGCCTCGACCCGATATCCCAGCCCGAGAGCTTGCATCCAAGAGCAGTTGCCTCAGGTATCATGGACGCGGGATGTGCTGCAGCAAGGCTGGCGGACCTCTTTTTGTTGTTCCAGCGGGAAGTCAACAACGAATGTTGAATCTCCTTCGGCAGCTTTGTCTCGCGCAGGTTATTACGTCCGACCCACCATGTTCTGTTGGGTGCCTTGCTGCAAAACGAAAGAGCCACCAGCACAAGCAGATCGTGCGGTATCATACAGATCTTTTGTCTTTTTTCTGCCAGGTACTAGTGCAGCACAAGGGTGAGGTGCCAAAGCTGCCATCAAGCGACGCAGTTCGATGCGAAGTGTGCCTTGTCACTGCAACAGGAGCCCGAGCTGCTCAAGTGGCAGCGGCAGCGAGGTCGAGTCTGCACATCTTCTGCCAATTCGCTGAGCTCCGGCCCACCGATAAAGCCTTTCTGTGCCAGATCTGGGCATCTTCGCCTGTGATGGTTGGATGATCGTCAGCAATGCATCTGCCAGAGAGGCCAGTAGGTTATCGTGGAAGTTGAAACAAAACATGTATAACTCTGTGCCTGTTGCGACTGGGCGACAGGTCTTGCCAGCTGAGGCGTGGCACACGTCGGAGGCTTAAGAATTCCTCAGCGGCGCTGCTGGCGAGAGCTGCAGTCCAACACCATGTCTCATGTCTACATGAACGAGGCACATCAGTATCATCCATGGCAACACTACCGGTGGCAGGAGCTGTGCAGAGCTGTGGGCGGTCTTGTCATAGCATCGGGCACTTGTCGAATGCATGCCTGGACAGATGAGGACGTTCCGCACTGTCCACGGTGCCCCAGCCAGCCAGAGTGAAGGGACAGCGCATCGGCCGGTATGATCACGTTCTTTCGCAGGCAAGCTGATTAGTGAGCCGGCTGATGCGGGGGTTGTGGCCTCAGAGAGAGTTGCAACTTCCAGCCGCTGTAATCATTAAGCTGCTTGCCATCGGCTGGAGCTTCTCTGAAGGTCTATGCGAAGGCATGGGAAGCCGTCTTCGAAGAGGGTAGCTACCGTTCAGCGGGCCTGTTTCTTTTTCTTGTGACTCATCTCCTCAACATGCAGTCAAACAGCTTGGGGCCCATCTTGGCTTCAGAAGCGCCTCTGCAACTTTTCGGTGTCAGGTTCCGACAGCTCTAGTGCAGTTTGGGTGGGGCTCAACCCTTTTCAATCCACAGTCTAGTGGCTTCGCAAGAACTATTGGTGCACTCTTCGCATGATCTTGCTTTGATCAGCGTGAAGCTTCCTTGCGCTGCCGCGGCTCTGCGACACGCCGCGCTTCAGCTTGTCTTCCAGCACTGCTGCTGCTAGGTGTGCGACACCGTGCGTGGCTGCCGCTGCACGACGTCCGCTGCGAATTCAGTAGCGAGGCAGTGTGGCCCATGGCAGGTTCGTTCGACTGGGTCCTGAAGCTCGACGTCGGCGTTGTCGTGGTTCCGGAACGTCTTCGGAGTGTATGAGACCAAGCAGCCTCACATCCCTTGAGTGTTTGAAGCGCTTTCCGATTCCTCAGTTTTGCCGAGGCGCTGAATGCACTATGTCAACCGTCGGCCTGCGGATCAAAGATAGTTCACAACTTTGGGGGGGCTCTGGTCTCGGGCGATGCAGACTTGTGGTCAAGTGCTTCCTCGTTGCCTTCACTGCAAGAGCTGGCAACAGCTGTCAGCACTGTTGAGGACTTGCTGGGTCCCGTGGAGGCCATGAGTGCAAAGGCTGCCTCCACAATGGCAGCCGGCTGAAAGCTCAGTGTGCGGAGTCGCATTGTTAAGTGAGCTGTGAGCATCTCGCTCGAGGCATGCACACCTGCACTACCGCCGCAAAATGGGAGATGCAACCCGAGTATCGATGGCTGTCCTCCTGCGTCAGTGCACTGACTCTGAATTTCTGAATACTGCAGCATGCTGGGCTGGATTCATGAAAGCTCGGAACATCGAGGCTGAACGATTGGACGTTCGGAAGAGAACTCGTGTCAGGTACGCTCGGCATCGGGGCTGTGCGATCGGCTCTCCTTCTTTCGGACCACAAGGCGCCAAGCTGAATTTCAAAGAGGGACTATGACTACGCAGGGTGGCGAACGTGTGGAGCTTTGACCCCGGCCCCTCCAGAAGTGCAAAGAAGTAGAAGTAGTAGAAGAAGAAGAAGCAGAAGCAGAAGCAGAAACAGAAACAGAGAAGGAAAAAGGACCTGGCTGTTTTCATGGATCTGATGTCTCTTTCTCTCGCGCTCTCGCTCTACCTGTTCTCATTTTTCCATTTTTTGACCGGGAGTGGATCCTTTTGTTTCGGCCCGAGAGGGAGGGGGAGGCCATTGCGGCATGACAGACAGACCTTGGGACTTGCACCTTCCGGGGCGACTCCAGGGGGCCCGTGCGTGCAGAGAGAGAGAGGACTGCCGAACACACTCCGAACACCACATCGACAAGACTGGGAGGCAAAAGTGCAATTATGTACGTGTTTGAGCTAATCCGGCCCAACGTGGGGTGTAGCATGCGCAACGGTCCTAGGAGGGGTCCATGGGTGGGGTCTCAAGCGCTTCAAGGGCTTTAAAGGGCAGAATGCCAGGTCAAAGGCGGGTCCCGGATCCTGGTTTGCTTGTTCTAGATGCCTCTCAACGCACACGAAAGAGAGAAGAAAGAGGGTTTGCACTGGCTGAACTTTCCAACGAACCCTTGTGTTATTCCAAACGCAGTGCCAGGCTCTCCCGCGGCCTTGCGACACTGTGCATGGTTGCTTCAGTCCGTTCATGCCCGTGCGCTCAGTGTGGCTCTGAGCGACAGCCTACAGCCTACTGCTGCATGGCCTCTGATCTTAGGAACCTCGGCTATCACGCGCTCTGCCTCAAGCAATCGGGGTACTACTACATAGCACCACCGTCAGGGTCTGAGCCGACCTGAGCCGACCTGGCAGTGCTGCCAGCTAGTTTTCCGTCGTGCCGCACCAGGCCGACGACCACCCTCACGCGAACCTCCACGAGGATTGAAACGTTTCAAGTCTCGAGTTGATATGCCTTCCTTCGACTTGCTTTGTGGAACATGTCGCGTACATATAGTGACTAATGTAGTGCACAATGTGTTCTCCATGGATCCACCCATCAGTTCTTTAATTGTCATTTGATGGTCAGGTACAAGCTGGAACAAAACAACGGGACCTCTCGGCATTTCTTCTCCCCCCTCGCACTCACTCACATGGGGTAGATTAGATACAAGGAGTTGCGATATGGTGGCCATGGATCCACTGTTTTCGTGTGCTTGTTTGTGCCATCCCAATGTTTATGTTTTGAGGGCTGGGGCGGTCAAAACATTTGGGGCCTCCTAGCCAGCGCAAATGGGATTAGTCTTTGATTTGGCTGCATCAGCTACGGTCCGGGGCGCGATAGTTTCAGAGCGCGCGATAGCTCGCGATAGTGTTTGGCTTTTCCCCTGCAAAAGCACGTGCCTGTAAAGGCCGCGCGAGAGGCCGTGAGAGCAGTTTCAGAGGATAATACAAGTTCAAAGCGTTTTTTCGCCACAGCTCAATGTTGGGATGCTCTATGTTGCTCTTGCAACATGGCAAGCAGTGGACTTCAAGCCTGTGCCAGTACTTCGGTAACCTCAACCTCTGCAACGTTCACCACCTCCACTGCTCCTGTCTCATCCGTCTGCATACATGTCAATATGACAAGTACGTCTGACATGCCGGCACTGCGAGCATTAAAGCTCCGGTGCGTGAGGTCTCAACTACCACAGTGACTTCTACAGGCCTGGCCAGAATTGACCAGCGAGCTTCAATCAAGACTGTAGCCGCACGGTAGCCCGTGCACGAAGCATGTGACCTTGCCATCCAGTTCCAAAAGTGGCGCCGATGAGCATCTTCGCTTTCGAAGGCATTTGCCTCAGTGTCCTCTAGATGCTGCATACTCCGGCTTGCCTGCTTGCCTGATGCCGGGATGAGGACGATCCTTTCAGAAGAAGCTACCGGTCTGGGTCATCACGGCCGAGAACGAGCAGCGCGGAATCCCCTTTGCGACTTGGCCGAAGTGGGGTGAGGAAAGGTTGCCCAGAAAGAGTTCCAGGTATTGTGAGAAGATCGCAGAAGATGTCGTATTCACAAAACCTTTCAATGGGTTCCATTTTCTAGCGCTACATTTTTTCTAATACTATTTTGGAAAATGGAAACCCACCTCTGCCCTGTGCTAGGCACTTGAGATCGGAGCTGCCCTTCTGGCCATGATCGCGATTCCCTCGCTCGGTTGGGGTCTCATATGGCAGTTGATTGAGAAGGCTCTGCATTTTTCGACCTGGATAAGTGGCTGTATACAGCAGTCCAAGTTTCCAAACTCTCTTAAGGTTGCATGCTGTGTCGGCGGTCGGCTGCGTGCCAGTCCCAGAACCCGAAAAGCAGGGGTTCACCAAGGGTGGACTCGCAGACCTCGATTGCACTCAACTTCGCAACTGGAGGGGTTGCTGGCAGATCTGGCTTGAGGATGGGCCCGGTGCACGGCCATGTCCAGCCCGCTTTTGCTGGCTGAGGCCTGCCGCTACATCTCGCGACGAGCCCCAGGACACAGCTGAGGACGCTCACTTGGCGAGTCAACACCAATGCACGGTGGAAGAGAGAAGGGTGGAATTCGCATCTGCTTTTGGAGAGTGGATGAGCGTGCCTTGTGAGGCCTTGCTGACAGGGCCGGCTGGCCAAGCCGGCGGTGTGTGAAGCAACACAAGCTACAGCCTCAGCGTGGAAGCCAGGTTGATGCGAGTTGCGAATGCAAGATTGGTTTGTTGCTAGGCGCCCGAGTCGTGCTCCTGTCTTACATCTTACATTACAGATGCTTTGGCCGAGAATGAGCTGAAACTAGCTCTCCGTCCAGCAGCCCGACACAGTCTGAAGCAGGGGGCTGGAAGGTCTGTAAGTCACAAAGATGACAGGACCTTGCACGTCACCTGCCGTCAGAAAAATAAACTCCACAATCGAAGTACTTGTTCGCTGGCGATGAGAGTTTGGACATCTGCTTTATGCCAAGATACATTGTGCCCATTCAGCATGATTCAGCACTGCACCTCGGATCGGCGGGGAGTATTGTAAGAGGCAAGAGAAGCCAAACCATGCGTTGTCATTCGGCAAATGCTAGTACTGTATCAGTTCTGACCCCATCTTCTGTCCATCAAGTCAAGGCCTTGCACTCTATCCGCATATCCGCAGAGATGATCTAGGCTCAAGAGTAAGACCCTTGGCAGCCGTTGCTGAGGCCGGTCAAAAAGGTGTGCTAGATGCTGCACGTGACACATTGTGATGCGGTGGAGTGCTTTAATTGCACAAGCGCACTGACTCTCCTCGGATTGCTCAACGCGCGGGCAGACTTGCCACTGTTGGTACACAGCTACACTCGGCCTGCAGCATGGTTGCAGGATGCAGAATGGAGATCACGCCGAGGACGCTGCTGCGTGTTTGGCAACTCAAAGGCTGCAAAACATCAGCATCTAGCAACTGCCAGGACGACGTAGGCTCGAGCTGCAAGCCTGCGATTCTCACAGCTGTTCTCAGTTTTGATCTGTTGGGCCACGTTTTGCGAGGTGGCCGGCCGAGCGGATACGTCCCGAGCTTGCACCCCAGCATCTGCCATCTGCCTCAATC